ATAGTATGATGTTTAACAAAAGTAGCCAGGTGTAATCAAATGGTCAAAACACCACAGAGTCCGGAAAACAAGCAAATGTCAATCATAATGTACCTTATTGTCCTTTACAGTGTAGTGACACAGGCTCTGCCTCTGTCCAAATCGTTTTGGGATTTCTGCTGCAATCTTTTCAGGATCAACTGTAGGGAAATGTGCCAGATCTTTCTGAATCTGAGTGATGGTTTCTGGACAGTTCATCTCCCGTAGCCAGGCTGCACTGTCTTCCAAAGGGCAGTCACAGTTCTCATGGTAAACTGGTCCTGTTCACGGACAAACAACACAGTGGTGAACATTTCTCCCAGCAACTGAATCATAGTAAATGCGCACTCCACGAACTTCTACCAGACTTCTACCATATCAGCTGGCCTCAGCTCTTCTTCCTATATTGTTCTCTTCTGGCCTGCTTTCCACAGGTGTAAATCATGCTCTATGTGGATATAATTCATTACCTAAGGATAATTGTGGGGTTGGAGAAATGACTTAGCAGTTTAACAGTGCTTGCTGCTCTGGCTGAAAACCTGAGTTAGGTACCTAAGACCCACTACCACCTATAACTTCAAGCCTAGAGTATCTGATACCACTCTGGCCTCTGTGATACCTGTGTATGTGTGAACACACCCCAAACCCCCATCATGGACACACATACATATATAAACAAAAAACTTTAAAAAAAGAATAACCAAATATTGACATAGAGCAAGGAATCTGTGTGCTAAAGGATAAAAATGAAATGAACTATTATTTTGTTGGTTTATTATATGAACAAGTTCTTAGGGTGTCTAAAGTACTTTTCTCAATGGGCAAACCATTGCCAGTGACAACAGAAGTAAACAAAGGACTTCAACACATTCCCCCCTTTGAGAAAATATAAAGAAGTAAAGGTAATTCTATAAACATGTGGTCTCATTAATATCACAATGAATTAATTATACATTTATAAAAATAATGCTAATATAAGAATCTGAATGGGCACTGTACTTGTTATTCCTTTCTGAAATCCTCAGATTCCAACCTGATATAGTAAATAGGTAACAATAGAATTTACATACATTTTAATGCTTTACAGGTTGGGCTGTACCATAGAGTTTCATAAAATGTAAGGGAAGAATTCAGACAATTAAAAAAAATTGCAATTCTCTTGTGGTCCTGTCTCCCCTGAAAGGGAAAGTGAAAAAGTCCTCTTCTGAGCCCATGAGACAAAACAGCAGGGGATTTCTCTATAACAATGGCATGACAATGACAATCAAACCAATGATCAATCGTTTTATTTTTTTGCTTCAAGTCACCTGGCTGTCCTCAAACTTGGAGAGGTCACTTGCCTCTGCTCCTCCTCAGAGCAATGAGATTTAGGGCTTGTGTCAACCAACACACCTGGTAATTTTAGTAATAATTATCAGTTACTTAATTAGTTCACTCACTCATTCAAGAATTATCTATGACTACATATCTAATTTGATTACTCTTTTTTATTTTCCCATTATTTTTATTCTATATGTAGAGGTGTTTTGTTTGCATGTACGTCCTGCAGAGCCTCTGGAGGCTGAAGGGGGTATCAGGCCCCTGCGCCTGGCGCGGTTACAATCATGAGGCGCCATTATGTGTGCTGGGAACCAAACCCAAGTCCTTTAGAAAATTAGCCAGTTAAAAACCATAGAGCCATCTCTTCAGCCCTGATGATTCTTTTTTACAGATTTGCACACACAGGCACACAAAATGAAAAGTCTGAAGTAGTACAGCATAGAAGCGAGAATGGTTACAATGGTAAGTATGCTTTTCTGAGACTCTGCTTCAATTTCACATGTTCATACACACATATCAATTCTCATTTATATACATAAATGCACATGCTATATATACCTCTTATTGTAAGCTGTGTTCCAAAAGATTTATAAAACCTAGTGGTAAATTATGCATTAAAAACCCTTCTAATGGCAGGACACTTATTATTACAAATCAGTTGTCTATACACATGTGAATGCAGGTGCCTTTGGACAGATACCCTCTTCCCTGAAGCTGGAGTTCCAGGTGGCAGAGAGCCACCTGACATGGCTGTTGGGACCCAAACTCTGGTCCTTTGTAAGAGCGGCATGAGCTCGTCACTGCTGAGTCATCCCCAGCCTTCTAACTTGATTATTCTCACTGCCGAGTCTTCAGAGAGCAACTTCTCTAGTCATGTTTCTTGGTCTTTAGTGAATTATAATCAATGTCTCTCTTTTGCCAGACCTCCTAATTTAGCTTTCAATTAGAGAAACATGTAGTGTTTTTTTTCTTTCAGTGAAAAAGTATACTAAGTTTTCTGAAGTAATTCTTATTGATGGAATGACATGTATTTTTGTACTCAAATCCTACCATAAAATTTTGTTTCAAAATACCTTGTAAGACATAAGGAGACTTGGCCACATGTTGACCCTGGTGTTTGACGTCTATCTTCAGGCTTCTGTAGCTTGCATACATTCTGTATCTCACTATGAAGGAGCCATCTTTTCGATCTAAAACCTGGACACCAACTCTAGTGAACTGCTCATCAGGAGCTGAAATTTTAACCTGGAACGCCTTTTCACCTGGAGAAGACGTGAACCTGTGATGGGAAGAGGGATGAGACGTGAGGGTTATTTTAAGAGCAAATGTAAAGACTGAGTAATCCGTTACATCATTCTTCTAAGATAGGCTTGCTTGCTTCTCTCTTAGGTTTTCAGTACCAGAACCAACATGAGGGATCAAAGATAAAAAAAAGAAGATAATAATATCATAAATTACTTCCAGGGGATACATTAATACTGCCAATCTATTTAGCAAACAAATGAAGATAACAAATAGATATTCCTATCAGTCGGTTCAGCACATCTGGCAATTTGTCTTTCATTAAATAGTTACTTCAAGGAGGACCTTATTTTGAAGACTTGCTCTTAATGATTCAAAACCTCAATATTCTTGGGGCTGAAGAGATAACTCAGTGGTTAAGCGCACTTAATGTCATACAAAAGACTTAGTTCAGGTCTCATGGTCCCCAAGGCTCAGAACTACATTAGGCAGTTCACCTCAAGGAGATCTATGCCCTCTCTGGCTTCCTCCAGCACCTGGACTCATGTTTGGGTATATACCCCACCCACATTCACATTTTTAAAAGACTACTACTAATAAAAGTCTAACAGATATACTAGTACTTCAATTATGTTTAGTTGTGGGAAAATAAAAACAATTGGCCTATCATATTAGCAACACAAGGACTAAATATTCCTTTGGGATGTGTTTAGTTTTAGTATTTAGGGTCCCTAGTTGTACTATTTTTTTTCTTAAGACAGCTTGTGGGAAAGTACTTAAAAATAAGGGAGGTTTGTTTAGCCTCGATTCCCATTAAATCAGTTAAGGAGAGAGAACTGTCAGTATAGCAATATTTTATACTATATTGAATACATATTTTGAAATTCTTTCCAAAAGTTATAGAGAAAAATTGATTTGGCAGGGGAAGCCAGTTAGACCAGATGTAGACACTACTCAAATATTCTGGAATGTAAACTGTCTGGAGAAATGACAAGTTGGAGCAGATATAAATGAAAGGCAAAAACAAAAACAAAACAAACAACAAAACCCCAGTAATTTTAAAGCGTGATTCCAAACAGTTGAGGAGTCACTTCTCCACTTACTGTTCTCCTGAGGTATCCACTGCCCGAATGTAGAAGTAGCGGGCTGGAAGGACCACGTCTGCTTTTAGCCCGGGCCCCCATATTTCGCTCTTCTCTGGGCTCAGCCTCCTCTCTTCGGCGGTCTGGGCAAGTGCTGACACAGTCCCCAGAAAAAGGCAGGAAAGCAGCGAAATGCTGAACATTTACAAGACCGACTCTCAGAAGATCCACGGATAAATGCAAACGTGCTAAGTGGACGGAGCTAGCTAGCCTGGGTAGGTAGGGGCACGGTGGCGAGTCCTAGCAGCAGCCAAAAAGGGAGAAGGTTCTTAAGGCGTCGCTTGATGTGCGGTGTCGGTGCGCGGGTCTCCACTGTGCCCAAGGATGTCACAACCCGAGCGCTGGCATGTTCAGGAGAAGGACGCTGCTCGTTCTGCTGAACCGGGTAAGAACTGCAGGGCAGGATCCTCTTTCTCTGGACAATGACAAACTTGAGTTACTCCAGTCACTAGAGCATCATTTTGGGGACGAATCCGCCGCAGGTTCCAGCCAAGGTGGGTGGCGAAGGATTGGCCTGCGCGGCGGCCCGGCTTAGTAAGCTCTTCTGCTAGTGGAGGAGTGGGTCAAAGTGGACACGCGTCCTGGGCCCTCGGCTCCCTGGGATGTGTAGTCCACCACAGGACTAGCGGAAGTCCTGCCTGCGGGAGGAGGGGATCCTGCACCCCCCCCCCCCGCTCTTTCCACTCCTTTTAAAAATTTTGATCGCCGCTTTCGGGGAACCCTTGCACAACAGGGGACTGGCATGTCTGGAGTCATAGCTACGATTTCCCAGCAAAAATCTTGTCCTCGGCATCCACCGCACCTGCAAATGGCAGGTGTATATTGAACGATGAAAGGGAGGCAGGCATCTAACCACCCGGCTCCAAGGTCCTGGAGCTGTCCCTGTGCGCTGGAATGGGACGAAAGACTCCGGGCCTAGGGTAGGAGGCGCGAGGATGCAGATCTGCTTGTTGCCTTCCAGCACCGGAGTTCCACGAGCCAACGAGAACGGAGGTATTCCCCGGTGGTGGGCCGGGCCCGGGGACTGGTCAGCCGCGCGCTCCGCCTCTCCGCAGCGCCGCCATTGCCTCGTTGTCGGTCCTCTCTGGAAGGGTCTGGGTCGAGCTGGGTCTCTAAGGAGGGACAGGTTCGAGGGATAGAAATCACCGGAACAGAGCTCGTCTCTGGGGTGCATCCACCCGTGGGTACCGGTTTGCCCTCTCCAGGAGCGCGTTTCCACGCTGCGCTAACGGGTCTCGGGCAACCGACCTGCAGTGGCCATCCTCTCTCCTGGTACACCCGCATCTGGACCTGCAGTGGCCATCCTCTCTCCTGGTACACCCGCATCTGGGCCGGGCAGGTCAGGAGAAGTCGCAGGCTCGGTCCCTCACTCCACCAGTCAAGGGGCGTGGAAAACTCAGACGCCCCCGTGGCTCGGTGAGCTAAAGCCCGCCTGTTTGTGAGCCCAGGCGTGGTTTTTTTGTTTTTGTTTTTGTTTTTTTTCGCCATTGCCATTATTGATGTTATCAACTCATCTATCGCGGCCTCCCCTCCCATTTCTCGGGTAGTCACTGCCCACTTGGTACCCGCTCCTGAAGTCCCCCACAGGTTGGAAGCGACACCCCATGGGCCTGCGCGCGCTCCCCCTCCTGGCGAACCTTGTCTTCCGGCTGGGGGTGAGGGAGCAGGCCCGGAGGAGCCTCGGAGGCTGTAACTAGCCTGGGCCAGTGGCGACTGGGGACACCGGGCTCTGAGTTGGTCACCGTGGGCGGGGAGTGGGAACCCGGCACAGTCCCACTGCTGCAGTTGTACTCCCGACGCCCCGGAGCTCCTGGGTCGGCTCCGCCGGCACCGCTGTCACCTTCAGGTGGCCTCCGGGCCTCACCGAGGGGGCGGTGGGAAGTCTCCTGGCTTCCCAGGGCCTGAGCTCCAAGAGGCAACTGCGCGCTGCAGGAATCCGGTACCCGCAGGTAGGCCGCCTGGAGCGGATCTGGTCTGATTGATGATCAAGGCTAGGAGACAAGAAATTGTGCCCAGGACGCTGATGGAGAAGGGGGACCAGGCTGGTGTCTTAGCGTTTCTCAACAATCCTCAGCAAAAACACTTCTGTTCTCCCTCGCCGTTGTTTCCTACACAGAACATTATATTATTTGCGCCATATGGAAAGCTTTATTGAGATTTTATAAGATGTCTACTTCTCTGCTGAACGTGATATTTAGTCATGTAGACACGAAGAGCACATAACTTTAAAAGAATATAACTCAGGTGATGAATATTGGCTTTGCAATCGGTATGTTTTTTTGACAGAACTGTTTATTTCAATGACTTTCACAAGTCATTTCTCTAGTGCTATTCTGAAAGCTTGGGGGTTCATACTGCTTAGGAGATACTGAGTGTAAACTGTGTAATTGAACTGTATTCCTGCGATTGTTCTCATTACCAAGTCTTAATATGTTAATAAAATATGAGGGGAAACAAATACAATAATGTCTGGTGCATTGTAGGCCCCCCAAAATTATTTGTTGGACCTAGCTTCTACAAAGGCTAGGCCCTGGGATACAGTTGTCAGGACAACCAGACTTTCAGGAGGCAGCCATTTGTACACACATACACACACACACACACACACACACACACACACACACACACAAGACAATAAAAAGGTTCCCCAGTACAAACAGAAAACCTGGCCTAGTTAGAACACCAAAGAAAGCTTCTCCAGAACGTGACTTTTGAGGATACCTTTAAAAGATGGGGAGAAGCCCGGCATTGGTGGCGCACGCCTTTAATCCCAGAACTCGGGAGGCAGAGGCAGGTGGATCTCTGTGAGTTCGAGACCAGCATGGTCTACAGAGCGAGTTCCAGGACAGCCTCTAAAACAATACAGAGAAACCCTGTCTCGAAAAACACACACACAAAAAAAAGAAAGAAAAGAAAAGGAAAGAAAGAAAGAAAAGAAAAACGATGGGGAGAACGGCTTAGTAAGGGGTGGGGGCTAGAAGACAGCATTCAGAAAACCAAAAATTACTGTGGAAGGACAGAGGATGGTCAGGTGGCTCTACAGATAGATTTCAGACCAGTGAAGGAGTTAGCCTTTTGCTCCAAGAACTGAGGGCTTTAGGCATGGAAACTCTATGAGCACATGTGTGTCTCGGACTTTGCTGCCTGCTCTCTGTGTAGGGATCAGAGTAGAAAGGATAGCTCCAAGGGTGGGTGGCATCGAGTTATAGACACAGAGATGGAAGGAGATACAAGCCCCAGACAGCTGCAGCCTAAGTGGTGGGCAGTCAGTCAGCCCTTCACACCTCAGTGTTCTTCGAGACTACCGTTGCAGCTAACTATGTCTGTAATGGCTTTGTTTGTTTCCAGTAATTGTGCATTCTTCATTTTAAGAAAGCAGGCTCTTAGTGAAGTCCTAAGGATACCATAGCAGGAGCCCCTCTGAGTTTAGCTGCAGAGGGCGAAGACGTGGATCAGTCATGGCGTGGGGAGAAGAAAAGCCCCAGCATGGCTTCTGGGGCATTTGTTTTCATTTTTTTGTGAAAGTGCTTCTGATACGTCATAATTTTTTTTGCAATATATTTTACTTGTGTCACCAGACCTATAAATACACATATTTTCAGAGATATTCACATAAAAACAGTGGTTCAAATGAGGAAATATGAACCTTTCATTTTCAGGGACAATCTATGTAAAATATATCTTCAGTTAGATGACAGTTTTTTTTTAATGTAAAATGAGACCAAAGAGATTGTTCTTGTTCAGTGACCATTGCTATAAAAACAGATGGTGACATGTTTTATTAATCAAGTGCTGTACTCTTAATCACCTTTGTCTTCCGGCAAGTTCAGTCATATTTTTCATTCTTAAGTGAAGCTGTTTCCCTTGCCTATTTTATTTATTTAGCTTTGGTTGTTTGAGTTAGGGTTTTGCCCAATGTGGACTGCTGGCTGGCTTAGAACTAGCTGTGCAATTTAGTCTTGACTCCATCTCGAAGCAGCCCTCATGTTTCTGCCTCTGAGTCCTGGGATCACAGAAAATGGGCTACCACATTCAATTTGGCTTACACTCTTTTCCCTTTCTGTGTGTTCCAAATGAGCATAAAATCACCAAACTGTGGTACATATTGCTGGTCCCATAGTCAGAGTCTTAGAGGAAGGAAGTGATGGCAAGGGGGAGTTAGGAGTCAGGTTGCGATTTGCCTGGGGTGCGTGTGATGCGCCCACTCAATAGCCTGTGCCTGCTGCCCCAGCTGGTCATCCGTTGTCCGTTATTCTTGCTCGCCCGACCACAGACACTGAGCTTTTAAAGAATGACACGAGGATCACAGATAGGAAGTTGGAAGTCAAGAATTGTAGAAATCAGCCCTCAGAGAAGACCAGTGTGGTTTGCAAACCTCATTTACATCTTTGCATCTTTCTCCACGATTACCTTCACACCACAGAATGAGGAAAAAGAAGAAAGCTCAGACATTACCTGGAGACACACTAAGACTTCTTTACTAAAAAAGCAGTTTAGGGCCTGGAGAGATGACTCAGAGGCTGCTCTTCCAGGGGTCCTGAGTTCCATTCCCAGCAACCACATGGTGGCTCACAACCATCTATAATGAGGTCTGGTGCCCTCTTCTGGCCTGCAGGCATAATACATGCAGGCAGAATGCTGTATACATAATAAATGAATAAATCTTAAAAAAAAAAAAGCAAGCCCTGCAGGTGCCACCTTAGATGATAATGTCCTCTGTCCTGTGAGCCACTGTTAACTGCAGGTGAGGAAAAAGCCTACCTGAGGTTGTGAGGTGAGGGCATGTCTTACAGAAAGGGAAGCTCTCTTGGCTCAGATGGAGTCTCCTTCCTAGGTGTGTATTTGCTCAGATTTCATTAATGGTGTACTCGGCCTTTACTCCTTTCATTTGGGAGATGATGGAGGGCCCCCTGTTCATCATCACATCTTTTTCTTAGAGACTCAACCAGGCTTGTACTATTCAATATTTGTGTGATGGCTACTAAGCAAATCATAATCTGGGGGCTATTTTCATTTCTAGTGTTTAAAGTAAGCAAATGAGAAGATAGTAAAAGGCCAAAATGACACCCACAGGTGGGTTTAATCTCTCATGTACTGCTTGGTCCCTGGAGCCTGGAAAGGCCTGTCTTGCTCATCCTGACATCTGCCTTTGATTTCCTGTGATGCTGTGCCTCACTAGGAACTTGTTCCTCTGTAAGGCTGTAGCTTCTTTGAATGCCCTCAGAGGAATCTGTTTAGACTGGAAGCCCAGTGTTCCCCGAGAATGATCAGAAGTTAGTGACAGTAACTTTAAATTGTAAACTTTATTTGTTGAATATGACCATTATCATCCTGTATGTTTATCCCTTTAATACATTTTTTTTTACCACCGAGTCAGTGTACTGTTTTAGGCAGTATTGTTTAGACTTAATTCACACACCATACGATTTACTCGTTACAATGTACACTTCAGTGACATTTTAGAATATTCCCCAAGTTGGCCCTCTACTGTGTTCTGGTGTTAGCTGTGGAATATTTTCATTATTTCAAAGGAAAGACTCTTCATGCTGAGCCCTCTATCCCAAGGCAACTGCTAAGGTAGACGTGCCTCTCCGGCAGGGTTTGTGTAAAACTGGACTCTTAGGAGATCATCAGTTCCTTTGTGACTGGCTTTTTATCAGCATATCCCGAAGCCCATTCATCTTCTGTCGGGATCAGTACTTCTTACTGCAAAGAAGTGTTTCGCTGATGGATGTGCCACCTTTATCTGCTAGTCAGTTTCAAGGCTTTGGGTTGTTTCCACCTTTTGCCATTTTGAGTAATGTGGCTCTTTAAGAGCATGGCTTAATGTTTTCTGTATATACCTAGAAGGGAAATTTCCAGACTACATAGTAAGTGTTGAAATGTCTGAAAAATGGTTCAGTAAGCCCACCAGACCATTTTATATCTTTAATAGCAGCGTATGAAGGATCTGATCTTCCACACACTTCCCAACATTCACTGTCGCCTGTGTCTTTTTATATAGCCATTTTGGTGGATATGAGTTGGCAAACCATTGTGGCTTTGATTTGGGTTTCCATAGCAACTACTGAGAACGAGCTTCTTTTCATGAGCTCATTGTTCATCTCTGTAATATCTTTACAGATGTGACTTTCCCTCTTCTAACTGTGTTATTTATAGTTTATTCTCATCTTTTGTTTTAAGGTCATTGTTGTGTGTGTGTAGGTGCGCAGTCTGTGTGTGGACGCCAGAGGCTAACCTTGGGTGTTTCACATTACTCCACCTTATTTTTTAAAACAGGGTCCCTCACTGTACTAGAACCTCACTGGCTTGCCTAGACTGTTAGCAGCAAGCCCTGGGGATGCTCCTGCCTCTTCTTATCCAGAGCTGGCATTATGGTACACCCAGCTTTTTATTTATTTATTTTTAATGTGGGTGTTGGAGATCCAATTCAGGTCCTCATATTTGCATGGCAAGCACTTAACCAATCGAGTTGTATTATCCATCCCCTAAGCTCAATGTTGATATAAGACAGGGTTAGTCATCATAACTCAGAACATAATGTCATAAAATCAATATGCATTGAGTGTAGGTATATGAAGCATACTCATTATAAAGATTATTGACATTTATCTTTCTCCTCTGTCTTTTCTTAGGATCCCATTTGTCAGCTCTCAAGCTTTTATAGAATGTTGTGAAAATTTGCCAAAGTTGTTTTGCAAAAGAGAGAGAGGGTTGCGGGTTCTTCCTTGGAAGAGGAACGTCTGCAGTTGCTTTCGATGCCTAACGTTGCAGAAGCTGGAAGACCCACTGATTCTGGACATGGTGAGCACAAATCCGAGAACAAGTCCCCAGAAGAGGATCTACACAGTGCTGCTGTACAATCTTTTTGCACAAGAACCTCAGGAGCACCTGTGGGTCCCAGAGGAGATGGTCATTATCCTTCGAGTTGTCCAGTGACTCATACTCGTGAAAAGATTTATGCAATCTGTTCAGATTATGCCTTCCTCAACCAGGCAACCTCAGTCTACAAAACTCCCAACCCAGCCCGCTCTTCTTGCCTCCCTGACAATACCTTGCTTTCTGCTGAAAGTAGCTCAACATATATTGGTATCCCAACTAGTGCATCAGAAATAATCTATAATGAAGAAAATAGCTTGGAAAACTTATCCACCAGCCTGGGCAAACTACCTCTCGCATGGGAAATCGATAAATCGGAATTTGATGTGGTGACCACAAATTTGAAACACAAATCAGGTAAGAAGGAGCTGTGAAGTTCACAAGTGAAAACAACCAGAAAACAATTCCAAGTATTGCTAAATCTCACAATGAAATATTTCCTGTCGCTGAACAAGGAGCATCACTACCACCATGTCTGTCGTTGCAGTTTTTGTTTTGTTTTGTTTTTTAAGTAACCTTGAGCATAGTTAGTCTCTGAATGTACTGTCCATGGAAACGTCCAACATTATGTATGTATTTTGGGAGCTTTGAAAATAAAAAAAGAATAAAATGTAAGTATTAAAGGTAAGTACACAGTAGCTTAGAAAAGGCGCATGACACGGCTAGATTAATACTGTTATTTTGTAGTTTTGCAGGGGCATGGCCATATTCTGTAATATAGGAGAAGTTAAGCCATTTTGTTTTGAAAAATTTTGAATGTAAAAAGAATATCTGCTTTGATCAAAGGCTTGTTTTTTTTTTTTTTGGTAGCTACTGTGTTTTAAAGTCCATTTTATTTCTCACATGTGTGCATGTGTGCTTCTAAGGACCTGTTCACATTTCTTTCCATTTTCTACTTTTTCCAAATGTTCAAAGAAGATTCTGTTTGACATCTCCTTCTCTCCTTTTCAGTGATAGCTATAAAATTTCCAGATGGCAAGGAAGTTCATTCTTCAGTCAGACCTGGGATTCATGTATTTTTGTGAAGCCAAACTTAAGAAATACTTGTCTTAAATTGGTTGATAATATCAACAGGGTCATAAAGCATTTAAATTGCTTTTAAATTTTAGATAACAGTGAACTATAAATATAGAATTCTTTGTTATACCAAAATTTTAGCAGAACTACATGAGAATTAAATATATAATCAAACATTCTGTATATAAGATTTAATGTATACTTATATACTTTGTATACTATTATGTAGTTATATATTGAATGCAATACAGATAGAGGTAGAAATAAGAATGGTTATATATAGATATGGAAATACATATTCATTACTATTCCCGAAATATGAACATGAATTCTAAATCACTGGGAATAAAAACAAACATCATTTTTTTAGGATCTGCTTTTAAAAATGACGACAGCAAAAACTGAGCACCCAGAAAGTCGTCTATCTACACAGAATAGGCTGAATACTCACAGTTTAGGAGGATGGCGCCACTCAGGGTGCAGTGTGCAATCCTCACCCTTGCACAGGAGAGCTCTTCAGATTCTGATGCTTTCTAACTTCCCTTGAGTTACCAGTAATTCCGAGAGTGCATGACGTAGATGTCGCTGTTCTTATTGTATAGATGAAGAAATTGCATCTTAGACAGGGTAAATTTCCTACCCAAATTTGCACAGCCAGATAGAACTAGGATTTTTATTTTGCTTCTAGTCACTCTGATGGTTTTTATAAAACCTCTATGGTGTGCATTTCAGTTGCAATCAGTTGTTCCAGAGATTGTTGCTTTAGGGCTTATAGTACTATGCAGGTCCTTTAAAACAAGCTGAGGAGTGCTTTCTCCTGTTTTCTGCGAGTTTGTAGTGGGATATAAACATTTCTAACTATAATTATGGAATTTCCGTATTGATAATTTTGTTGTCCCATTTGGGAGCCTGAAGGTATACTTTTACTTTGGTATCTGTAGGGTCTTTAGTGATGACTCATTCTGACCCTGATCCCTTTTGCCCAACCTGACCTTCTAGGTGATTCAACATCACATACAGTTGCTGGTCATTGGATTGGGGAATGAGTATTAGTTACCTTGCTGTTCATTGAAACTGACCAAAATAAAGTGTTGCTTCTTTTTAGTCCTTTCTTTAAAATGTGTCACCCTTCCAGAAGTCTCCAGAGTTCCAGAATAGCACCTGCCACTGCACTTGTTGCCTAGGTAAAAGACAGTGTCTTGGTGCTCTCTATTCTCCATTGTTGAGATTTTAAAAGTGGGATTTGAAGCTCTGTTACTAGGAAAACTCATAGTGCAATCTTTATGCTTTTTTTCAAGAACTGACCCCCTTTAGCCAGGCATGGTGGCACTTGTCAGTAATTCCCACACTCTGGAGGCTGAAGCAGAAGGATTGTGAGATTGAAGACAGCTTGGGACATGTAGTGAGGTCCAGGCTAACCAAGAACACATGGCGAGACCTTGCATCAGTGAAAAAAAATGTTCTTTTTCTAATATGACATGTGTCTCAGAACTGTCTTGTTGTGAGAACCACTTTGTTACTGGCATGGTTGTGTCTCAGAACTGCCTTGTTGTGAGAACCACTTTGTTACTGGCATGGTTGTGTCTCAGAACTGCCTTGTTGTGAGAACCACTTTGTTATTGGCATGGTTGTGTCTCAGAACTGTCTTGTTGTGAGAACCACTTTGTTACTGGCATGGTTGTGTCTCAGAACTGCCTTGTTGTGAGAACCACTTTGTTACTGGCATGGTTGTGTCTCAGAACTGCCTTGTTGTGAGAACCACTTTGTTACTGGCATGGTTGTGTCTCAGAACTGTCTTGTTGTGAGAACCACTTTGTTACTGGCATGGTTGTGTCTCAGAACTGTCTTGTTGTGAGAACCACTTTGTTACTGGCATGGTTGTGTCTCAGAACTGCCTTGTTGTGAGAACCACTTTGTTACTGGCATGGTTGTGTCTCAGAACTGCCTTGTTGTGAGAACCACTTTGTTACTGGCATGGTTGTGTCTCAGAACTGCCTTGTTGTGAGAACCACTTTGTTACTGGCATGGTTGTCCCGGACCTCTTTTGATTGATGCTTGTGTGGCACATCCTTTTCCATTCTTTACTTTCAGTTGTAGAAGTTACATTGTTTTACAGCTTCTGTTTCTTACTTCTAGAGCCATGGTGTCTTCGTTTATTGCTAGAGCATTTTATCTGTATCATCTAGTACAGTTATAATACCTCAAATTCTGCAGATTTTAAAATCTTGGTTAGGTCAGAGTTGGCCCTATCTTTTCCTTGAGGGTGACTCATACACTCTGTTATTTTGGATTGTGCCCTGGATGTCCTGTTGTATCAACTCTGGTATATCACCAAGCAAGCAAGCAAGCAAACAAGCAAGCAATCTTTGTCCTCTCTTCCTCCCTCCCTCTTTCTCTCTGTGTGGCACTCCCCCCACCCCCAACTCTGTGTCTGATTGAACTGAAGCTGTAATCTCTTGTCTTTTAAAGACAATTCTGTTCTTGGATTGGGCAGCCCTGGCTGTCTTGCTTGGGGTCTACTCTGTGCATGTGTGGTCCAGGTCTTAGAACAAGTTTTCTGGAGACAGCAGTCTGGCTCTGTACTCCTGTCTGGCATGTAGTTCTTTTCATTTAAGTTTATTTTAGTTTTACTTGATGCATATGGGTGCTTTGCCTACATGATGTCTGTGCCTTGTGTCTGTGCCTGGTACTCTCAGAGGCCAGAAGAGCATGGTGGATCCTGGAACTGGAGTTATAGATGGTTGTTAGCCACCATGTGGGACTGAACCCAGGTCCTCTGCAAGAGCAGCCAGTGTTCTTAACTGCTTTACCAGCTCTCCAGCTCCCTGGCCTATAATTCTTAATCTTCCTGCTTCAATATTTTTTAGTACTGGGATTACAGGTGCATGCCACTACACACTGCTGTTTTCCTTCCTCATACTTTTCTCTGAATACCAGGGTAGTTAATGCATGGGTGTAGTGGGAGAGGGCTATGTGAGTATTTTGTGGGTAGGGTTGGGAAGAGAAGATAGAGTAATGGTACAGAGCAGTGGACAAGGTCGTTTTATCTGTTACATTCCGGCTTTTACTTTGACACTGCTTTCTTCCTGTGAGTTCAGTGGAATGTTGGCTGTGGAACCAAATCTCCTTGTGGCAGTGTGGAGATCTCTTACTTGCAATGTTCATACACCTTTACCCCTGGAGAATCATATCCAGACACACACCAAAAGCAGCATAGGGACAGACTCACAGAACCTAGCGAGGAAAGCATGACAGAGCAGTCTTGGCCCACTGAGGTCGCAGACTTGATGCTCCATTAGCCTCACAACTCTGAGTGCCTGGTAAAACTACCCAGGGAATTAAGTCAAGAGGCAGAGGAGGGAGTCCCCAGGAAAGTCACTTTCCTGTCTTCTCTCTGAGATTCATTTTAACCAATGAGAGAATCTGGCCCAGTGACGTTTAGTTCACGTTTGCAAGTGGTTGTCAAGCTCTGAAACATTTTGTGTATTCTGTGTCTGTGAAGACACAGGATAAACAGGAGGGAAAATTGTGTCTTGATTTTATATAGTATTCCTTGTATAATGCTTTACAGATGTCCCTTGTGTGGCACTATTTCCTGAGTCCCAGCTGGTTATAGATGCTACATGGTTATTGTGCATGGTACTGAAATAGGTCTCCAGCCATGAGTCTGTAAGCATGTATGTGTCTACATAATCTGTGTTTGATAATGCAAAAATAAAATATTGACCTCAATTTTCATGTGAGATTTGGTTATTTCATCTAAAATAGATGATGTCAGGAAGATGTTAATGTGTCTGAGTTTAGCTGAAAGGAATGTTAGCATTTTAACAAAATCAGCTGGGTACATTATTAATATTTTAACATGTATATTATTTTGAGTGGATAAAATATCAACATGGTTCAGCAATAAATAAATGTATCAATATTAAACAAGGTAAAAGCTCCCTCTCACTTTTGCCTCTTTTGTCCATTTTCCGTATCTCTCTTTCCCCGGTGGGCAGTCATTCCCTGTCTTTGGGAGGATTGAGTGTATGTGAGGGGGGGTTCCACATAGAGTACACCACGTTTTGTATTCTGGTTTCTAGTGCAGTGTTGTATTTTAATAATGTAACACATGCTTCACTCTAAATTCATCTTGAGGTCTCTGGGGCCCGGAGTTATTAGACAGAATGTCATCATGCATGATCCAGTGTCTTAATAGAATTATGTTAATGTGGGTTTTCTTGTTTTAGAGAAAGGATTCCTTTTTAGGAAAGTGGTCAAGTTTTACTTCTTCCTGTTGGTATTGAAATTATCGATGTGGTTAAAGATTTTTGGCCTGGTTATTTTACTAGCTCTGAGAGACTAGCTCTGGATTTGGCTGTGATCTTGATAGGAAATATCATTTCTGGGGGTTCAGATAGTTTTTAGCTCTCTTGCTTTCTTTAGGGAAAAGTGCTGTTGTAGAAAGCACGGGCATTACTTCAGGATGGTTGCGAATACCATTTTCAGAATGCAGAGCAGTTCCTAACTCTGTTTACCTTTTGGTGTGGTGCGTCACTTCATCTGAGCATTTCCCCGTTTTATTCCTTTGTGCCGTAGGCAGTGCAAAGAAACAAATTTCCAAGAAAAAAGCTTCAGATAAAAAAGGGCGGCATCAGAGGGAGTGTCCCCAGCATTCTGCTCTCGAAGACGTCAAACAGCGGAAAGTGCTAGACCTCAGACGATGGTAAGTGGCCGTGTCAGGCTTTACTCTCTAGTCTTAAAAATATCTAATTTGAAATTAAGTTTGCTGGATGTAAGGTGATAAATTACATTTATTATGAACACCTTTAGTTCTAAGATTGTGTCTAAATACCTTAGGTGTATCTCAGATTTTGGAAGTAGACTGATTGAGCTGGGCCGGTATTTCCTAGACTCACCTGGCCATCAGTCTCATTTTGTGAACCCTCCCTACTTCAGACGATATTTAAATTTTGATGTAGTTGTTGTTCTTTGTTGAGTTTTCAAAGAAGTGACTGATAACTATATTTACTGCCACACCTATTAAAATTAACAAAATTTCTTTTTTGTGTAACTTCCAGACTAAAGTAACATTTTCTAGAATGTTCTAAAAGTTAACCATATACATGTGTGCTTGTCACAGCCCTTTAGTCTCAATTCAGAATCTCTGTCTTTCTCTTTTTGTGTCTGCTCTCTCTCTGGGGGATTTTGTGTTTTCCTTTTAAATCCTCAGTGACAGTTTTGCTCCAAGGCTCCCCGCCCAGGGGTTCATGTAGACATGGTGGGTGGTAAAGGGATGTTCTTTGGTCTGAGCAGAAAAATCTTTGAACCTTTTGACACAATTAGACAGTGATTTGCTTTCTTTCTCCAACATTTCAGAAGTTGCAAAGTACCCACTCAACTGGGGATTCACATAGAAATTTGAGTAGTTGGTATCAGAATTTGTATACCAATAATTCGTTTTTTGGTTGAATAAGATGTGCTTTTGTAGGTTGCTAGCCATAATATAGCTCTTCTTGATAAAATAGATGGTTTTTACTGTCATGTATTCTTTGTGTTTAATAAGTAGAAAATACTTTAAATGAATAATAATTTTGCACTGCATTAAAGTTTGCCTTATGGTCACATTTTAAATCACCCATAAGATGTATACTTCTGTTCTTCATGTTTTGTATTCATTCAAGTGAAGAAACTCTTTGATTCCTCAGGTACTGCATAAGCCGGCCACAATATAAGACTTCATGTGGTATCTCCTCATTAATTTCTTGTTGGAATTTCTTATACAGCACAATGGGAGCTGGGAAGTAAGTATGTCAGGTTATTGCTATTACCAAATTCCATCTTTGAAAGTAGTTTGAAGGAGACTGGGTCTGGTAGCACACACCTTTAAGCCCAGCAGAGCCAATTGGAACTTGGTGAATTTGAGGTCACGCTGGTCTACATTGTCCAGGGATACATAGGTTGACCCTGTTGCAAGGAGCAAAAAACAAACAACCAAACAAAAAACCAAAAGAAAAAAATAATTTGAAGGTACTTTTTTTTTAATAATGGAAGACTTTGAGAGTAGATTTTTTACAAACTGAGGAAAAAATGTGCATATTGCTATAAGCCTTTCAGCTTAAAATATTTGCATGTGTTTTCAATAAAATAAAAATGAAAAATATTGCTAAAACTATTTGCAAGATAAACCTATATATTAACACTGAAGCAGAATGTATTTGCATATGACTGGAACTGTGAAATGAAAGGAAGTGTTTCTTTTGTAGTCTCCCACCTATTACCCAAGAAGATGCATTACATATTTTGGGCTTCCAACCCCCATTTGAAGATATTAGATTTGGCCCTTTCACTGGAAATACAACACTCATGAGGTATGGAGCTGCCCCTTGGGGACAACACCTTATTTCTAATTCTGTGAAGTGATAATGCTGCAGTGTGTATGTACGGTAAAAGACAGATTTTAATGCTGGGTTCCAGGCTCCCTTAAATATGCCATGTGTGGGTTTCTGTGTGATTAGAACAGTGGGCCTTCCTTGTTATGGAACTATTGCTATGAGTAAATCTTATTTTTCAGATGGTTTAGACAAATTAATGACCACTTCCATGTAAAAGGATGCTCTTATGTTCTGTATAAACCCCATGGGAAGAACAAAACAGCTGGAGAAACAGGTAGGTGAAACTGAACACCCCACCCCACCCCCCAGTTCAGGCTTTCAGGTTGGGTATATCTCAGAAATTGCATATTGTTTCCTACGACATCAACTCTCAACAGTTTGATGTTTTCATACCTCTTTATCTAAGGGGAAAATCATGATAGTAATATGTAGGGCATACTCTTGACATATTGCTTGTATTGTTTAACATTGTTATGTATGTATGTGCTTGATAGTAAAACTTCTAGGATAAATAATGGAATTTGCAGTTCATTTAAAATAGAGTGAAAGCATTTGGGGACATTTGATGCTGGACTGGCATCAAATGATAACACAAAACTACAGGGTAACAAACTGTGAAGTGACAACAGTGTTGGTTTTACCAGCCATATTAATGAAGCTGGTGTTAAGGATTATTTATTATACAATAGTTGAATTATTTGTATTTAATAATTTTCACCTTTCAATTGTCATGATAAACTTCGAATTTTGTGGAGCAGACAGCTGCAAGGTACTGTTAAAGAAGAAACTTTTCTGACCCTCTTTGAAATGGAAAACTTTATTCAAGATTTTTTGTAATGGGCCATTGTGATCAGGATTAGAGATTAGCCTCTACTTCAAAGGTTTATTCCACTCTACAAGTAAAAGATTGGGAATATGTTAAAGGAAATTTAAACTGAAGTAAAAGAAATCAAAGGGACCCAGTTCCTGGCATTCTAAAGTATCCTAGTCCATCAGGAAACTGGACAAGAGCATTTATATCCAGTCATTGTACAAATAAGTTATGAAGAACTGGAGGAACTAGACCATTGAGGGGGGAACCCATACCCACCACCTGGCAAGATGCAGTCATTTTCTAATTATGTTCAGTTGAGACCTGAGGATTCTGTGGAAGAGCCTTGGTGGGACAGGGAGAGGGTGCAGCAGAACTCCTCATGCCTTGTTTTGGCTATAACAGCTCTGCTTTAAGAATAAGTTTGCTGATCTTGAAATCATCAGAAGAATGTTATGTACCTTGAGGAAAATAGAAAAAAACATCCTCTTATTAGAAATTATGTGTATAGATGCTATATATTATATTTAACTAGAAACATTATCCCATAGAAGAAAACCCACCCAATGGCTTCTAGAAAACATGGTAAAGGGTGCTTGCAACAGATGAAATGATGTGAGTGCCAAGGAGAGCAGACTTTCTCATTCATCACCTCTGACCATGGAATCCTGAATATAATCTGGAGCGTTAAAGTAGTTATCACAGCACTAATGAAGTTTTGTATTGTATTTATAATAATTCTTTTCGCTCTTCCTTTTTCTTTGTTTTATTTTGGTTTTTTTTTGAGACTCTGGCTGTCTTGGGGCTTACTTTGTAGATTAGGCTAGCCTCAAACTCACAGAAATTTACTTGCTTCAACCTCCTGAGTGCTGGGATTAAAGGTGTGCACCCCCCACTGCTGACAAAAGCTCTTTTATTGAATATGTTTGGGCTGCAGGCATATTGGCTCAATGCTTGTAGTCCCAGTACTCAGGAGGCTCTGAGGCAGCAGACTTGTTCTTCATACCAAGGCCAGCCTAGGGTTTCATGCTGTGTTTCAGGCTATTCTGAACTACAAAGTAAGGCCCCATCTGTAGTCATACCTCCATGGATGAGCCCACTTTTGTTTGATCTCAGAAGTTAAGCATGGTCTGGTCTGGTTAGTACTTGGGACACAGAATGAGACTGTCTCAAGAAACACAGCAAATTATCAGAGGCTACACTGTACTCAGTGATAGAGAGTTTGCCTGTTATGTCTAAAGGCTTCTGTGAGTTCAAGCCTCATTGAAAAACAATAGTTTCAGTTATCCAAGAAAGCTTCTCATTGCATATTTTTACAATTTAAAAACATTTCAGATGTTTTTCTAAAACAATGGTGATTATAGACATCTTTTACAATGTTGAGCATATGAAGAGTAAAGTTGTACATTTTACCTTAATTCACCATGTGGAAACTATGTACAATCATGTTTGTTTATGGAATTGAAAGGAAAGACTTACTGAATTTATTTTTAAAATTCTTCATCCAATCTGCCCATGTGTCAGTTTTTAAGTATGAGCAAATGCAACTCAAACCTGCAGCATTATTAGTCTTTGTGGAGTGGAGAGGACCCCTTGTCTGCCAGGAAGTTAAAGTCTATGTGGAATGCTGTGATGCAGCTTCAGAGTAGAGCCAGAAACATCAACATGCACTTGGCAGAGCCGCCCTCCCTGTCCATGTGGGGCAGTCAGGGAACTGCTGCAGAGACTGACTGGCAGTTCTTGGTGGTCAGCAGCTATTTTAGTGGCCAGAAAGTCCATCAGTGTGAACATACCATTCAGGCTTTCAGCTTGGTCTTTTTAGGGTTCCCAGCTTTAATGGGCTACTTGTTAATGAATAATTTAATTTCTTAAAGGAATGCAAGTTAATGAAACCTCAGTTAATGGCTTTGAGTACTTAGTGCTGATAAAAACTTGTTTCTTATGCTAATACTTTGAAATCACTTGACAACTATTACAGTGATGGGCAACAGATCAGGAGAAATAGTTGTCATGGAACTTCATCATGACTACAAAGGTGATACCTTTGATCTGTGTTGTAACGAGCATTCTTTCAGCCAGCCTGGTCCCAGAGCCACGTCAGTCCCAAATGAACACACAGGACACTATATTAATTATGAAGCTGTTGGCCATTTGCTATGATTTCTCATTAGCTAGCTCTGATTTAATTTTTAACCTGTAATTACTAATATATATATATATATATATATATATTTTTTTTTAAATAAGGTCTTATCTTACTGAGAATGCCAGACTTGCATTCTCTCCTACTGGGATCACATGGCTCTTGACTACATTTCCCAGAATCCTCATTCTCTCCTAGTCCTGCCTATCTTACTTCTCTATTGGCCAACAGTGTTTTATTCATTAACCAATAAAAGAGACATATACACAGAAGGACTTCCCCCATCATCTCCTCTTTTCTGTCTAAATAAAGAGAAAGGTTTTAACTTTAACATAGTCAAATTATATAACAGAACAGTTTCAAGTAAGAACCATAGTTATAATATTTAGTTCATTAACATTTAATAAGATTTAAAGAAAGTATTTACCATATATCCTATCTGTGTGAGTCTAAAGTCTTATATGTAGCATGTCTTTTATCATAACTAAGGAAAACTATAATTATAACTATTTGTCTTCAACTCCATCAAAGACCACAGAAGGATAATATATAAATACTGAAATTGATATAGACATCTCACTACCTGGACAGTCATCCGAAGTTCCTCTGTAACGTTGAGGCATCCATCTTCAGCCCTTAGGCCACAGTGTATCTGGCAGACTTCTCAGCAAAGCAGGAAATTTTAAACTGTCCGCCTGTATTGGCAGCTTGCTAGTCATTTTTGTGTGTGTGTGTGTGTCCTGCAGAATGTCTGGCAAACTCTTCTATGAAGCAGGAACTCTGTAGGACTGTCCAAGTTTACCAGTTACTTTCCTGTGGGTCCTGTATGTGTGGTTTATACAGCAACAGTCAAACAGTCCAGTCAAGAGCAATTTCTTGCCCAAATGGCTAATCTTGCCATGTTGAAAGCAGACTCCATAATGAGTTTCTTTGATGCCCATCTTCCTCTCAGACATAATTGGTTTGCCAGGATTAGTAGTGTCTCACTATTATGAAAAACCCTAAACCATTTAAATGTCGTATATTCTGTAGTTCTTCGAAAGGTTTGAAGAATATCTAACCATCTCAAATACATCTCTGTATATCGAAAACCTAACTAACCTAACTATAAGTTTTGACTATTTTAGGTAATTATCTATAATCTATATTTAATTATATATTATGTTTTAAAAGATCAATATAAACACAATACTTAAACAAGAGTAGAAATATACATATCACAAAATTGACCTTAAATTTGTATCAATAAATGAAAATCCATTCCAAGAAAAAAATATTTGTTTCTATACCATAATCCCCCTTTACCTTTAAAAAGATATTGGTTGTGATCATTAACCATTTATAACCAACCCCATTTAAATGAAAACAAAAATTTATAAGCAATAGTTGGGAATTTGGGCGTTATTCATTTTAAACTGCTCCTGCTGGTTGGGGGTGCTGTCCATGCCATGGGGATCATGACAAAACACAGAAACCTGGCTAAGTCTTTGTTTTTTGTAGTCTGTAAGGCTGTATGCAGAAAGAAAATTGTCCTAGTTAGCTTCTATTGCTGTGATGAAAACCAGGACCAGAGCAACTTGTAGAGATATTTGGCTAGTATGTCCTGAATCAGTCCACTGAAGGAAGCCAAGACAGGAACTCAAAAAGGGCAGGAACCTGGGAACAGGAGCTGATGTGGAGGTCATGGAGAAATGGTGCTTACTGGTCTGCTCCTCATGGCATGTTCAGACTGCTTTTTATTTTATTATTTTTTTTCTTTTTCTGTTTGTTTTTTTGTTTTTTTGAGACAGGGTTTCTCTGTATTGTTTTGGGGGCTGTCCTGGCTGGCCTCGAACTCACAGAGATCCGCCTGCCTCTGCCTCCCGAGTGCTGGGATTAAAGGCGTGTGCCACCAGTGCCCGTCTCAGACTGCTTTTTAATAGAACCCAGAACTACCAGCTCAGGGGGTAGCATTACCTGTAATGGGTTGACCCCTCCCACATCAATCACTAATTTAAAAAATAAGCTCTACAGGCTTGCCCACGGCCAAAATTTATGGGGGCATTTTTTCTAAGTCAAAGTTCCCTCCTCTCAGGTGACTGTAGTTTTCTCAAGTGGACATGAAACTAGCCAACACAATAATGATGTGTATGTTATTGTGTGGCAGGTGTGAGTGCATGTGTGCATGTGCTTACACACCATTACTGTAGCTTGTTTTTACTTAGAGTTTGTATTTATTCATATATATTAGTAATTTTTTTAAGTTGAGATGTATATGCTACCTCTAGACATTAGGGTATCTATAATTTAATCTAATTTCAAGTTTTCTTTGTAAGTCTTTTGTGGACTTAGTTTGTATGTGTGTAGTTTATAGACAGATGTGCCTCTCTGAGACATGCTGATTCAGAAGCTTGTAGTGACAGATGTCCACAGCCAGAAAGGTTGAAATCATGATTGTGTACAGTTACTGGGTCCTACATGCTCACTGAATTTCATAGAGAACGTGGTGTATTCTTAGAAAGGCCTGGTAAGCAGGGACATGTTTCACTTGTTTTGCTGCTGAGTTTATCTAAAACTAAAAGTAAATTCATTTATATTTTTAGCCACATTGGTAACTACTCATCCCCTTACGGAAACTCAGAATGTCAGTGTGTTCCAAATTGTGTCTTAACTTGTCCTCTATGTGAAATATAGACATTGCTTTACGGCTCCCTCAGTTTGCTTGGTTTTGTCTTTGTAGCTCCAGGGGCCTTGTCAAAGTTGACCCGAGGATTGAAAGATGAGTCATTGGCTTATATCTATCATTGCCAAAATCATTATTTTTGTCCAATTGGCTTTGAAGCAACCCCTGTTAAAGCTAATAAGGCATTCAGGTAAGCATTTCCATACTTGATAAGGGCACTTAACTAGGAAATGTGTTGTACAAAGAGCTTTCAGGAATTAAACAGATTCTAGACTCTTAGAAATTGGGAACTTGATAGTGTGTTTTGTTCACACCGAGTGTGCATATGTTTTGCAGAACTGAGTGCACTTAGAAGCTGTTGCTCAGTCATTGTAAGAAAAAACCATCTGAAGTACCACTTTAATGACTATTATACAAAGGTGCAGGGGGCATTCACATGCTAGCCCCTGTTGCAGGATATTTGATTACACTGTGAACCCCAAGATTTCCTTGTTTACTGGAAAAAACTGTTTCTAGTTGTGGTGTGGCCTAGCCCTAGCACACACCTTTAATCCAAGAACTTTCTGCTTTTTGTAAACAGGATTAAATAAAAACAACATTTCACAGGTCAATAGGTGGAGCAATCAATTAGTTGACAGGAAGTAACCATAGAGAGTAAGAAGGAGTCAGGAGGATGGATAGACACACAGGAAGTAGAAGGGAGGGACATTGAGTTGGAGATTTGTTGGAGACAGGATTTGTAGGAGAGAGGACAGGCTTCAGGGAGGACGGCTGAGGGGGAAGGTCAGCTAGGTGCTTTCTCTACCTCTCTGAGCTAGCAGACTTTGACCCCACCATCTGTCTCCTGAGTCTTTATTGAAAAAATCGAAATGATTGGGATTTTGTTGAAAACAACAATCCCCAGTGTCCTACATGCTGTGTGCCAAGAGTGCACAACTGAGTACATTAAAAAGCACCTCTGAATTCACGGTGCAGAACATGGAATTTGTCAGGGTTGTTCTCTTTCATAGCAAGGAAACGCAGGACCAGTGTCATATCTAAACTTCATCATTATATTTGCCTCTCCCTACACACACACACACACACACACACACACACACACACACACACACAGAGGAACTGTCTCTTTGAAGGAGATATATTCTAAACAAGGTTACTGAGTTTGAATGTTACTCTTTCTCTTTAGCAAGTTCCTTCACGAGGGACCTGAAAGCAGAGATTATGGCCAAGAAGAGTTGAAAATGGAAGCCACGCATGACTGTCCATTTTCTGGAGGGAGGGGCACTGGTGTGCTCCTTTTATGATTCTGACCTATGCCTTTCCCTTCCTTCAAGTACCTACCAAATGCAAAACAGGCTTTGACGTCTATTGCTTTGCTTTGTTAACAGCTGACGTTCATCAGTAAATATCTGTGCTTATGAACACCTTTAATTTTTTTTCTTAAAGATTATGCAAATCTCCAGGACTTTAATTAGAATTTCCAGGGGTGGAAAACATTGTTTAAAATCATCATCCCCCACCTCTAGGCCATCATCTCTTTAGGATGCTGCTACAAACTTGGATGCATCCTGAAGAAAAGAATAGCTGAAGAGAGCTGCTTAGAATGTTTTCCCCTCTGAAACAGGGGGTAATAAGTTAACCCTCTTGAATTAGGCTTAAATCTAATTCAAGGATTTCTTGAATCGTCCAAACCAAAATGCTGGTACTCATTATACATGAACAAAAGCCATCTTTATTTTTAGTGTTTTGGGTTTTTTGTTTGTTCCTTTGTTTTATCAATACATAGTTGGAACAGCATATTTTGGGAAAGTGAATGCCATTTATCATGCTGACTGTGAATGTATTTTCTGTTTAGCAGGGGCCCTCTCTCACCACAGGAAGTAGAATATTGGATTTTAATTGGAGAGTCAAGTAGAAAACACCCTGCCATTCACTGTAAAAGGTATGTTTTAGTAGCTTTTATTTTTTTCTTTAATTGGTACAATATTTCCTTCACTGAAAACACAGATAAAAATTGTCTTAACTAGATGCATGTAGATATATGTGTGGTTATTAGCCAGTCACAGTGCAGCCCTGCCCCCCAAATTCTGCTATGCTCTATTTCTCTCGAGCCCTACAGCCTCCCTGTTCTGCTTCCCATCATTACAGATGTGCTTTTCCTGCTTGGGAATTTTATACAGGTGAACTTCTATCCATTGTTTTTGTCTTGCTTTTCCATTTAAGTAACATATTAAGATTTTTTTTCCCAAGCTGGACATGATGGGGCACACCTTTAGTCCTAGCAGAGGCAGGCATATCTTTGTGAGTTCCAGGCCAACCTGATCTACAGAGCGAGTTCCAGGATAGTCAGAGCTACACAGAGAAACCCTGTCTTGAACAGCAACAACAAATAATTCTCTAAAAAAAATAGAATTGGATTATTTCTGCTAAAATCCTGATGTATATTTAATTAAAATGAATCTTTAGGACTGGTAGGTGGCTTGGCAGGTAGAGGTTCTTGAATGCAGGCCTGATGATCTGAGTTTGATCCCTGATCCACAGGCTGGAAGGAGAAAACCAATTGCTGATAGTCGTCTTCCAAACTCTACACATCCACTATGGCATGTACATGCCCATGCACCTGTACACTTCTCCTCCCCTTTCCCCCCATGCCCTCTCTCTATCACCTGTACATACACACACAGGCTGATAAAATCTCTAGGATTCATGGTTAACTTTAGGGAGAAATGACATCATAATGACATGGAGTCTTACAAACTAATACCAAGAACTAGATCACCACAGAATCATAATTTCAGTGGTTTCGATCTTTCAGTATAAACACACACATGTCAATATAGTTCTAAATTGATTAAAAATATTTCATTTTCAAGTTATTGCTGGTCATATTTTTAAAAATACCAGATTTTCGTATTTAGACCTTGATTTTCACTTCCCTACCAAATTCACCTATTATTTGTATAACTTCCTTTGATTTTTCTCCACAACCATTTTGTATATTAGTGGAGACATTATTTTTGAATTCTTTCATAAATTTAGCTAGACACATAGTGACACATTGGTAAATGAGGCAAAAGAATCATGTGAACCAAGGGGTTCAAGACCAGCTTATACAACATATAAAATCCCACCCCATGTCTCACCATAAGAAAATAAGTTGACTTGATTGTTATAGTAAATGTACATGCCACTGCTTTAGCCTACAAGATATTATATGGTATGTTGATATGTAAGAATAGAAACAAATTATAAACTGAGTACATTGACAGGAATTGGAAAACCATAACTGTCACAGAAAAAGAAGCTTTTAAAGGCTAGTAGATGGGACAATGCTGACCTAAAAGTTAATCATCAATTACTGTTGTAATATATTGTGGCAACTTGCTCGTGGAAAAAACTTTAAATCAGTGGTACTTTAAGCCTAAAGAAACCTGTCCCTTTTCTTATTATAGGTGGGCAGATATTGTCACTGACCTAAACACTCAAAATCCAGAATTCTTAGATATCCGACATCTAGAAAGAGGGCTACAGTTCCGGAAAACGAAGAAGGTAAGAACACTACTACATTGGAAGCCACTTCCCAAATGACCAAAATGTGATGTTTTATTAATATTCTTGATGTGGTAAATAACAGAAGCCAACTTCACACTGTCTTAGTCAGAAAAGTAAGACTTATTTTAAGGACACAGGCTAACTTTAAATTCCAGGTCAAGGAGGATGATCATAAAGAAATGACACCCAGTACTGCAGTAATGGTAGAAGACAAGCAGCTTAGGATATTAATCATGTTGTGCTCACAGTGCTTTATTTGAATATGCATTTCTTGCAGACTAACTTTCAATTTATGACTTATTTTCAGGTATAAGTTGAAACTTATCTGCCTTGGTTGAGTTTGATAGTCTTGGCCCAGCTTGGGTAAATTATGGTCTTGAGGCAGAGCCATGTGTACAAATATGACAACACAAAGAAGCTCTTAGAAGCAGATATAGCATAGACTGAGTAGACATCCTTCTGCAGTAAACCTGTTGATAAAAGAATAAATGAAACTGGGTGTGGTAGCACATGCTTGTAATCTCAGTTCTTTGAACACACACACACACACACACACACACACACACGGGGAGAGAGAGACGGGGGGAGGGTAAAGCTTGATCTTAGTGTGTGTTAGGTGTATGAGACCATGATTATGCTGAGTCTAGGCTGTGGAGAGGAGTACTCTAGTTCCTAAGGACTTCGTTGTACTGTAAATACAGCTTTCAGGAAAGGTGAGTATGTTAGTGTGCTCTGATGAGTGCGGAATAGAAAAGTGTTTTCAGACATGTGAAAGAGTAACACCATCACCCCAAAGGAGTCAATAAAGACCCCACAAACTTCTGAGTGTTTTCTCTTTATTGTCTTCATCTTTTTTTCCTTTGTCCTTCTTAGGTTGGAGGAAATTTGCATTGTATCATAGCATTTCAGAGACTCAGTTGGCAAAGATTTGGCTTTTGGAACTTTCCATTTGGAACCATTAGACAAGAATCACAGCCTCCCACACATGCCCAGGGAATTGCCAAATCTGAGAGTGAGGACAATATCTCCAAGAAGCAGCCTGGGCGTCTGGGCAGGTCCTTTAGTGCTAGTTTCCACCAGGACTCAGCATGGAAGAAGATGTCTAGCATTCATGAGAGAAGGAACAGTGGCTACCACAGCTACAGTGATTACAATGGCAATGACTGACAATGTTGGGAACTGAACCACTGGCGTTACCCACACAGCTGTTATGTACAGGACTGCATTAAGGCAGAGGATGGTTTATTAAGTCTACCAATAGGAACAGATCTTGTGGTACAAAGCATAACTTGTAGTTCTCCAGTAAATAAGCTTACATAGTATCAAAACGGACGGCTTCAAATATATAGGCAGGTAAGCACAGATTACTGCCCTCTTAAAGTTAAAAGTAGATAAACAATCTGAACAAAGGGTTTCACAAAATCCAATTAAATTACAACTGCTTCAAAACAAAAATAAAAATGCATTTAACATCATCAAAACTTCAACTATTAAAGCATGAAGTGATTTCTGGAAACTTGATCCCTAGTCATTTATTACAGATACTTTGATTCCTAAGACCAATTTGCAAGGCACTGTCTCTCCTTTAAAAAACGGGGGTTGTTGTGTTGTAGCTTTTGTTCATTTAAAATTATCTTGCCAGTCTAGTTATTCTTTCAATGCTAGCAGTATTCACCTCATCTTTTAGCTTTCCTGAATAACTATCTCAGGATTCTCAACAAAGAAATAGAAAATACTCAAGAAACTGACCTTTCTCCAGATGTAGACAGGTGACTTATGGCACTGATTCTGATTCTCTTGGTCTGGCACATGGCTGTGAAATAGTTGTAAGAAGTGTAGGTCTTGAACAATGTCTTCAAGTCTAGAACAAACCTTGTTTTAGTGTATAGTTAAAGAGCACTTGGAATCCAGAGTTTCCATGTAATATGTACTGTGAGATCTGATATTTGGTCTCTTAATGGAGTCATGTGTTAACAACAGCACTGAAGACACGCTGGCAATGTTTAGGTCACTCTGAAGACAACATTCTTGTATTCTCAGCTCTGAGCTGTTTCCTTCTGTGAAACATCCAATTAGTTGTTTGAAGGATGTGTTAAGTATTTCAGAAGTGTGAATTCAATACTTGAGCTCCTTTTTAGTTTCTGTCATTTTTCTTCTTGCTGCCAATGTGTGACTCACAGACTTCTAGGATATTGTTCTTTCATGTAATAGGCTCATTCCCGGACCCAAATCAGTAACTTGGTGATCACAAGGTGCTGGGTATGTTGGAACCATATTGCAATACACCTCAAGGAGAGGTTGCAGAATTTTATTTTTAAAATTTTTCATTTTTTTCTCTTAAATTTTATATCCATTTATCCACTCATACGTGTCTAGCGTACAGAAAGGGATATATATTACAAAATGGTCATATTTCTGAAGAGATTATTTAGCTTGAAATGCAAAGGACTGAAAGAGTTGTTGGTTATTGATTTTGTTACTTCATACTGGAACTTTTAAAATGTTTTCATTAAATAAAGTTTTGTTTTATACTTTTAATCATGTGAGTGTTAATGAGTCTGTGTTTTCTCTAGGGCATATTTTCATGTCTGTGTGAAGCATATGATAATTTGTCAATTCTTTGTAATTAGTGTTATAAGAAGCATCTTGCAATTTTTATAATCAGTGAAACACAGTGGAAGGTGATGACTTCCACTCCATACTTTCTATTTCTTAAGTACCTGGACACTGGTTCTCTTAACACTTCATAACAAGGAATAGAAAATTTCTTATATTAGTTTGAATGAGGTTTCAATTTTTGTAGATCAAGTGTGTTTTCAGTATAAGCTGTTTTTTAATAGTTCAGTTGAGTATTTCAAAGAAATGCATTTGAAGAACCAGAGGAAAGGATTAAAATGTGAAATAAAATATAAACATTTAGAACAAAGTGACAGCAGTGACAACAGGAAGAGTTTATTTCCTGCATACTGATCATATGCTTTATAAAAACAGTAACTGACACATGGTCATCTAAAACTTCAGCTTACAAATTTGACGTTACTTAAACCACAGTAATGTTTGGGTCCAGTGGGAGGGTTTTTTCAGGGCACGTAGATAAGAGTTCCTTCATGCTTCTCCTTGAAAACTAGTAATATTCCTGCTCTATTTGATCTCTTAGTCAACCCTTAGGAATCTTCATAGGCCTTCTAATGAAGGATACCAATTGGCTCTGAAATTCCTGTTGTCTCAACTGTGAGGTGTCCTCTTTGCTAGTGGTTTTAGAGAACAAATATGGTGCTTTGTATAGTATTTAGAATAGTAGTTGGAAGACATTTGTTTGTTATAATTATTTTGAAAATGTGTTTTAGTTGATTGAGTAGTTCATAGAGCCCATTATACCTTGAAAAGAACAAATATCTTTTATGTCAAATATACATTCCTTGGTTGCCATTCTTTCAAAAGCATTTCGTATTTAAAACATTGCTGTGGCTTTAAAATCATGCCTAATACTCAAATGGACACATTGGTTATTTGTCTTTATCGAGCTCTCAAAAATTAAAAAAAAGACCTAGTAACTATTCCTTTACAGTGCTATATCCCATCATACCAAGCTGGCATAGCGCCTGTAATGTTTCCCAGTTGCTCAGGCAACTGCTCCAAGATCTATATTATTTAACTCAATTCACCTTTAGAATTTCTACTCTGCCAATATTTCACTTAATAAAATAATAATAATACCCCTAATCTTAATGGAGTAACTTACTAGGTGTTTCATCTAAAAATTCAGAACTCCCAAGACAGGTGCCAGCTAAAAAGGAGGCTCTTACTGGTGATGCAACTTCTCCACGGTTATAGCGAACCTTGGTTTGCTAGAACTATCATAATTGTAAGCGTTTCGTCGGGATGGGTCAGGACAGGATGGAACAGGAGTGGGTCAGGTATTCTGGCACTCGGGAGTCACAGAATACTCAGTGTTACACAGCTCAGGTGGAAAGGTATCCTGGAGCTCGGGAGCCAAGGATACTGAGTGTTACACAGCTCAGGTAGAAAGGTATCCTGGAGCTCGGGAGCCAAGGACCACCACAGGTTGCAGTAAGCTTGGCAGCTTACAGCCTTGCCTCAGAGAAAGGCTTCTCCGGTGTATCAGCTCCGCTCCGGCAGGACAGGGTCTTCCAGCTGGGGATGTTCGCCTAGTGTAGCAGTTTTGCTCCGCAGGAGGTTTCTCGGGCGAAGTTGCTACAGTTCAGCTCTGGGCGAAGTTGCTACAGTTCAGCTCTGCTCCTGGAGAAGAGCAGGGAGCCGGGAGCAGAGTGTAACAACTCCACTCTGCCAAGGAAGGTTTCCCGGGCAAGTGTTACAGCGCTGCTCGCTCTGCTCTGCTCTGCCCAGGGTCGCCTCTGCTTGCTCTGCTCTGCTCTGCCCAGGGTCGCCTCTGCATGCTCTGCTCTGCCCAGGGTCGCCTTTGCTCTGTCGCCGCCGCAAAAGAAGATCTTCACCCGAAGCTCATCCAAAGGTGTTTATTGGAAGACAGCTGGACCAGCCAAGCTGAACATACACAGGGTTTATATAGGGATTTCTGGGGTTGGGGAAGTTTTTCCAGAGTAGGGATTGGTCCGATTTCAGTGCTGAGCTTAGATTGGCTAGAGCTCTGCTCCGGGATTGGTTACTTTTTTTACACAGGATTAGGGTCAGATTTGGCTCTGGTTTCAGGGCCAAAGTGTGTTTCTTTCTCTGGTCCTTTTTAGCCTTTTGCCTCCAATTTTAGGGCCAGGGTACATTTCTTTCACTGACTCTGATTCCAGGGACAAAGTGTGTTCCTTTGGCACTGGTTTTAGGGTCAGGGTACATTTCTTTGGTTGTGGTTGCAGGGCCAAAGTGTGTTTCTTTGGCTCTGCTCAGGGTGTGTTTCTTTGACTGGTCCCTTTTCCCTACAATAATAAAATACCAGAAACTGAGTTTCTTAAAAACAAGTTTCTTGCTGGGCGTTGGTGGCACACACCTTTAATCCCAGCACTCGGGAGGTGGGGGGGGAGGGGGGGCAGATCTCTGTGAGTTCGAGGTCAGCCTGGTCTACAGAGTGAGTGCCAGGACAGCCTCCAAAACTACACAGAGAAACCCTGTTTCGAAAAAGAAAACAAACAAACAAACAAACAAAAACAAGTTTCTTTCCTCACAGTTCTGTAGATCAAGACAACCTTTTGACAAGTTTGGTTTCTTGTCTCTTAGACTTGCAGGAGCTTATCCCTTTTGTCATCCTATGGCCTTTCCTTTGTGGACTCTCTTGGAGTTTGTGTTTCAACTCCCTCTTATAAGGATAGCAGTTATACTATACTGGATTATAAATTACAGATTGTGTGTGGAAGGAGTGTCTGGGCGGGGGGGGGGAATAGGAATCAAATCCATGGACTCAAACACGTCTGTATATTTATGTCTGTCATTTATCATGGCTATGTTAGACTCAGACTTTTTTTTTTTTTTTTTTTTTGCTAAATTCTAGCTCCAGTACCCTTAGGCACCTAATGGCCTCATTGTTTAAGAAAACCACTTTCTAAAAATCACTGTGGATACAAGCACATTTTGAAGTACTTGGAATTTTGTAATCAACATGTGAAATTTGAATTCAACAAGAAATCTGTACTGAATACGTAGTAATTCTGTGGTACACGTTAAGAACCAACAGTAACTCTTGATTGCAATGCTGCATTGATAGTCCGGAGGGCTTTGGCGCAGAATTTATACGTCACGCGTCAACGCGAGACTGCCAATTCCCGGGAGAAACCAAGTTCAACAGGACCGCCCGCGCCGGTCCTTAACTTCTGTTACCAGAAGTGCCAACTTTTGGGCCGAAGCATTCGTGCCCCTTCCCACCGCCGCCATGTTCAAGTGTCTCTTTTCTTCTCGGAGGCCAGGTCCTCGCCGGAAGTGGCTCATCGCGGTGTCACTCTTTTTCAAGCCCGCGTCGGACTAGTTCCGGCTGCAGAGAGGTGGGGTCTCCGTGAGCGGAGTCCGCTGGCGGCCGGCGCTACCTCTTTTTGAGGCCAGAGGCCTGCGGGGCCAGCTCAGCGCGCCTGCGCCATGGGAGTCCAGGGGCTGTGGAAGCTGCTGGAGTGCTCCGGCCGCCCGGTCAGCCCGGAGGCGCTGGAGGGCAAGGTGCTGGCTGTCGGTATCCTTAGCACTGGCCGGGCCTCTGCAGGGTAGCCAGGCTTCCTGCGGGAACCGGAGCCGGTTGTTGCTTGGGGTCTGCTTTGCAGCCCTGCTCTACTTTTAGGGTCACTTGGTGTCCCCTTTGCTTCAGTTCTTCCTGCAGAGCAGGCACACAGTTGCCTTGGAGAATATGGAGATTTAAATGATCAGGTTGGAATAGCGTCGGGCTCGGTAGCGCTGTAAGTTACTTTCTGTGGGAGGTCAGCATGGGGAGAACAAGGTAGAGAATTCCGATCTCTCTCTCTCTCTCTCTCTCTCTCTCTCTCTCTCTCTCTCTCTCTCTCTCTCTCTCTCTCTGCATACTTAACTAGTTGTTTGTTTGTTTTTTTGGAACAAAAAACTAATGTGTATAGTGTAGTTTCCTTCAGCACCTGTAATAGTTGTGTGTCACTGGAGTTTTGTTTTTTTTCCTTTGAGTATGTGATGCTAGTTTTGAAGTTTTCATTTGTCCCACGACCCCTTTTACAGTGCCTCTTCTATCTGAGAAGCTGGAGGTACCTTTACACCATTTTCTTAATGAGAACTAAAAAGATTTTAGAATAATTTCTGGGTGCGTGCGTGTGTGTGTCTGCGTAGGGGGGTCATGCCAAGTCATTCTGTAAAGTACAGCAAAGAAACCATTATCTGATGAGTCAGTTCTTCGCTGTGTGCCCAGCTTATAATTAATGGAGAGCATGTAATATTGGGAAGATAATGTTTTGTGTCAACTATACCAATGACAATTTTTTTTACCCAGAGTACAGTGAGTTGGATAACCTGAAGAGCTCTGAAGAGCTTTGTAAAGTACCTGTGCTGTGTGCACCCTGGTGGTTTTTCGGTGTCACTGCAGATAAAGGATTTCTGAATTATTAGTGAATGAAATTTACAGTGATGGGATTCTTAAGTTCTCATCTAGGGTTTCAGCTTGTGGTGATAGAGAGCTTTGTTAGGATGTGTGAGGTCCCCGAGTTCTATCCTCATCATCGTGAAACAGTACTGCTGATTGCGCCGTCAAGGATTAAGGTTATTTTCTGTTCCAGCCCCTATAAAGGATTAGGAAGTTTAGCATCCTAAGGTTCAGGGATGTCACAGGAAAAGTAAGTTACCTGTGAATGGTTGAGTCCCATTTACAATGGCTGAGGGTGTGAAGTTATTTTTGTGAGGTTATTAAAGTTTTCTGAAAGAATGGGTCATTTACCTAAAAGAAATTGAGAAAGATTCTGCATACAATCACATATGTGTTTTGTCATAATCTGATTAAGTCTGTAATTTAATTTTCTATAATTCATCATGAGAATTCTGGTATCTGAAATTTAGGTGTTAGTGTTTTGTTTGCTAATAACGAACTCATTCATGATTATCTCAGGTTTGTAGTTTACATACTTTTCCAAATAAATTGTTTGGGTTTTGGACCATATTGATAGCTGTCTTATTGAAACTGTTTATGTCTGTGTGAAAAGTTAGGAAATAACATCTGTTAATGCATTACTTGTATTAGGGAGATAATACCGTCTCTGAACACATACCCATATGGATTAACTTAGTCTTTAGTTACCTAGCTTCAGGACTAAGGAAGATAACCTTTTTTGTTCTCAGATGGTATTGGGTCTTTGAGTTTTAACTCTAAAAGCAAGTTTTGACTTTGTTTCATACTTAAGTTAAAGTTCTGTCACTTGGAGAATTTAATTTCATTCCATGTGTGTTGAATCAAATTTCAGCTTGTGTCATTTTATGTATTTTTTTTCTTAAGAATTTCACCTTGGGTCTCTCAACCTTCCATGAGAAGTGGTAAGCCACATCTAATTTACATATGGAAAGGAATCACTTCAGTGTGATTCAGTGTTTCAGGAATAAGGTTAATCTTTTCTCAGAGTCTAGGTCCTAGACTCATAGGCAGAGTTAGCAGCTACCTTAACTCTGAAATTGGGTTTTCTCAATTTTGAAGTCAGAAGTGATCTGCTGTATAGAAAATTCTTTAGCTCTGTATGACAGTGTAGCCAGCAGAAAGGAGCCAAGCAGAAGCAGTTCTCCAGAGCAATACAGAACATGTGGACCTGACCAGTTATGTCTGAGACATGCCATCACAATCATCTCCTTTTATGTGGGCTGTTGTAACTTAGTTAAACCGTCTCCACCTGTCTCCTAAGGTCTTAAGTCACATCTGGAAACTGCTTAGATACCTCATACATCACCTTCCACCCCACCCCACCACACAGACCTTGTGTAGACGTGGCTTCTGCCCTCCCCAGGTTGCTCCTTGCACCTTTGTTCATGTCAGTTCTGTTCTTGAGATGTTTTTTTTTGTAACTAAAGTGCCAAATCCTCAGCCACTCTTCTGTCCGATTGTTTCTTTGCACTTAATGAATGTGTCAATTATTTTATTGTCTTTTGTCCTGTTAGAATATGTGCATCTCAGACATAGGGGGTGTATCCATCTTGTTCACAAATGTATTGTTTGATGCATCTCTCTAGGGTCTTGGATACACTTGGTAGGATGGCATGAGAGTCATTTACAGTCATCTGAGTGGAGGGAACTTCAATTGAGAAAATACCTCCATAAGATCAGGCAAGGCTAGCCAGTGGTGGTGGTAGTGATGGTGGAGGCAGAGGCAAGTGAATCTCTTGAGTTCAAAGCCAGCTGGTCTACAGAGTGAGTTACAGGAGAGCCAGGCCTATACAGAGAGAGAAAAACCCTGTCTCAACACCCACCCAATCCCCCCAAGAGAAAGATCAGGTAAGACTGAAGGGCATTTTCTTAATTAGTGATTAATGGGGGAGGGCCCAGCACATTGTGGGGTGGTACCATCCCTGGGCTGTTGAGCAAGCCAACAAGCAGCATCCTTTCATGGCCTCTGCATCAGCTCTTACCTGCCTTGCCCTGGCTTTCCTCAGTGATGGACTGTGTCGTGAAAGCATAGCAAAATAAACCCTTTCCTCCCCGACTTGCTTTAGGTCATGTTGTTTTACTACAGCAGTAGAAACCCAAACTAACACAATAGCATATTGCCCTAGTACACAAATTACACTAGTAACCTTGGTGGTAGTGAATGATAGACAATGGACATTAATTTAAAAACGTTCAATGTTGCCGGGCGTTGGTGGCACATGTCTTTAATCCCAGCACTAGGGAGGCACAGGCAGGCGAATCTCTTGTGAGTTCAAGGCCAGCCTGGTCTACAGAGCGAGTTCCAGGACAGCCTCCAAAACAATACAGAGAAACCCTGTCTTGAAAAAAACCAAAATAAAAAGTTCAATGTTTTAAAAATAATGCACACTGTCTGCAGTTAGACTTAATGAAGCAGCTTATACAAACAAGGTTGATCACTGACTAGTTGTTCCCTGTACTGGACAGTATGTTCCATAAAGGTACACACTGTCAGTGTTAGATACCCATATTTCTGTCATATAATAATACATCTCATAGAGATGCATATCTGGAAGTGTTAATTGAGGCCAGGAAAATGCCACATAGTTTGAGACTCAGTAGGACACAGGTTGGCATAGGGGAAGTCCTTGGTAATAGAAAGAACCTGAGTGGTTTCTGATATTAGGAGTGTAGTAGCTTAAAATGTGACAGGAGAAATGAGCACAGACCAGATCATTTATGGATTTGAAACATCAAACGGTTCTTGTTAAAAGTTTTATTGGCAAATCTCAGTGTACTTCCAGGTATAGCAAACCTGCAACCCACAGACAACATGTACCTGTAATAGCTGATAAGTGTGGCCAAACACAAAATCTTAAAATTACCTACATAAAACATTTTGAAAGTGGTTTTTGTTTGTTTATTTCTTTTTTTTTTTTTTTTTGCAACTTGTTTGCACAGGTCTTAGGCATGAACTCTGTAGACAGTAACATACAGGTACAATATTAAAGGTTGGATGTACCTGCAAGGTAGAACTGATAGGCTCTCATATTGCTTGACTCATGAGGATATGAGAACTGATACCCAGAACTCAGGCCCATGTGCAACTGACTCACTGAGGTGGGGCACAAGCAGCTCCGTGCAGAAGGCATGGAGCTTGAATTTGAATTTGAAATGTCTTCAAGCAGTCAGGTAGATGCCAACCAGGTTATCTAGGACAGAGTGCTGCTCTAGTCTCAGAGACACGTGGGTTCTTTGGGGTAGCATCTACAAGTGGTGTAGATTTGAGGGAAGAAGGCGGCCTAGGAAAGATCATGGTAGAAAAGTTCTCTAAAGGTGAGCTACAGGAACTGGTGAAGAGCAGAAATCCAGCAGGATGTCAGTTCATTCAAAGGAACAAATGCAAAGTCCATTAAAAAAAAAAGGACACCTTAAAAAATGTTGAGAAAGTGAGAAAAGTACAAGAAGAAAACTTAGACTTGTTTCAGCAGAGCTTAGCTTTAATATGGCTAGTGTCTGGCCAGTTCTTCTGCATTTAATTTGGATTATAAAGAGAATCACACTGTTAAATTTTTATAACCTATTTTTCTCTAGTAATGTTTTACAATTATTTTTAATCATTAAACATGTTTTGAACTTGTTCCTAAGAACATGCTATCCTAGGAACTCAGCATATTGTAATTGAGTTTTAAGCACTGACCCATGCTAAACTTTGAAACCTTTTTATATTTTTATTGTTATATTCAAGCATTCTTATATATCTTATTGTAAATCCATGATGATTTCTTGAAGGTGAACGTGTTGTAGGAGATTTGTTCTCTCTGTCCCCCAAAACTATCAGTAAACTGAGCCTTGATTCAGAGGACAGAGTCCACGTGCATCTGACCAGAATAAACCACAGGATTTTTTTTGGTGGACTCAGATGAGGAGAGAGGGACACAGGGAGGAAGGAAGAGGGTCTTAGGAGTTTCATGGCCTTTTTTCCCCCTTGGATCCTGGAAAAACAGAGAGGAGGTTCTGCTGTGATTTTTTTTCTCTGTCACTTTTTGGATCTCCCATGCTCATACCTTACTATTTGACTCCCAAGTTTTTCTTATTAATAGACAAATTTAGATAGTTGTTGCATAAACTCATGGAAATGGAATTCTTAGGTAAAACAGAATACAATTTTTAACTCTTTTTGCTATGAATTTTCAAGTTGTCCTCCAGAAACTTGTGATAGTTTCCTAGCATTCTTTGTAGAACGTTAGATCTTTGTTCATTTTTATTGTTTTGTTTTTGAGCTGGAACCTCACTTGCTCTGTGGCCCAGGCTGGCCTGTTACCCACAATCCTCCTGAATCATGGGATTACAGTTGTTGTCACCACACGTGCTTAGTTTATTTGTTGTAGCAATCTCAGTAACTGAAGCCGGGGTTTGTGCATGCTATGTAAGTATCCAGCTCCATCTCCAGGCTTAGTAGGAGGGCTTTTCTTTTCAAAGAAGGCATTTTCATTATAAAATCATTTTTTACAGTTTTTTTAAAGTTACTATTCAAAATAGGGTTCTTTGGCATACTCATACATGTGTAGCATATCATTGTTCTTTGTTCATATTTGCCTTCCCCAGTCCATCTTCCCACCTTCTACCCATCTTCCCCTCCCAAATGCTCCCCTTCTGCTTTCATGCCATCACACATGCATGTGTGTGTAGACTCATGTGACAGGGTAAATTTACTGGGCATCTAAAGAAGCTGTCTGTGCCTAGGCTTTTGAGGGGTGGATCTGCCTGTGATTGTAAGGTTCAGTGTGTGGAAAGCAGTAAGGAGCCACAGAAAATCCAGCTGACTGTTGTAGATTCCAGCATGGCCACTGTCTTTCAGCTTCACACAAGTGGTGGTGTATGTTCAATGTTCTGTTGTTGGTGTCATCTCTTGGAAATTGAGATTTTGAGAATGAAGTTGGAAATTCCAAACTGTTTTCCTTTACTGACTCTCCCAGATATTAGCATCTGGTTAAACCAGGCACTTAAAGGAGTCCGAGATCGCCATGGGAATCCTGTAGAAAATGCTCATCTTCTCACGCTGTTCCACCGGCTTTGCAAGCTCCTGTTTTTTCGTATTCGCCCTATTTTTGTGTTTGATGGAGATGCCCCACTGCTAAAGAAACAGACCTTGGTAAATATTTTATTCTCTTTTTAGATCCCAGTGGCAAATTTTTATATTAAATTCATTTACAACATTTCTTCCCTTACTTTCTTCTAAACCCTCTTATATATTCTTTCCCAATCACCTTCAAATTCATGACCTCTTCCCCCCATTTATTATTGCATGCGTTTATGTATATGCCTATATATTCCTAAATGTAACAACCTGTTCAATCTGTAAGACTCCCTGTATATGTTTCGGTTTTAGTTTTTGTTTTGTTTTTGGCTTTTCTCTGTGTAGCCCTGGCTGTTCTGGTTATTTTATAGACCAGGCTGGTCTTGAACTCAGAAATCCTCTTGCTTCTGCCTTCCTAGTGCTGCAGCTTAAAATGTGCGCCACCCATGTCCAGTTTTGTGTATGTTTTCAATGAACAGTTTTGACATGTAATCAATTTAATTTCAATTGTTTTTAAAAATTTATCTTCAACAGTTTTGTTTGTTTTTTCTCATTTTGAGACAGGTTCTCTCTATGTAGCCCCAGCTTGTCTGGAACTCCCTATATATAAAACCAGGCTTGCCTTGAACTCACAGAGACCTGCCCTTACCTCTTGAGTGCTGGGATTAAAGACATGCAATAGTACGTCAGGCTTGTAACAGTTTGTCTTTAGAAAACTTTTACAAGAGTCTAAAGAGTCTATTATATATGTAATGATCAAATTTATTTATTAGCTGAAGCTATGAGAATTCTTTTTTTTTTTTTTTTTTTTTTTGGTTTTTCAAGACAGGGTTTTCCTGTGTAGCTTTGGAGAAGAATTAGAATTCTTAAAGCAGTTTCTTTAGAATATCTGTGTAGGTGGTCCACATGTTGTCTGACTGGGCTACTATTGCTCATTGTGGAGCCTCTACTATTGCTCATTGAGAGTGCGATTGAGTGTCCTTGGTAACAGGGAAACAAAACAAACAAACAAACAAAGAAACAAAAAACTACTTGCAGAATAACAACAAAACTGCACTGACCCAGGCTATCTTCTAGAATGCCTTCTTGGAGGCAGCACTGTCTCAGCAAAATTGTCCTTTTTTTAGGATATCTTGACATTTATTAGAATATCTTTTTATACATGCTAAGGATTTCTTCTAATATAATGTTGAATTGGGGGGTACAAAGGTACATACAAATAATACATTTTTCGAAACAGTATCAAATTATAATAATTTGTCTAAAGTTCTAGATTCTTGGTGGTATTGAAGTTTTTTTTACAATAAACTGACAATAAGCTAATAACTTCACAGATATGCTCTATAGGTGATATTTAGGCAAGTGCTCTGTGTGCCCTGTGCGTCACAGAACCTGAAGATGCTTACTGACAGCAGTGAGGAGGAAGTTCTAGAACAGCTGTTGTCCCTAAATTCAGATAAGGAAATGTTTTTAGTAGACCAGCACCTGAGGTGAAATCCCACCTGCTTCATTTCCACAGGCAAAGAGAAGGCAGAAGAAGGATTCTGCGTCCACTGACTCCAGAAGAACCACAGAGAAGCTTCTGAAAACCTTTCTGAAGAGACAGGCTCTGAAAACTGCTTTCAGAAGCAAAAGGCAAGAGGAGGACTGTGCTGTAGACACTCACTGGGTTTCACTGTTCTCTCTCCTTGTCTCTTTTAAGAATAGGAAGAGTCAGGAGAGGTGTGGATAGCATCAGACTTGGCGGTACAGAATTGTGGCTACTGAGAAAGAAAAGCTATTGTAGTGCTTCTCCCTTTAATTAACTAGTTTACTGATTTGTATTGTTTTAAAGAGTTGTAAGAAATGGAATACATGTGCTGGGCAGGTGCACTACCATGGGGTTCACTGCAACCCAACTTTTTACTTTGTAGCTGAGGCTGTGGCAAAGGCTCTGGGGAGCCCTAGGTAATTCCCCTTTCCCTCCACGTGGTTCTTAGTTGTGGCAATAATAGCTCTGGGGAGATGTAGGCAGGAGAAGACAGCCAGATGAAGAGGGAGCAACTGTTGCCCTTGAGCAGGGTTTGTGCAACCAGTGGGAGGAGATGATCGATTAGAAATGCATTTCATATGACATTATTGAAAGCTATATGTGCTTTTCAGAAATGAAGCTCTACCGAGTCTTACTCAAGTTCAAAGAGAGGATGACATCTATGTTTTGCCACCTTTGCAAGAAGAAGAAAAACATAGGTAAATATCTACTAAGGAGTATCACTTTAGAGGCTGTTATTAAAGGGCTTGCCCCTCAAGTGTGAGGTCTTAAATTTTTCTTTTATCATTTTTTATTTTAATTTTAAATAGCTGGTTTTACATGTCAATCCCAGTTCCCTCTCCCTCCCCTCCTCCCGCATTCCCCTTCCCCCCCACCCTCCCACCCTATTGCCAAATCCTTCCACATAGGGGATATCTAGAGTCTGTCATTTTACTCTGGGTAGGGTCCAGGCACTCCCCTAAGAGTCCAGGCTGAGAGAGCATCCCTCTTTGTGCTATAGGCACACGAAGACTGTTTGTATACCAGGGATAGACACTGATCCACAGCTCAGGGCCCCATAGGTTGCCCAGGCCTTCTCGCTGACACTCACATTTGGGGGGTCCAGATCAGTCCCATGCTGGCCTCCCCACTGTCGGTCTGGGATCCAAGAGCTCTCCCCTGTTCAGATCAGCTGTCTCTGCTGGTTTTGCCAGCCCATTCTTTGCCAATTTGCTCATCACTCCTCTCTCTCTGTCACTGGGTTCCTTGGGTTCAGTTCAGTGATTGTGTGTTTGCCTCTGCTTCCATCAGTCACAGGATGAAGGCTCCCGGATGGTTATAGACATCAAGTTCATTATCAGGAATGGGCATTCGAGGTGGTCTCTCCACTATTGCTTAGCTTGCCAATTGGTGGTATCCCTTTAGATCACACGAGGTCACTCTGGTGCCTGATCTATATTCGATCCTATGATTCCCTCTTCCCCCTATTCTACCCCCACCCTCTCAACTTCCAGTTCCCCCATGACCAACTCTCTTCCTCTTCATACCCTCTCTTCTTCCCAGGTCCCACTCCCCCCCACTCCTCGCCGTGTTCCCCATCCATTAAGAGGATCTTGTCTCAATCCTCTTCTGTTGGGTACTATGCATATATGCATATCTTTTGGGTTCTTTCCTGTTTCCCAGACTCTCTATCAGTGGAAGTGCAGACTGGCACTATCCTGATCCATATCTAAAATCCATATATGAGTGAGTACATACCATGTTTGTCTTTTTGCGACTGGGTTACCTCACTCAGGATGGTTTCTTCCAGTGCTATCCATTTACCTGCGAATTTCAAGATTCCATTGTTTTTTTTTCTGCTGAGTAATACTCCATTGTGTAAATATACCACATTTTCTCTATCCACTCTTCAGTTGAGGGGTATCTAGGTTGCTTCCAGGTTCTGGCTATTACAAATAATGCTGCTATGAACATAGTGGAGCAGATGCCCTTGTTGTATATCCTCATTTGGATATATGCCTAAGAGTGGAATTGCTGGGTCTAGTGGTAGATTAATTCCCATTTTCCTGAGGAATCTCCATACTGATTTCCAAAGAGGCTGTATGAGTCGGCACTCCCACCAGCAGTGGAGGAATGTTCCTCTCTTTCCACATCCTCTCCAGCATAAATTGTCTTCGGTGTTTTTGATTTTAGCCATTCTGACAGGAGTAAGACGGTATCTCAGAGTTGTTTTGATTTGCATTTCCCTGATGGCTAAGGATGTTGAGCACTTTCTTAAGTGTCTCTTGGCCATTTTAGCCTCCTCTACTGAGAATTCTCTATTTAGCTCTGTACACCACCTTTTAATTGGATCCTTTGGTGTTTTGGAGACTTGTGTCTTGAGTTCTTTGTAAATTTTGGAGATTAGCCCTCTGTCAGATGTAGGGTTAGTGAATATCTTTTCCCATTCCGTGGCCTGCCTTTTTGTCTTTTTGACTGTGTCCTTTGCCTTACAGAAGCTTTTTAGTTTCAGAAGGTCCCATTTGTTAATTGTCGATCTCAGTGCCTGTGCCACTGGTGTTATGCTTAGGAAGTGGTCTCCTGTACCAACTCGTTGAAGAGTATCTCCCACTTTCTCTTCTAAAAGTTTCAGTGTGGCTGGATTTATGTTGAGATCTTTGATCCATTTGGACTTAAGTTTCGTACAAGGCGATAAACATGGATCTATCTGCAGTCTTCTGCATACCAGTACCCAGTTATGCCAGCACCATTTGTTGAAGATGCTTTCTTTTTTCCATTGTACAGTTTTAGCTTCTTTGTCAAAAATCAAGTGTTCATAGGTGTGTGGGTTAAAATTAGGGCTTTCGATTTGGTTCCATTGGTCTACCTGCCTATTTTTGTGCCAATACCAAGCTGTTTTCAGGACTATAGCTCTATAAGAGAGCTTGAAGTCAGGTATGGTGATGCCTCCTGAAGTTCCTTTATTGTATAGGGATGTTTTGGCTATCCTGGGCCTTTTGTTTTTCCATATAAAGTTGATTAATGTTCTTTCCAGGTCCTTGAAGAATTGTGATGGAATTTTGATAGGGATTGCATTGAATCTGTAGACTGCTTTTGGCAAGATTGCCATTTTTATTATGTTGATCCTACCAATCCAAGAGCATGGGAGATCTTTCCATTTTCTGGTATCTTCTTTGATTTCTTTCTTTAAAGACACAAAGTTCTTGATATACAGGTCTTTCACTTCCTTGGTTAACATTATCCCCAGATATTTGATGCTGTTTTTGGCTATTGTAAAGGGTGATGTTTCTCTGATTTCTTTCTCAGTCACTTCATCATCTGTATATAATAGGGCCACTGATTTTTTTGAGTTTACCTTGTATCCTGCCACATTGCTGAAGGTGTTTATCAGCTCTAGGAGTAACCTTGCAGAGTTTTTTGGGTCACTTATGTAAACTGTCATATCATCTGCAAATAGTGAAAGTTTGACTTCTTCTTTTCCTATTTGTATCCCCTTTATCTCCTTTTGTTGTCTTATTGCTGTAGCTAGAACTTCAAGTACAATATTGAAGAGATATGGAGAGAGTGGACAGCCTTGTCTTGTTCCTGATTTTAGAGGAATTGCTTTGAGTTTCTCTCCATTTAGTTTGATGTTAGCTGTTGGTTTACTGTATATTGCTTTTATTATATTCAGGTACGTTCCTGTTATCCCTGATCTCTCTAGGACCTTTATCATGAAGGGGTGCTGGATTCTGTCAAAGGCTTTTTCAGCATCTAGTAAGATGATCATGTGGTTTTTCTTTCGCAGTTTGTTAATATGGTGGATTACATTGATAGATTTTCTAATGTTGAACCATCCCTGCATTCCTGGGATGAAGCCTACTTGATCATGGTGGATGATTTTTCTGATGTGTTCTTGAATCCGGTTTGTGAGTATTTTATTGGGTATTTTTGCATCAATGTTCATGAGGGAAATTGGTCTATAGTTCTCTTTCTTAGTTGTGTCTTTGTGTGGCTTGGGTATCAAGGTAATTGTAGCCTCGTAGAAAGAGTTTGGCAGTGAGCCTCCTGCTTCTATTGTGTGGAATACTTTGAGGAGTATTGGAATTAGCTCTTCTTTGACTTTCTGGTAGAATTCTGCACTGAAGCCATCTGGGCCTGGGCTTTTTTTGTTTGGGAGACTTTTGATGACTGCTTCTATTTCATTAGGGGTTATAGGCCTGTTTAGATTGTTTATCTGTTCTTCATTTAGTTTTGGCAAGTGATATCTATCCAGGAAATTGTCCATTTCCTTTAAATTTTCAAATTTTGTGGAGTACAGATTTTCAAAGTATGCCCTGATGATTCTCTGGATTTCCTCAGAGTCCGTTGTTATGTCCCCCTTTTCATCCCTGATTTTGTTAATTAGCATGCTCTCCCTCTGTCTTTTGGTTAGTTTGGACAGAGGTTTATCTATTTTGTTGATTTTTTCTCAAAGAACCAACTCTTTGTTTCATTGATTCTTCTCAGTGTTTTTCTGGTTTCTACTTGATTGATTTCAGCCCTCAATTTGATTATTTCCTGGCGTCTGCTCCTCCTGGGGGAGTTTCCTTCTTTTTGTTCTAGAACATTCAGCTGTGCTATTAATTCTCTAGTTTGACTGTTCTCCAGTTTTTTCATGTGGGCACTTAGTGCTATAAACTTTCCTCTCAGCACTGCTTTCAAAGTGTCCCATAAGTTTGTATATGTTGTGTCTTCATTCTCATTGAAATCGAGGAAGTATTTAATTTTTTTTTATTTGTTCCTTTACCCAGGGATAGTGCAATTGTGCATTGTTCAATCTCCATGAGTTTGTAGGGTTTCTGCGATTTGTGTTATTGTTGAATTCTAATGTTAATGCATGGTGGTCTGATAGGATGCAGTGGATTATTCCAATTTTTTTGTATCTGTGGAGATTTGCTATGTTTCCTATTATGTGGTCAATTTTGGAGAAGGTTCCATGTGGTGCCGAGAAGAAGGTAAATCCCTTTGTATTTGGGTGGAATATTCTATAGATGTGTGTTAAACCCAGTTGGATCATAACTTCTATTAGTTCTTTTGTTTCTTTGTTAAGTTTCTGTCTGGAGGTCCTGTCTAGCGGTGAGAGCGGAGTGTTGAAGTCTCCTACTATTAGTGTGTGAGATTTTATGTGCATTTTGAGCTTTAGTAATGTTTCTTTCACGAAAGTAGGTGCCTTTGTATTTGGGGCGTAGATGTTTAAAATTGAGACTTCGTCTTGATGTATTTTTCCTTTGATGAATATGAAGTGTCCTTCTTCATCTCTTTTGATTGATTTTAATTTGAAGTCTAATTTGTTAGATATTAGGATTGCTACACCTGCTTGTTTCTTGGGACCGTTTGATTGGAAGATCTTTTCCCAACCCTTTACTCTGAGATAACGTCTATCTTTGATGTTGAGATGTGTTTCTTGCATGCAGCAGAAGGAAGGGTTCTGTCTTCGTATCCATTCTGCTAGTCTGTGTCTTTTTATAGGCAAGTTGAGGCCGTTGAAATTAAGGGATATTAATGACCATTGATTGGTGATCCTTGTTTGCGCTTGATTTATTGTTAGTGAAGTTATTTTGTGTAGTTTCTCCTCCCTTTTTCTTTTGGTGTTTTGTAAAGTGTGATTATATATTGCTTGTGTCTTTGTGAATGTAGTTATCTTCCTTGGCTCTAGGTTTTCCTTCTAGCATTTTCTGTAGAGCTGGATTCATGGATATGTATTGTTTAAATCTGGCTTTGTCATGGAATATTTTGTTTTCTCCATCTATGGTAATTGAGAGCTTTGCTGGATATAGTAGTCTGGGCCGGCATCCTTGTTTCCTTCGCGTTTGTAGGACATCTGACCAGGATCTTCTGGCTTTCATCGTTTCCATTGAGAAGTCAGGTGTAATTCGGATAGGCCTGCCTTTGTATGTTACTTGGCCTTTTTCTTTAGCTGCTCTTAATATTTTCTCTTTACTCTGTAGGTTTGATGTTTTGATTATTATGTGGCGAGGTGACTTCTTTTTCTGGTCGAGCCTATTTGGTGTTCTGTAAGATTCTTGTATTTTCATAGGCATATCTTTCTATAGGTTAGGGAAGTTTTCTTCTATGATTTTGTTGAATATGTTTTCTGTACCTTTGAGTTGTATTTCTTCACCTTCTTCTATACCTATTATTCTCGGGGTTGGCTTCTTCACGGTTTCCCATATTTCCTGGTTATTTTGTGTTAAGGATTTGTTGGTTTTGAGATTTTCTTTGGTTGACGACTCTATATCCTCTAATGAGTCTTCAACACCTGAGATTCTCTCTTCTATCTCTTGTATTCTATTGGTGATACTTGCATCTGTAGTTCCTGATCGTTTACCCAGCTTTTCTATTTCCAGCATTCCTTCATTCTGTGTTTTCTTTATCGTTTCTATTTCAGCTTTCAATCCTTCAACTGTTTGAGTTGTTTCCTTAATTTTTTTGTTTGTTTTTTCTTGGTGCTCTTTAGATTCTTTGAGAGACTTGTTTATTTCTTGAATTTTTTCCCCCATTTCATGGATTTTTTTGTTTGTTTTTTCTTCTATTTCTTTAAGGGGTTTCCTTGTTTCTTCTTTGAGGGTCTTCATCATCTTCGTGAAATAATTTTTAAGGTCTGTCTCCTCTTCTTCGTCTATGTAGAGCTTTTTGGGTCTTGCTGGTGTTGGATCCCTAGATTCTGGTGGGGTCATGTTGGTGTTTCTATTGCTGAGTGATCTCTTATTTTGTCTTCTTCCCATCTCTTCTTCTAGTGGGTGCTGGTGGGGTCTTTCCGTCTCCACTGGTCTCCTTCCTTCCTGCAGCTGAAGCTGGGGATGCTGACATGGAGTTTGGGTCCTGTTAGGGCTGATGTCTTTCCTGAAGCTGTACTCGCTGGGGTTGGGGTCTTGGAATTTTTGATGTCTTTGCTGTGTGGGCAGGTCTTCTGAAGCTGTACTCGCTGGGGTTGGGGTCTTGGAAGGGCTGATGTCTTTCCTGTGTGGGCGGGTCTTCTGGATGCCAGGAGCGGCCCGGAAGATCAAGGGGATGGGTGTCGGGCAGGGGGTCCTGCCGGAGACCCAATCTCACCTGAAGCAGGACTGGCTGGGGTTGGGGTCTTGGAGGGGCTGATGTCTTTCCTGTGTGGGCGGGTCTTATGGATGCCAGGAGCGGCCTGGAAGATCAAGGGGATGGGTGATGGGCGGGGAGGGGGGTCCCTGCCGGAGACCCAATCTCACCTGAAGCAGGACTGGCTGGGGTTGGGGTCTTGGAGGGGCTGATGTCTTTCCTGTGTGTGGGGGTCTTCTGGATGCCAGGAGCGGCCCGGAAGATCAAGGGGATGGGTGTCGGGCAGGGGGTCCTGCCGGAGACCCAATCTCACCTGAAGCTGGACTCGCTGGGGTTGGGGTCTTGGAGGGGCTGATCGAGGTCTTAAATTCTATTCGTCATACTTGCATAAAGAGCTTGGCATATGGCAGCAAATGCCTGTCATCTCAGCGTTGGGGAAACCTCTGGGGCTTCTGCATTTTTTAAAATGACAGATTCTCAGAACCTATCCTAGTTAGCCTGGAATTTGCTATGTAGTTCAGACTGACCTTGAACTTCTAATCTTCCTACTGTAGCCTCCTCAGTACTGGGGTTACCGGCCTACATTTATCATGCCTGGCCTAACTTGTCATTTCTTCAGGATAAATTTTCAGTCCTTTATTCACTCTTCTCCAACCTCATCCTCTCTCTGGTCTCCAAACCTATCCTAGTTGGCCTGGAATTTGCTATGTAGTTCAGACTGACCTTGAACTTCTGATCTTCCTGCTGTAGCCTCCTCAGTACTGGGGTTACTGGCCTACATTTACCATGCCTGGCCTAACTTGTCATTTCTTCAGGATAAATTTTCAGTCCTTTATTCACTCTTCTCCAGCCTCATCCTCTGGTCTCCAAACTGTCCTGGGCAGCTTTTCCTTTCCTTGTTTCCCCATGATTGTAGAACTCAGTTCATGTACCTAGAACACTTCCTGCATGTATTTCCTCTATATCCTTTGTTTATTTATAGCAAATCCACCAATGTAATTGTAGGAGATTCAGGAAAGCTTCCATGTCTGTCTATATTAATTACTTTTCTATTGCTCTGATAAAACATCATGACCAAGGCAACTGGTAAGAGAAACTGTTTAATTGGGTGTATGGTTCCCGAGGGTTAGAGTCTGTTATGGCAGAATGAAGGCATGACAGCAGGAACAGCTGAGAACTCACATCTGGAACCCTAGGTGGATGGGGTAGAGTGCACTGGAGATGGTGGGAGGATTTGAGGCCTTAAAGCCTGACTCTTGTGACCTGCCTCCTCCCACAAGGCCACACCAAAATCACCTTTTCCTTGTGGAGTGAGTTAGGAGTTCATGTTGCAGTTGCTTACTTGCATGAATCCCCCACCAGACTATGGGAGTCATAGCCTTCCCATCCTGTGCACTGTTATAGACCTTGAGCTCAAGAAGTATGCTTTTAAGTGTTTGTTAAAAATCATGGATGTTAAAAGTATTTTCTCGACTGCAGTTCAGAAGAGGAAGATGAAAAGCAATGGCAAGCAAGAATGGATCAAAAGCAAGCTCTGCAGGTACTCATATAACATGGGGATTGAGATTGTGCTTCATTATTTGAAATGATGAAAATGAATAGTCCTCATGAGGTGGGATGGGCTATGAAAGTTCTCAATTAGAAGTAAAGATAGCTGCCTCTGTTTGTGTTTCTGATAGCATGTTTATACACATATATGTATATATTTATGTGTAAATGTATATGTAAAATCCACACTTAATCATGTATTTTATGCACTTGTATATTGGATCTGGCATTGTGTACTTCTTTTTTGTGCCTTTTTTGGGGGAGGTTTGGAGATAGGGTTTCTCTATGTAGTCCTGGCTGTCCTGGACCTAACTGGTGTGGAACTCACAGAGTTCTGCCTGCCTCTGCCTCCAAAGTGCTAGGATTAAAAAAGTTGTGAACCACCATGTCCATTTCATTATGCATTTGTGTGTGTCCAAAATAATCTATTTTCTTTTAAAAACAACTAACCACTCAAGAAGTAAATAGTAATACATGCTTGTGTAGTACATGCTTGGCTTGGGGCCAAGAATATAACTTGTTGATAAGTGCTTGCTTTGTATGCATGAGGCTCTAGACTCGGTCCCCAGTGCCATAAATAAATGCAAAAACAACAGACTGTCTTTATGTTAATTAATAATTTATACATTTTTGCCGTATTTAAGACTGTCCCCTGAGCCAGATATATATGTGTGCACTTATTTGTGTATGTTCATACCTGTGCACATGTTCTAGTTATCTTTTGCGATATAAATTAGTTGTATAAAATTGGCCATTTTTTGTCATCCTCTGCCATGATTCTTGGGTTTGATAAGCACCAGGAGGTGCTTGTCTCTTGCACTCTTCCCTGTAGTGTTGCTGGGTCACTTCATAGGCTCTGTCACTTGTGTGTCTGCTGGTTGACTCTGGCTGTTAGCTGGACTTCAGTGAGGCCAATTGATGTAGACCCCATGTGGCCTGTGCTATTTCCTAGCACAGGGGCTGTTTGAAGGGGACACATCCAGAAGGAGATCCTAGGCAGAAATGGTGCTACCTTGCTTTGGAAGTTGTGTAATTTCCTTTCTACCACATTCTTGGCTACGTTTTCAGGGCAGTGCCTACAAGGGGAGAATGTCAAGAATAGTGTCACAAAGACTCTGCTCATATGGTAAACCTATCCCCATACGTGTCAGTGGGCGCCGTCATTTAACAGTGAAGTTGCTTCAGTCTTTCAAATGTTGGAATTATAGTATAAAGCACTGTGACTTTTGACTAAGGTTTTTAAAATATATTTATTTTAGATTTATTTATGTTTTTCTCTCTTTTTCCTGCATATACGTCTGTACACCACATGTGTGCAGAGTCTGGAGATCAGAAGATGGTATCAGATCCCTTAAAGCAGATGTTTGTGAACCATCATGTGGGGTGCTAGGAATTGAACCTAGGTACTTGGGAAAGCAGCCATTGCTCTTAATCATTGAGCCATCTCCCTAGCATCCATAATACAGGTTTTTTGAATGAACATTTTTCTCAAGCTTATTAAGGTACTTGATAACATTCTTTGGCTCCCGAGGTCTATTGTTTGAGTATATCTGGTAGAAGACTTTTAAGCTAAAACGTCAGGTTCTTATACCTTTCTGAGGCTCTGCATTATCTGTACATCAGGCAATCAGGCATTAGCAGGTAGTGGTGGTTAGGACTAAGGATCTTGTGTCAGAATTTCAGAGTCCACAGGCTGTGTGATTTAAACAAATTAATTAATTTTTTTCAATATTTAGTTTTTAAAATTTTCTTATTTTTATTTTATATGCACTGGTGTTTTTGCCTGTTAGGGTTTAGATCCTAGAACTGGAGTTAAAGACATTCTTAAGCTGTCATGTGGGTGCTGGGAATTGAACCCAAGTTCTCTGGAAGAGCAGCCAGTGCTCTTAATCACTGAGCCATCTCTCCAGCCCCCAAATTAATTTATTTAAGGCATTATTTTCTTTAAAAAAACAAAACCAAAAACCAAAAACTAATGTGACTGTAAGAATGGTTCTTATCTACAGGTCTTGTCCTCATTTCAGACCCCTTACACTTGTTCTTCCTTGGTCTAGGCTGCCCACTCCATCAGGTTCTTGGTATTTTTAAAATCCCTGCCCAGGACATCTGTCAGATAGCTTTTTTCCATATATCACATAAGATTTTTCCCCCTTTTTGTTTCCCTGATTACTCTCATCAGATCAGATTGTTGATGTTCTAACAGTAATCTTGCTTATTTATTTACATGCTTATATGGCTTACTCTACTCCTAAGATTGGGCACTTATGTACACATCACAGTACCCAGAGTTTTAGAGCAGGGCCTGGGTGGTGTATATGTTCCTGGTAAGTGATTTGCTTTGGAGTGAGTGAACAAATGAAGGGGCTTACCTGTTTGTTCACTGTGATGATGCCTTTTGCAAAATGTATACTTCTGCATGTAGATGATGTAGAGCTGTGTTTATGATATAAACACAGTGAGTGTAGCAATGACTAGACCTAAATGGGTAAATATAAATTTAATGATGCTAACATTTTACTTCCCACAGGAAGAATTCTTTCATAATCCTCAGGCCATAGATATCGAGTCTGAGGATTTCAGTAGCCTGCCCCCTGAAGTAAAGCACGAGATCTTGACTGACATGAAAGAGTTTACCAAGCGAAGACGAACACTGTTTGAAGCAATGCCGGAGGTAAACCACCCAGCTGTGCACAGTAGCTCACCAGTGCTTAGAACTGAACCTCAGCGAAACTCGAAGAAGGAAAAATAGAAAGATGGTAGTTAGACTCTAAGTCTCCACTTTAGCCCAGTTGCAAGGATCCAGAATTTGTATATCTCACATCCCATGAGGCATAGTTTGCTTATTGATTAATTACAACTTATGTATATCCGGAGAAGTCTTCTGGACTTTCTGTCCAAGACGAGGCCTTTCCCTCTGTGTGTTCTCAGCATCTTGTAAATGATATTCTAGCTCTCAGCACAGAACATGTTTGTCCTGATTATGGCTACTCGCTCAGAAGGTGCCTCAGTGTCTGACACAGTAAGTGCCTAGCATGCTATGGTTCTTAGATGTTACTTTAAACCACAACATATATTGCCTACAAAAAGTAACAGGGAAAATACTTCTGATATGAAATTCTAGATATGGGGTTGTGTGTGTGTTCCTCTCCTTCTTTGTGAATGGTGGGAATAGGGTGCCTGAGTATAGTGACTTCAAAGCCACAGGAAGCTTAAGTAGGTGTGGCATGCATGGTTGTGTGTTGTTGTGTCCTGAGAATGCTGCTGTTGAATATTTAATGCTCTCATTGAGCACCTGCTGTGTTTAGTTCCTGATGTGTGAGTTCCATCTCCCTTCCTTTTGCCACCACCTGCTATTCCCAGGACTTCTCCTCAGGTGCTGAGGTGGAGTGCAGATTTACAGCAGCTGATGTCATCGTCGTCGTTGTTTTGTTTTTGTTTTTTTAACTTGATATAGACTTCAAAATGCTTTTTACTTTGATACCAGAAAGATGAAAAAAAAAAGATTTATCTTGTATTTCTGATTTTCCATGTAGTTAATGCAGATAAAAGAATAAGGTATATAGAAACGTTATTATTAGGTTTGGGGGTACAAGAAATAAGTTTATTTTTTGTTTTTATTTCAAGGGGAAAACAATCCAGGCTCCATCTATTTTTCAGGCTTGTTTTTTGGGGGCTGTGAGGAATCTCTGGGTATGACTGGTAGAAGTAAGATTTGAGTGGAGTGAGAAGGAAAAAGGAGAAAGACAGCCCCTAGTGGTTTTTTATTTTTCTCTTTGCATTCATGGTGTTGGTAGATCTGGAAGGCTAGAATAGTTCTATGAAAAGAGAAGTTCCAGGTAATACAGGATGAACCTTGGTATGACTTATCCATTGTGCACAAATAGTGTTCGTAAGAGAAGAGCTATGTCCTAGTGGTAGGGATAATCATAGAGTCAGTTGTGTAAGTCATCTGTCTGAGGTCTTCCATGTAAATCTGGTGTTAAAGTCTCAAGTTTGTCATTTGTAGACTAGAGATAGGAAAATGTCTCATTGGATGTCTGTGAGAATAAATCAAGGTAGTTTATATAAAAGTGCTTAGAATGCCCTCAATGGAAATGCCTTGCACTTGTTAATTATGATTATTAATACACATTTATTCTATGTCGTATGTGGACCAAGGATAGTGCTAGGTACTTCACTTGTGTTTAAAAGTTTGTGTTTTGCTGAGCCACCATCCTGTGTCATACCACCGTCATGTAGTCTAGCTCAGCAAATGATTTTTGAATGAATGATTAAATAAAAAGATCCTTTATAATTTCTTTTACTTAATTGTATCTTTTTTAAAGGTTGTTACAATGCCATGTATGCTAATCACAGTTCTTTGGAGGTAGAGGCAGGAGTATTTCCACAATTTCAAGGCCAGTTTAGTCTATATAGTGATTTCCAGGCTAGCTTGGGCCACTTATTGAGAGCCTGTCTTAAAAACAAACAACAGCGATAATAACAAAGAAAAACAAAAAAGGAAGTTACTACTGGAACTCCTCGCCCCTTAGTTTTCCAGTTTTATTTTTATTCTATGAAACTATACCTTCTGGGGATGGGTTGGTAAGTGGTGGTATCCGTGTTAATGTAAAGCAGAAGTTTTGTTTATTTTGTTCCTAGGAGTCTAATGATTTTTCACAGTACCAGCTGAAAGGCTTGCTTAAGAAAAACTACCTAAACCAGCACATAGAAAATGTCCAAAAGGAAATGAACCAGCAGCACTCAGGACAAATCCAGAGGCAATACGAAGATGAGGGAGGATTTCTGAAGGAAGTGGAGTCAAGGAGAGTGGTCTCTGAAGACACCTCACACTACATCTTGATAAAAGGTAGCAGGCACCATCATTGACAGTTGCAAGACAGGATAGGGATGCAGTTTGCTCCTGTTCCCATGCCTTCCTTGCCGTGATGGGCTACATTCTTCTGTGCCAGTCAAAGCAGAGACAGAGCATCTGAGAACTTCTATCAAGAGAACTGTGCTCTTCAGGCTCTTGTTAGGGCTTATGCAGGTAGCCACAGCTGCTGTATCTTATAATTCTGATGGCTATCGCATATCCAGAGCATAGCATCTTGTAGTGTTTCTTTCCATCCTCAGACTCCTGAGTTCTTTCTGTCCCCACTCTCCCCTCTTTTGCGATGTTTCCTGGGTATTGGTGTGTGTGCCATATGGACGTCTCATTTATGGCTGAGTACTCATCAGTTGCTTGTTCCAGAACTCTGCATTGACTGCCACCCTCTTAGGGGAGGAGTGTCTCTGGTCCATGCTGGCAGCAGCACTGGTTTGGAGGTACAAATGTAGGGGTTTGGGAAGCAGTTGAACTATATGTTCAGTTAATAAAACATCAGCTGTACATTCTCCCCTAGGGCCTATCACCTCTTTAGCCATGAGTTTTGACTGGGTATACAGTCTCAGACATGTCTTTCCTTGTGTGGAGTGGGCAGCAAATCCAGTTGAGTAATGTTGATTGACCCAGAGGACGCTTGCCACTGTTGCACTGATGGGCCCATCTGGTTTGCCAGATCAGAATTGTAGCACACAGGGTTTACCACCAGGAAAGACTTGAAAATTCCTTACTCCCAGCAGCCGGCCTAGTAGCTTTCAGTTCTGTGGAAGCTGGGCAGCAGGCAAAAGGCTTCCAGCTCACTTCCAGCTTCTGTGTCCTGTGTCCAGAGTGTCATTTGCAGTAGGGTTTTACTGTCTAGTTCCAGTGGAGAGCCAAGAGCAACAGCAATGGCCTAGATTGTTTGGGGAGCTTCTTGGGGCTGTCTGGTCAGAGACTCACAGGTAATATCTTGGACATGGCACTGGGATTTTTGATCAATATCCATGACTTCTAAGAACAATATTTTCAACTCACACAGGATACTTCCATTAAAAAAAAAACTCACTGTGTTTGTTTGTTTGTTTTTAAATTATATAGTGGTGTATTTCCACATGGCTTTTGCATGTGTCTTTGGTTTTGGTTGACACTTCTCACCTACAACCTTCACCTTTCTTCTATTCCTCCAATTCCTTCCCTAGTTAAACCTTTCTGCCCTAGTATACCTCCTTTTCATATCATATGGAGAAGCACTACTTTCATAAATGAGAGAAAATGAGCTTCAGTCTTGGTGTGATGGAGAAAACAGAAGTTAAAATCATGGGATTTAGAAGCAGACATGGCTTTGATTTCCAGTTCTGGCACTTAATTTGAGCAAGTGACCTAAATTCTGTGAGTCTTCACTTTCATGACAAGCACTTTGTATCTCTCATACAGGTTTATTCCGTGGGGCTCTGTTAGGTCTTGAATGTAAAGTGTCCAGTATGTGGTGGCTTCCGTTACTTATAAATTTATTATACACTTTAACTACATAAGGTAGAGTTCTGTTCTCACTGGCAGTATAATAGATTATTTTATAAATTTAAATTCACATGTGTGAGCACTAACACCAGGATTTGTTTTTTTTTATACAAACAAATAAATAATTAAAATGGCATTATATTTTATGAAATAGATAAAAGTACTTGTTTTACTTTTGGCTGTGTAGTGTGGCAAAATAAAATTTTAAATTACCAAATAGAATCTAGGGTATTTGTAGGTCTGTGTTCTGGGAAAAGAAATTCATGATAAAGCCAGTGAAATCTTGGTTAAGTAACAGTATAGTTAGTCACAATGGACTTGCTACTGCAGAGCCAACTACTTTAGAATGGATTTGATAAAAATGTGTCATAATGTTTACGATCCAGGATTCCCAGAAATACATTGTCGTACTGTGAATTGCATGGTGAGAAATGTTTCAATTTCTTTCAGGTATTCAAGCTAGGAAAGTCATGGATGTGGATTCGGAGGCTTCTCCTTCTTCCAGCAAAATGCACAGCGTATCATCATTTGACCTGAAGTCATCATCCCATGAGAAAGTGAAGCCAGAGAAAGAGCCAGAGGCCACACCTCCTTCTCCAAGAACTTTACTGGCTATCCAGGCAGCCATGCTGGGAAGTAGCTCAGAAGATGAGCCAGAGAGTGGAGAGAGGAGGCAGTCTGGGGAGAGGAACTTGTGGGCTACTGCGGATGCAGGCTCCATATCGCCACAGACCCTCGCAGCCATTCAGAGAGCTCTGGACGATGATGAAGATGGGAAAGTGTGTGATAGGGGTGATGAGCCGACAGGAAGGGCGTTGCTGACAGTGTTGGGTGATGATGAAGATGAGAAAGTGTGTGCCAGGGGTGATGAGCTGGCAGTGAGCACACTGCTTGGAAATGTGCCAGACCAGGAGCACAGTGATGGAGTTGTCGTAAGAGATGGAGCCTTGCCATTTGCCGCAGTCCCTCTTTTACCCACCTTGACTGTGGTAAAGGAGGATGTGGTCAGCTCCAGGAGTGAAGAAAAACAGACAGCCTCAGCTCATTGGTTGAGTACTGCTTGTCATCAAGCTGGTGAAGGTTATGCTCCAAAAGAACAAATGTCTCTTACTCATGCGGCGGATGAAGCGTCTCAGATAAGCAGTGACTATGAGGTTGAAGGTAAACAAACTTCCCTTCAATCAGCAAGCACAGAACTTCCATGCAGTGATGGCTCTGGGCTCCTCAGCGAAAGGAAACTGACCCTGGTACCTCCAGTAAGAACACATTCTGATCAGAAGATAGACACACATCCTGAAGAGTCTGAGCTGCAGAAAGGTCTCTACCCACCTGAGAATAAATGTGTTTCCTCTTGTTTTTCAAGTGATGAAACAGAAAGTAGGCAAAATCCTGCTCGGAGCACAGTTCATGTCCCTTCAGAGGCAATGGGTAACTTAGGAAAGACTGATGAGCATGGGGATTCCCTGAGAGCCATCCAGCAGCTGGAGATGCCTCAAGCTGCTGCCAGGGAGTTGATTTCAGTTCCAAAGCCCATGGAACCAAAGGGAATGGAGTCTGAAGAAAGCGAATCTGATGGTAGGTATTCCTTTAAAGGGATGGGATTGGATGACTTCATGTCTGTAGTGTAGCCCTGTTTACAGCAGAGGAACCAGGAAGAAAGGAGAAATGAGCTTCTCAGGGTCACACAGCTGGGATGGGAATGCCCTGCTTTGCTGGGCTGTTCTTGCTATCTTTAAAATTTTATTTTATGTGTTTGGGTGTTTTGCCTGCATGTATGTCTGTGCACATATACATGCATTACCCATGGTGACCAGAAGAGGACAGCAGATTTTCTGGAACTAGAGTTACACGATTTTGCGCTGCTCTGGGCACGGGGAACTTAGTGCAGGGCCTCTGCAATAGCAGCAAATGTTGGCATTTGACAGCAACATCTTGGCAGCCTCATGTCCTTGGTATTATTAAAGGAAGGGAGTATTGTGCTTGGAGAAAAGAAAAGTAAACTAATTTTCCTTTGACATGCAAAAATTAAAAGATTGTAAAACTATCATAGACTGCTGACTGACTCACACCTAAGAGTTCAGTATTTTGTCCCATTTGTTTTCTAGTCTCTGTCTCTCGTTATCCCTGCTCCTTCTGCCTCTTCTTCTCCATATCTCCCTCTCTAGTGCTGTGCATTCTCTCCATGTACATCTTTCCTCTCTAGCTGGTTGTATGTGTGTGTGTGTGTGTGTGTGTACTTATGTCAGTGATCCCTGTTATAAGAAGCTTTTTCTTGCTAGCCGCTTTGGTTTATCCCCCGCCAGCCGCCTGGGCTCTGCCGCATTGTAGTCCCCAAATAAACACACAGGAGACTATATTAATTATGAAGCTGTTGGCCTTGCTTGTTTCTTACTGGCTAGCTCTGACTTAAGTAATTACCCCATAATTGTTAATCTAAGTATGTCTCTTACCGGAGAATAGTTCCGGGCTCCTACCCCATGGCGCTACATCTTGAACTCTCTTGTGTTTCTCCTTCCCAGAATCCTCCTGGACTCCTAGTCCCACCTATCTAGATTCCTATTGGCCAGCAGTGCTTTATTAACAAATGTACAGGACTTCCCCCATCATCTCCTCTTTTCTGTTTAAACAAAAAGAAAGGTCTTAACTTTAACATAGTCAAATTATATATAACAGAACAGTTATCAAGTAAGAACATAGTTACATTATTTTAGCAAGATTTAAAGAAAATATCATCCATCCCATCCTTGTGAGTCCAAAGTTCTATATGTAGCTTATCTTTTATCATAACTAAGGAAAACTATAATTATAACTATCTATCTTCAACTCCATCAAAGACCACAGAAGGATAATATATAAACACTAGGATTGACAGAGACATCTTACTGCCTGGACAGTCACCCGAAGTTCCTCTGTAACGTTGGGGCATCCATCTTTAGCCCGTAGGCCACAATGTGTCTGGAACACTTCTCAGCAAAGCAGGAAATTTCAAACTGTCCATCTGCATTGGCAGTCTGTCAGTCATTTTTCTGTGTCCTGCAGAAAGTCTGGTAGACTCTTCCATGAAGCAGGAACCCTGTAAGACTGAGTTCAGCAGTCACTTTCCTGTGGGTCCTGCATGTCCAGTTTATACAGCAACAGTCAAACAGTCTAGGCAAGAGCAGTTTCTTGCCCAAATGGCTAATCTTGTCATGTTGAAAGTAAACTCCATACCAAGTTTCTTCGATGCCCATCTTCCTCTCAGACGTAATTGGTGCTGCCAGGAGCAGACATTTCTCATTGTCAAGAAAAACCCTAGACCATTTTAAATGCCATTTTCTGAAGGTCTTTGAAAGGTTTGAAGATTGTATATCTATCTCAAATACATCTCTATATATCTAGAAAACCTAACTTACCTAACAATAAGATCTGACTCTTATAAGTAACTATCTATAGCCTGTATTTAATTATGCATTACTTTTTAAAAGATCAGTATACGCACAATACTTAATCAAGAGGAGAAATATACATGTCACAAAATTGACCTTGAATTTGTATCAATAAATGAAAAACAATACCCATACCATAATTCCCTTTTTTACCATTAAAAAAGATTGGCTGTGATCATTAGCCAATTATAAACAACCCATTTAAATGAAAACAAAGGTTTATAAACAAGATGGCAATTAGGACGTCGCTCATTCCAAACTGCTTCGTGCTGGAAGGGGGCGCTTTTCACACCATGGGGATCATGACAAAATTCAGAAACCTGTATAAGTCCTTGTTTTCATGGTCTGTAAAGCTCCATCATCTTAGCTGTCTCAATTGTTGAAACGCCTGGCCCACTGCTTCCGGGGGTCTTGGTTCATCAAACCACAGAAGCCTGGAAGGAATCCTCAGCTTTTTATGTTCTGTGGAAACATAAATTAAAACTCCTTTTCCGAGTAACATATCCTTATACTTAAATTCTGAAGTCAAGGCATTTTCAAAAGATAGAAGTTGGATTAATTTAGCAGCATTTATAATCAAGTGTACTTTAGTAGCAGTTCCTTCCTGAGCAAGCAAAAAACTGAAAAATTTTTACAGTTTTACAATTGCATACAGTATCCAGACTCTCTGTGTATTTTCCATCTTTACGTGGCTTATTTATTTATCTATTATTACTTTATTTATTTTACTTTTATTTATTTTTCTCTGAGACAGGGTTTCTCTTTGGAAATCTACCTGCCTCTGCCTCTGGAGTAAATCCTACCGGCGTGCGCCACCACAACGCTGGCTTTTGTATTTATTTACCACTTTGCCATTTCATTTTCTCTCTCAATCTCACGTATATTTTTAAACACACTGTAAACCTTTAGAGGTTTTGTTCATCCAAGTCTGACTTTACTGTAAATCTTTACGTTTTTCTGGCCACGTGTCTTATCTGTAAAACTGCGGCAGTTTAAACTGCCGGTTTTTCAAGATGGCGGGTGTAAGCCTGACTCCAGCTGCCGGCTTGGAGATGTCACCGCCACTTCCAGCTGTACGTGCAACATGTAAATCGTTAGCAAAGCCTCTTAAAAGAACCTTGCTGTTTTTTTTTTTCTTTTTATGCCGAGTCAGGAAGACTCTGGTAAGCGAGCCACGTGAATCTTGGCTTGTGGCTAGCTAAACAGAGCCCACCTGAGAAAAATGCTACTATCAAAAATCTGTGCTTCTCTCTGTTCCTAAAATTCCTTTAAAGCTTTTGTCATTCTACGTGGAAATTCATCATCCCGCTCCTGATCACCATTTAGTTAAGAGAAGCTTTCCTTGAGAGGAGCCTTCCCGCCCGCCTGGTTCGGACTTCCCCCATCAGATCCTCATTGTTTATGTAGCTTATTTTTTTGTGCAGTCACCTACTTGTTAAAATTTGACTCCAGAATAAAAGGCATTTTGATTTTTTTTTTATGGGCATGTGTCAGGGAGATGTTCTGCCTGGTTTCAGTGTACCCACAGAGATAACCAGGGACCATTGGCCAGGTAATGCAGTCTAGAGCAGGAACCTCAAGCAGGAATCTCCAGCTGAGGAGCCTCCCCATTCTGGTACCCATAGGAGGGTACCCTCAGGCAAGTCACATAGCACTCTGAACATCATTTCTTACATAATGAAAGAATGTATATACATGCATACACACTTGTGCATACATGCATATATGTGTGAGGGAAACATGCATTTGCTAATTTAGTATTTGAAATGACTTTATTAGCCACACTTCAAGTAATGAAGATAACTATGTGCATATATGTTTACACATAATTTTGGTCCTGTTCACTGGTCAGATTTCTTTTTGTTGTTGGATTTTTTAATTTTCATTTTACACACCAACCACAGTTCCCCTTCCCTCCCCTTAACCTCTGCCTCCCTACCCCCACCCCTGACCTCAGTTCCCATTCACTCCTCAGAGAGGGTTGACTCCATGGGGAGTCAACAAAACATGGCATATCAAGTTGAGGTAGGACTAAGCCCTTATCCCTGTATCAAGGCTGAGCAAGACGCTTCTTCATAGGGAATGGGCTCCAAAAAAGTCAGCTCATGCACCAGGGATAAATCCTGGTCCCACTGCCAGGGGCCCCACAAATAGATCAAGCCATACAGCTGTCACCCACATTCAGAGGGCCTAGCTCGGTCCTGTTCAGGTTCCCCAGCTGTCAGTCCAGAGTCCGTGAGCTCCCATTAGCTCGTGTCAGCGGTCTCTGTTGGTTTGCCTATCATGATCTTGACCCCCCCTTGGTCATATAATCCCTTCTTCCTCTCTTTGACTGGGCTCCAGGAGCTTGGTCTAGTGCTTGACTGTGGATCTCTGCATATGCTTCCATAAGTTACTAGATAAAGAGTCTACGATGACAATTATGGTAGTCACCAATCTGATTACAGGGGTAGGCCAGTTCAGGCACACTCTTCACTATTGCTAGGGGTCTTAGCTGGGATCTTACTTGTGGATTTCTGGGAATTTCCCTAGCACCAGGTTTCTCCCTAACCCCATAATGACTCCCTCTATCAAGGTATAACTTTCATTGCTTTCCCTCTCCATTCCTCCCCCAACTTGACATTCCCATTACCTAATGTTCTCATCCCCCATCCCCTCCTCTCTACCCCTTCCCTGTCCCAGTTTACCCAGGATAACTTATCTATTTCTGCTTCCTAGGGTGGTCCATGCATCCTTCTTAGGGTCCTCCTTTTTACTTAGCTTCTTGGGTTGTGGATTGTGGCTTGGTTATCTTTTGCTTTATATCTAATATCCACTTAATGAGTGAGTACCTACTATATTTATCTTTCTGGGTCTGGGTTACCTCACCAGGGTTTTTTTCTAGTTCCATCCATTTGCCTGCAAATTTCATGTTGTTTTTGTTTTTTACAGCTGAGTAGTACTCCATTGTGTAAATGTATCACATTTTCTTCATCCTTTCTTCAGTTGAGGGACATCTAGGTTGTTTCTGGTTCTGTCTATTGTGAATAATACTGTTATGAACATAGTAGAGCAAGCGTCCTTGTGGTATGATTGAGCATCCTTTGGGTATATGCCCAAGAGTGGAATTGCTGGGTCTTGAGGTAAATTGGTTCCCAATTTTCTGAGAAACTGCCATTTTGATTCCCAAATTAGCTGTACAAGTATGCACTCCCACCAGCAGTGGAGGAGTCCTCTCCAAAATAAACTGTCCTCGGTGTTTTTGATCTTAGCCATTCTGACAGGTGTAAAATGGTATCTCAAAGTCATTTTGATTTGCATTTCCCTGATGACTAAGAATGTTGAGCAATTCCTTAAGTGTATTTTGGCCAATTGAGCTTTTTCTGTTGAGAATTCTCTGTTTAGATCTGTATCCCATTTTAAAAATTGGATTATTTGGTATTTTGATGTCTAGTTTATTGAGTTCTTTATATATTTTGGAGACCAACCCTCTGTTAGATGTGGGGTTGGTGAAGATATCTTCCCATTCTATAGGCTGCCGTTTTGTCTTATTTACTGTATCCTTATAGAAGTTTTTCAGTTTCAGAAGGTCCCATTTATTAATTATTGCTCTCAGTGTCTGTGCTGTGGTGTTATATTTAAGTAGTCCCATGCTAATGCATTCAAGGCTACTTCCCACTTTCTCTTCTATCAGGTTCAGTGTAACAGGATTTGTGTTCAGGTCTTTGATCCTCTTGGACTTGAGTGTTGTGCATGGTAATGTATATGGATCTGTTTGCATTCTCGTACTTGTTGACATTCAGTTATGCCAGTGCCATTTGTTGAAGATGCTTTCCTTTTTTCAGTGTACAATTTTGGCTTCTTTGTCAAAATATCAGGTGTTCATAGGTATGTGGATCAATGTTGGGGTCTTCCCTTTGATTCCATTGGTTCATGAGTCTGTTTTTATGCTAATACCAAGATTTTTTATTACTTTAGCTCTATAGTAGAGCTTGAAGTTGGGGATGTTGATACCTCTGGAATTTGCTTTATTGTACAGGATTGTTTTATCTATTCTGGGTTTTTTGTTTTCCCATATGTAGTTGAATATTGTTCTTTCAAGGTCTGTGAACAATTGTGTTGGTTTTTTGATGGGGATTGCATTGAATGTGTAGGATGCTTTTGGTAAGATTGCCATTTTTACTACACTGATGATCATACCTATCCAAGAACATTGGGGATTTTTCCATTTTCTTTTATCTTCTTCAATTTCTTTCTTCAAAGACTTAAAAGTTCTTGTCTTACAAATCTTTCACTTGTTTGTTTAGAGTTACTCCAAGATATGCTATTTGTGGCTGTTGTAAAGGGTGATGTTTCTCTGATTTTTTTCCTTGGCCCATTTATCATTTGTATATAGGAAGGCTAATGATTTTTTTAATTTAATCTTGTATCCCACCACATACTTGGCTGTAGGAATTCCTTGGTAGAACTTTTGGGACTCTTATGTATACTATCATATCATCTGTAAATAGTGAAAGCTTGACTTCTTACTTTCCCAATTTGTATCCCCTTGATCTCCTTTTGTTGTCTTACTGCTCTAGCTAGAACTTTGAATAGATATATGTTTGAATAGATATGGAGAGCATGGACAGCACTGGCTTGTTCCTGATTTTAGTGGAATCACTTTGAATTTCTTTCCATTTAGTTTGACGTCTGTTGGCTTGCTATATATTGCCTTTATTATGTTTAGTATGTTCCTTATATCCCTATTCTCTCCAAGACCTTTATCATGAAGGGATGTTGAATTTTGTTGAAGGCTCTTTCAGGATCTAGTGAGATGATCATGTGGTTTTTTTCTTTCAGTTTGTTTATATGGTGGATTACATTGACAGATTTTTCATATGTTGAACCATCTCTGGAATGAAGCCTACTTGATCATGATGTATAATTTTTTTATATGTTTTGGATTCAGTTTGCCAGTATATCATTGAATATTTTTCATCAGTGTTCATGATGGAGATTGGTCTGTAGTTCCCTTTCTTTGTTGCATCTTTGTGTAACTGTAGCTTCATAAAAAGAGTTTAGCAGTGTTCCCTTCTGTTTCTGCTGTGTGGAACAATTTGAGGAGTATAACATGATAATTAAAAACCCAGTGACAAATATTGGGGTTCAAGCTGCAAGCTGAAGATCAGAGAACAAACAGCCAAGTCAATAGCTCTTACCTCTACCTCAGACCAAAATGGGTGATCTGTCTCCACAAATCCTCAGACTGCTATGCTCTCCACGACTCCTCAGAGGCAATGCTCTCCCTGTCTGGAAACTAAATCTCACATGAGACCCTTTACTTCTTCCTTTTATACCTTCCTAGTGCTGGGATTAAAGGCGTGAGCTCTGTTATTCTTTTAGTCTGATTCACTCTTGTGTAGCCCCGGATTGCCTTGAATGCACAGAGATCCATCTGCTTGTCTCTGTCTCTGGAGTTCTGGGATTAAAGCTGTGCACCACCTGCCTGCCCTCTATGGCTAGCTAGTATGGCTGCTGGTGTGTACCACCACTGCCTGGCTTTATGGCTGAGGTTAGCATTGCATTTTGATCCCCAGTGGTTTTATTTGATCATAAACAACGTATCACCACAGTGTACACAATTTTAAAGTTAAAATTATTTGTTGTTGTTTTTTTCTTTTATATCTAGTGTCTTGAGCTCTTTATGTATTTTGAGTATTAGCCCTCTAATAGATGTGGGGTTAGTAACAGTCTTTTCTTATTCTGTAGGCTGCCGCTTTGACAGAATGACAGTGTTCTTTGCCTTACAGAAGTTTTTCATGTGGTACCTGTGGTAGTTTGAATGTCATTGGCCCCCATAAGATCATAGGGAGTGACACTATTAGGAGGTATGGCCTTGTTGAAGCAGGTGTGGCCTTGTTGAAATAGGTGTGAACTTGTTGGAGGTAGTGTCATTGTAGGGGTGGGCTTTGAGGTCTTCTCTGCTCAAACTATACCTAGTTCAGTTAATTTCCTGTTGCAGATCAAGATGTGGGACTCTCAGTTCCTCCTCTATCACCATGTCTGCCTGCATGTTGCAGTGTCCTGCCATGATGATAATGAACTGAATCTCTGAACTGTAAGCAACCCCAGTTAAATGTTTCCCTTTATAAGAGCTGCCATGGACATGGTATCTCTTCATAGCAGTAGAAATCCTAACTAAGACAGAAGTTGGTACAGGGTACTGAGATATTGTTATGATAGGCTAATTTTGAAGGAATATGAGCTTTGGGACTCCAGCTTTAGGTATAGCCTGACTTCCCAACAAGTCAGGATACCCTCCTTTCACAGCTGTATGTATAATCTGACTTCCCAACAAGTCAGCATGGTTCCCTCTTGAGCTGTAACACTTGCAGGTATAATCCACCTGCTTTCTGACAATCAGGATACCTTTCCCTCAGAAACTGTAACTCTTGCAAGGTGTGCTGTTAAGTTTCCAGGATGAGGTTATCCTCAGGGTTTGGTTTGCTTCTTGGTAGGAACTTAGCACTATGAACTTTCCTCTTAGCACCACTTTCATTCCATTCCCTAAGTTTGGGTATACTGTGTATTTGAAGTGAAAATCATTGGATCCTAGAAAGTCTTTAATTTCTTTCTTTATGTCTGTCTTGGCCCATTTTTTATTCAGTAGAGAGTCATTCAGTTTCCCTAAGTTTGTAAGCTTTCTGTTGTTTCTGTTGTTCATATCGTACTTTAATCCATGGTGGTCTAACTGGATGCAGGGAGTTATTTCAGGGTTTTGTGTGTGTGTGTGTGTGTGTGTGTGTGTGTGTGTGTGTGTGTGTGTCTGTTGAGACTTGCTTAGTGTCTGAGTATGTGGTCAAATTTGGAGAACGTTCCATGAGATGCTAGGAAGAATGTGTATTATTTTGTGTTTGGGTTAAGTTTTCTATAAATATCTGTTATGTCCATTTGGTTTATAACATTTATTAACTCCAACATACCTTTGTTTAGTTTTTGTCTGGATGATTATGGTAGCTCCCTATAGTCTCATATGAGTGGCACTGCTAGGAGGTGTGGCCTTGTCAGTAGGTGTAGTCTTGCTGGAGGAAGTGTGCCACTGGAGTTGGGCTTTGAGGTTTCAGTAGTTCAAGCCAGACCCACTGTCATTCTCTCTTCCTGCTGCCTGCAAATCCAGATGAGCTTCCCTGGCTTCCTTTCTGAGTTTTAAAAACAGCATTAGTTAATGGAATATAGTTTTACATAGCTAATATGCAAGTCTTTGAGAATTTGGTTCCCACTTTCAGTGACCTAAAGCTTAGTAGATCAGTTTGTCTAATTGAAGAAGCTTTTTTGGAAGTGCTATTTGGGCTATGTATTGCAGTGTGTTTAAGAATAACAAGTTAATTGCATGTTTGAAGTTATAGTTAAAGCCTTTCTTTGGAGTCTGACATTTTTCAGGGCTGTTCAGAAAGTTTTGATGACTTCAGAGTGACTCTGATGTTCTCATTGTAGATGAAGTGACATCATTGTTTTTTGGACAGGAAGTTTCATTGAGGTGCAGAGTATGATCAGTGATGGTGAACTTCAAACAGATTCATCGGAGGCTTCTAAACCTCCCTCTGAACAAGATGAAGAGGAACCAAGAGGAACACTGGTGGAAGAAACCCCCAGGGATACAGAACACCTCCTACAGGACAGCTTTGACAGTGAAGACTTGGCCAAGGAAGAATACAACAAAGCTGACAGAGATGCTGAGGACTCGCCTAATGAATGGCTAGATATTAATCTGGTAATAATGTAATACCATGTTTATCTTAGTACCAAGGAAGCCAAGCCTGTGGCTTTTGAGACTTTAGAGATGCTGGATAAATATTTACTAGTTGTTTTCAAATCCTCTTCTTGTTAATCATAGTTCCCTTTTGAAATGTAAGTTGTTCCTGGAGTAGACAGGTTTCTCATATGATGTAATGAAGTAACTGAAAGGGACACGCTTGCCTAGAAATCCCCAGAGGAAAACACTGTAAAGAGAAACAGCTTATTGATCCTTTCAGCCAGAGGAAATGCAGCTTTTTATTGTTGTTGGAACAAATGAACATAATTGGATCATGACTGTAATGATCTGTGAATGGGAGCGTGTTTTTTAGGAGGAACTAGACAGCCTGGAGAGTAACCTCTTAGCAGAACAAAATTCACTGGAAGCTCAAAAACAGCAGCAAGAACGGATCGCTGCCTCTGTAACAGGCCAGATGTTTCTGGAAAGTCAAGTGAGTATGACTTTAGTTTGGCTTCTGTAGAATTGTCCTTAGTGTCAGAAGGGCTGTGTGATAGTGTCACACACATTCTTGTGATCAAGGTCAACAGTACATTTTGACCTTGTGGTTTCTCTCACAACAGGAACTCCTGCGCCTGTTTGGCATTCCCTATATCCAGGCTCCCATGGAGGCAGAGGCGCAATGTGCCATCCTGGACCTTACTGATCAGACTTCTGGGACTATCACTGATGATAGTGATATCTGGCTTTTTGGGGCCCGGCATGTCTATAAGAATTTTTTTAACAAAAACAAGTTCGTAGAGTACTACCAATATGTGGACTTTCACAACCAATTAGGTAAGACTCAAGAGTGTGGTCATTTCTCACAGTTTACCCTCTTGATTCGCCTCATGTGGTTTTCTTCTGAAGGAACTAATTTGGTGCATGGATTGAAATGAGAGATGATAGCATTTTAAAACTTAGATTTAAGAAGTTAAAATCCTAGTGTCTTTCTTGCAGTTAGTTGAGTTACCTGACAATGAAAGAGGAGCTCTCATAGGGCAGGGAATGGAACCACTGTTGCTCCTGATGTTGACAACCTATTCATCTATCCGCTCAGCTGGGAGGTGCACACTGAGTGGCTCTCATATGGTAGTCATTCTTGACGGTGGGGAAATAGCAGACAATGAAATGATCTAGTGGAAGGAGAAGATGTTGGCCATGTTTACAAGTCATAAATGTGACATTTGGTGTGCACCATGGGGGGGGGCGTGCCATGGCAGAGCACATGATGTTCCTGACAGAGGGGTTGTTAGGGAAGGCTCTGTGGCAGCCTAGGGCAGGCTCCTTAAGGAAATAGTCAGCAAAGCTGTGAATAGATAGTCAACAAAGATCACGTCAGAGGGATTTAACTATGTGCAAGGCCTCAAGGCAGAAGATTGCTTATATACATGTTCTAGGGAGGTAAGGAGGCCAATGGGAATGGGGGAGGAGGAGGATAGCAGTACACATCAGAGTGAAGAAACTGAAGCCTTGTATTGTTCGTGTCCTGGATGTGGGATATAGGAGGAGTGCTTCTAGCTTCCCGGTTCTGGGCCAGTGGAGAATGGAGCGGAGGAAGAGAGAGTTGAGTTGGAATGAGTTCAGACTGAGAAGCGCACTAGATCTGCAGACATTTGGTAATGGAATGCGTGTGCCTGTGGTCAGAGGGGGCAGGTTAGATAGCTAAATGTAGAGGCCAGCATATATACACAATTTAAGATGAGAAGGTTAAAACTTAAAATCTCAGTGTAACGATGTTTAACAAAAGAACCTATTTTTAAATAAAACATGTCTTTGGATGTTGGTCTATCATACACAGTTTATATAATAAAAATACTTATATTAGTTTTATAAAAAATATTAAATCGAATTGTTGCTATTCATACAGGATTGGACCGGAACAAATTAATCAATTTGGCTTATCTACTGGGCAGCGATTATACTGAAGGGATCCCAACTGTTGGCTGTGTAACAGCCATGGAGATTCTCAATGAATTTCCCGGACGGGGCCTGGACCCGCTTCTAAAGTTCTCGTAAGATTTTTCTTCATGCCTTTAATTTATGTATTTGTATAAATACTCAGATTAACAAATGGATTTTTTTCATATAAATTAAGCTCTTACCGTATTGTCTAGGCTAAGCTCAAACTTGCAATCCTCCAGCCTCAGCTTCCTACATCTTTCTAAAATCATTATGTCCCAAGCCGCTGTTCACTGAAGGAGCAGTGGGAGACAGCAGCTGTGGTTTCTGGGGCCCTTGTGAGTCTGTTTTCTTCTTAGTCATGCCTGGCTAATCCTAGTCCAAGGACACAAAGCCAGTTCTACAGCACTCATTAGTGTATGAGCTGCCTCTGAGTTCATTTAGATGTTTGTAGAGTAGCTGATGTAAGTCATATACGGGCCTCAGTGATGGCAAAGGTGAGTAGTTACAATCTGCACCCTCAAGGTCCCTTGTGGGATTGGGTAATGGAAAAGCAAATGAAAGTGTTTAGTGTTGTCAGTGAAACTGTTCACCACATGTTCAACGTTATGAAAGAAGTCAACCAGGAAAGTGCTTGGAGGTCCAGTCACTCACTAACCATGAAAATGCATATGTTGACCCATTAGTGCACTGTACTTGATGTGCAACTTCTGAACTTTGGAGAACAAGTGTGTGTTCCTTCAACATGGCTGTGACAAGTTTCTAATGCAAGTCACTTAAGGAAGGTTAATTTTATTGATTTGACTGATGGTTCAGGGTTTAGTCTGTTATGGCCAGGCAAGCATGACAGTCAGAAGCAGAGAGAAATACCTGGTTTGCCTAGCTCACTTTCTCCTTTTCATTCAGTCTGGATCCCAGCCCATGAGATGCTGTTGCTCATATTTAGGGGGACAGACTTCATATCTAAATTAATTAGTCTAAAAACTGTCACAGGCATGCCTAAAGGTTTGTCTTTAATGAATCTGGGTCCTGTCCATTTTGCCATCAATATTGTCAGAGACTCCCAATTCCAGAGATAGTAGTAGTTGTGTCTCTGAAAGTACTTTAAAAAATTATGTTTATGTATTTATTTTAAAGATTTATTTTTATGATTATGGTGGTTTTGCCTACATGTATGTCAACCATGCAGTACCTGCAGAGGCCAGGAGAGGGTATTAGATCCCCTGAGGCTGGAGTTATAGGCAGTTACTAGCCACCATGTGGGTTCTGAGAATTGAACCTGGATCCTCTGGAAAAGTAGCCAGTGTGGAGAGTCCAAACAACTTATGAGGCTCAGTACTCTTTCCATCATGTGGGTCCTAGTGATTGAACTTAGGTCATCTGGCTTGACAGCAAGCACCTTTACCGATTTAACCATCTTGCTGACTCAGAAAGTAGGGTTTTTTTAGGTTTTCCCTCAATGGCATTTTTTAAACTTCAAATATGACTCACATAACATAAATTCATCCATTAAGAAGATACAATTCATTGTTATCTAGTTTATTCACAGAATTGTGAGGGTACCTTGCAACCACCAGTTTGCCATAGGAAATCAGTTTAATTCAATTGTGTTTGCTGTAGTTGAATCTCCTGTGTTTGAAAACATGCAGGGACCTTATGGTCTGAGGAGTGAATACTTAGATGCAAATTGGGATTGTAGTGATTGCTGGCTCCATATAGCCTCAGGGCTCATGCTGGTATACTCATCTAATGCTTTTTTCTTTTATTGCATCTCTCTCTCTCTCTCTCTCTCTCTCTCTCTCTCTCTCTCTCTCTCTCTCTCTCTCTCTCTTTTTGAGACAGGGTTTCTCTTTGTAACAGTCCTAGATATCCAGGAACTCGCTCTGTAGAGCAGGCTGGCCTTGAACTCACAGAGATCCACCTGCCTCTGCTTCTCAAGTGCTGGGATTAAAGGTGTGTGCCACCTCCACCCAGCTATTGCATCTTTATATTGAGAAATTGACATACTGGGGTAAGTTATTATATAGCTCATCAAACATGATTGGTAAATAACTAGCTACAAATAATATTCTTCCACAAATGCATAAATATATCATAGAAACATTGCATAGTATGCATCAAAATGATTATACTTAACGCTTTGGTTTATGCAATTATAATTAATTGGAAGAAGCTGCAATTACATGCACATTATACCCAATTAGACATGGATGTACATGCACACATGTGCGCTAGCTGGTGTATCGTATGCTACCATTGTATTTTCTTATGCTGTTTTTCCTTTTATTGAAAATAGATTTTTTTCTTACATAATATATTCTTATTACGGTTTCTCCTCCCTCTGCTTCCAGCTCCTCCCCATTTCATCTCTCATCTTGATCCACTCCTTTTCTGTCTCTCATTAGAAAATAGACAGGCTTCTATGGTATAATAACAAAATAAAATAAAATAAAATAAAAACTAACACATTGGAATTGTGTAAAACAAACAGAAGGAAAAGAGCTTAAGAGAAGGCAGAAGAAACAGAGACCCGGAGCTGGAGAGATGGCTCCGTGGTTAAGAGCACTGGCTGTTCTTCCAGAGGACCTGAGTTCAATTCCCAGCAACCACATGGTGGCTCACAACCATCTGTAATGAGATCTGGTGCCCTCTGCTGGCATACAGAAGATTGTATAATAAATAAAATATTAAAAGAAAAAAAAAGAAACAGAGACCCACTATTTACACTTTTAGGAATCCCATAAAAAACACTGTAAACTGTCAGCTTGTCTGGGTAGTTCTCAGAGAAAGCCTGCTTGAGTTGGGGACTGGGATGATGGGATGGGTGTCGAGAAACAAGTTTAGAAGGTAAGATATGTATGTTCCTCTAGAGACAGCAACAAAGGGGAAGGGAGGCTTCAGTAGGTGATCTGCTGCAGAGCTGAGGATGAAACTGGAGAATTGAATTTGGATAAATGGAGTTAGAGGTGAATATCTGTAGTTAGCCTGCCTGTAATATCTGCAGTTAGTCTACCTGTTTCCCTGACACTTTATTGTTATTGTTTGTTTTTTGCTCTGTAAAAACAATGGAATGTTGTTGTTGTATGATATAGAGTTAGCTTCAGTGATTTCTCTGCCTTTGGTGTCAGAGCTTCTTGAAGGCAGGCTGAGCAGAGTCATTCCTGCTTGACTCTGGGTTTTAGGGTGAAGGCAGAGCTGCTAATGTTTAGGAAGAGAGGTAGGAATCTAGCAGAACTCTGCATGCCACCTTGCTTTTTTTTTTGTCACTAGCATTTAAAGTTGGAGGCAATTCCCCCCAAATGTTTAGATTTGTTTCAGAAGAAAAGGAACTCTGCAGATCCTGGGCTCCCATTCCTGAATAAACTCGAGATATCTGGGGTGGAGGGACAGCAGCTCCTCTTCCAGGCGTGTGTCCTTCAGTGTCATCACAGAGGCCGACACTTCTACTGCCTCCTCACAGCCTGATTGAGAGACTCAGCCCCCCTTTTCCATCTTCCTCTGCAGTGCCTGACTCTCTTATTTCAAGGAGTAGATTTAGGGCTGACATTCAGTGTGTTTCTCCAGTATTGTGTCATAATACTGGTTAAGAAAATATTTTTTCAAGGTGCTGGAGAGATGGCTCAGTGATTAAGAGCATTTGTCTCTCTCCTGGAGTCCACAAGTTCAGGTCTCAGTACCTACATCAGGTGACCTCTAGGGGCACCTGCACATAAACGACAGATGCACACGTACTCAAAAAAAGAAAAATCTTTATTTTTCCCTTGCATGTTCGTATTGGTGAAGACCATTGTTAGGCTTCTGAACTCTAGAAGGCATTCCCAAGTCACTGACTGAGGTGGACCGGAGGCTGGAACTCAGTTTCTTGGTACTGATAATATGTGAAGAAGTAGAACTGAAGGGTGGGTGTTCTTCAGGATCCACCGAGTAATTGGGTGGGCGAGGAGCATATTTTAACTTCCATAGTGTTTTCTGTTGGCACATTGTAGTTACCTACCTTAGACCTCTGTGGCCTCTACTAGCAGCACTTGGTGGTTTTGTTCCTGATTCTGAAGCTTGATTGGGGTAGGAAGTCTTTTGTTCTTGCTCTATATCTCCGAACAGCTCAAAGTTCAAGGAACTGCTGAACGTTTCACATGCCAGGGATCAGTCACTGTCACTTAAGAGACAGACAGAATGTCGGCAGGCTTTGGATCCTCTCCATCTAGACCTCTGCATGAGCACAGGCCCTTCAAGGCATGGTGGCTGCTTCCAATAGTAGCTTTTTCCAGAGATGGGAAGTGGGCAGGCTAGTCTTATACTCCACATCTATTACTTCCTGATCATTATCCAAAGTCACAGAGACAAACTAACCTCACTTCTTGAAAGGAATGTTAAAGGAAAAAGAAGTGTGATTTTCTTTAACTTGCCTTAATAAATTATCATTAAGATGGAAAAATAGACTTAATATAAAAAAGCAAGATTAATAGTCTATTTTTGCTTAGAACATTGCCCAATACATCTGAGAACTATAGTTCTTGCTATTATTTATAATTTAAAAGACCTACTTACTGCCCCTCTTTCTGCTCATTTGCCCCCTATCACATCCTACTTTGTGTTGAATGATATCTGCACTAAAACAGCCAATGTGTTCTTGATATTTTTGAATTTACTGTATCTTCCATTTCACTGACAAGAGGCCTGGAGAATTGTGGCTTTGTGCTGCTGGGGTTTGAGTGGGAGTTCTGGGCATTTGTCATCTGACAGTCCAGCCCCACTTATGAAGTCTTGGACCAGGTATTTCCTTTTCTGAGAGGTGATGGTAATGACATGCCACATGAAATACTTAACACGGTGTAAGAACTGTACCTTGTAGCTTAGTATTCTATACCACATATGTTTGTGCTAGAATCCGGACTTGAAATTATATTTCAGAACTTCCGTTTAGCTCTTTCCCTGCCTTGTGAATAATTGCTCCCATTATCTTGCAGAGAGTGGTGGCGTGAAGCTCAAAACAGCAAGAAGGTTGCAGCCAATCCCCATGACACCAAAGTAAAAAAGAAGTTACGGAAGTTGCAGTTGACACCTGGCTTCCCAAACCCTGCAGTTGCAGATGCTTACCTCAGGCCTGTTGTGGACGACTCCAGGGGATCGTTTCTATGGGGCAAACCTGATGTTGATAAGATTAGAGAATATCCTTTCTTAAAATTTATGGGAGTATTAAGCTACAGACTTATTGGGTTTAAAACTTAGGGGACAGGAATCTGGCTTTGTTTTATCTCCAATGTTCCATTTATCTGAGGTCATATTCTTTCCCTCTTTATTAGTTTTATTGAGGTTTCCCTTCCCCTTCTTCCCTTTCCTCCTCTCCTCTCCTCCCATCCCTTCCCCTCCCGTTCCCTTCCCTTGCTGGGGAATGAACTCAGGGCTTCATACATATGAGGCAAGTGTACTTCAGTAAGAATCTTAATTTAAAGCAAGCATGCATGACATGACCACATGTTTAACATTAATTATTCTTAAAGAATATGGAAGATTACTGGCTCTCTATTCTGTGCATTTAAATAATAATTTGGATGTCAGTTTCAACACCTACACTAGATTTATCCCAAGTACAGCTTCCTTTCTTAAACAAGAATGTAGGATATCTGCTCCTTGCTTTTATTCTAGGTTAGCCATGCTTTGTAGTGAGAAGGTTTTGATGTCCTAGTATAAATTTTTGAGTGTCTTCTGCTATAGGAGATTGACTAGAACATACTTCAAGATGATCTTGTTAGAGCCGCTTATTTTGTCGGCCTGGCCACTTCAATCTTCATAAATATGATTATCCCTGGGGATACAGGCAATGGATTCAGTAGTTGACTCTTGGATCTTTTTGTTTATTACTTGTTAAGTCTCTTTTTAAAAAAAATCTGTAAATCTTAACTGACAGCACATTTTGTCAGAGGTATTTTGGTTGGAACAAGATGAAGACAGATGAATCCCTTTTTCCAGTACTAAAGCAACTGAACATGCAGCAGGTAACTAGATTTTCTTTACATCCAGAGTGATGACTGCAGTTAGTAGGATGGTTACTGTTGCCGTCCAGTTAACTCTTATTTCACGGCAAGTAACTGAAGGTTTGAAATGATGATGCTTTAAAGAATAGACTAAAACAGAAAGGGAAATTGGGCCCTGAGTCCATTTTTTAATATAACTGTTAGCACTGTTGTGTCCTTATTTATGATGACTTTGGAAAAAATTCTAGTCTAATAAATGATTTCATAGTAAGATAAAATGTATTACTCCTCTGGAGCTATCTTGAATTCTTAAAAGCCCAGGAAGTAGTCACTCCAAAACATTTATAATCATTCAAGTTTCTTCAAACACTGATATTTCAGGTACAACTTAGGATCTGGTTTTTATAGTAACATTTCTGCAAAGAGAGGTTTATTAGGAAGAAAATGCCCTTTTGTGGGGCCCTTAGTTATTCCAAATGGGGATCTATGCTTGCTTTATCTTTGTGTCCTGCTCATATCAGATAAGTTTTCTCTGTCTCAGAAGCCACGCATAAAACATACATGTAAATCGAAATGAGACTATGTTTTTTAAGACAATGTAATCAATCCCCATTAAGTTTGAGTAATTTAGGGAAAAAATCTAGTATAACTGATTTTAAGGCTATTCCCAGGGGTTCCATCTTGTTTATCTGATGACTTTTACCTATCAGAAATAGAAGTCTACCAATAATGAAAATATTTTCTAGTGACTGCTTATTCCTTAGTTTTAGATAAGTGCCATTGTGCATTGTTTTCTCTCTAAAATTAGAAAGTAAAGATAGTAGATTAAAACTACTCCCTGCCTCCTAATAGTTGTTGAAATGGGTTTATTTTCCCTTATTTCCCATGTTAATTTGCTCCTCTACATAAATGCCTCTTGAGAGAGTGGGTCTCCCTTTCCTCTTGGCTCATCATGTGTACCATCTTCTGTGGATTGCATTGCTTTTTATAGTTCCAGAGGACCAGCTTATGTTCCATGAAAGAATTCACATTGACTCTGCTTCTTTTGGGGATTTTAGTTTTTGAATAGTTACAAATAGTTCTGTTAAACATACTAGGTTTAAGTAGGGCATGGTGTGATGCATGCCCTTAATCCCAGCACTAGGGAGGCAGAAGCAGGTAGTATCTCTATGAGTTCCAGGCCAGACTGGTCTACAAAGAGAGTTCCAGTACATCAAAACAAAACAAAACAAATCCTGTTTCAAAAAGCAAAACACACACACACACACACACACACACACACACACACACACACACACACACACACACACACACACACACACACACCTAAACCAAACACACCAAAAGAGTATCTTCTCAGCAGTGGATTTGCTGAACTAAAGCATTGATTTTTGTTTCCTGTGTGGCTCTTAATGGCTCCTAATGCATCAGGGACTGTGTCCTGATGATAATGCTCTTAAAAGAAAGGCATTGAATAACCTAGACACAGATTCTGGGAATTCTGTTGCTGCCAAAGAGTATACAATTGTTACCAAAACAGACAAACATAAAACAAAAAAGCAACAACACCACCAAAAACCAAAAACCAGCTAGAACTGCCTTCTGGGTGGTCATGAATCTGAATTCTCAGAACTAGTAATCAGTGGAAGTGATTAAGAGATCAGAATTGAACTTGTTGATTTGCTCTAGAAGCTGCTCAGTCATCTGACTTATTGTTTTATTTTATTTTAGACCCAGCTACGGATTGATTCTTTTTTTAGATTAGCTCAACAGGAAAAACGAGATGCCAAACACATAAAAAGCCAAAGGCTTAACAGAGCTGTGACATGTATGCTAAGGAAAGAAAGGGAAGAGGCAGCTAGTGAGCTGGAGAAAGGTACTGAGGCCCTGGATGAGGCAAAAGGGAAAACCCAAACAAGAAGCCTGATGAGCCCAAGAGAGACATCAGTCCCCAAAAGAAGGAGGTCTTCAGGAAGTGGTGGGTTTCTGGGGGACCCCTGCCTCTCAGAACCCCCCGGGGATTCAAGTGACGATACAGAAAGCTCTTCTGTGATGTGCATACGGCGGAGAAGAACAGCTAAAGCTGAGTCCTCAACGGGCAGCTGCTCGGATTTGCCCGAAGTAGTGAGAAATGCTCACGGAAGGGATGGTTGTATGTCCACTAGCAGCTCCAGTGAGGACGATGGAGACAAAGCCAAGGCTGTCCTAGTGACTGCTAGACCTGTATTTGGGAAGAAAAAAGGGAAGCTAGTGAAGAGAAGGAAAAGGAAAGCCCAATTTAACAAGGCCATCAATTTGGAAGAACAATGTTTGCAATGAATTATGTATTGAGAGAATAAGATTAAATCTATTTGTATAATCTTCATTTTGAATGTGTAGTTTCTCTTTTTCTTTTATGGTTTCTAAAGTTTATTAAAAATAAAATAACAACCTTATATGAAAATGTTTGTTTTAGTGTTTACACTATCCACAAATAAAATTGAAACATGATATGTTTTGGTCAAACTACAGCGGTAGTCAGACCAGTTCATCTGGTTTACTATTACAGGGATAGACATGTTCCTGTACCTGTGGATGGAATTTAAAATGCACATCTGCAGGTCACTTGGGACAGTCTCAGAGTAATGCAGATGCAGTCAATATTTCTAATGTGTAGCGAATAGTACACATTATGGGTAAGTGTTCATAAGTTTTCCTTTTTGACTTTTATTTCATAAATATTCCTTAGTAATAGTTTTACAGTTTAAATAGTTTAATCCTCATGATCTACAGACCCTGGGTGCTGCTCTGCTCTGGAATGCCTCCTAGAGTCAACTGCCTGATGACAGTGAGGGCAAAGTATATGGTATTAAAACATGAGTGATAAACTGAACAGTGTTTCAGTGTGCTATGATTTTTCTGGCATTTTCTACTTTTTCATTGTTTCTATTACCTTGTTATGTCTGAAGCTTTGAGACCACCTCCAGGAAAAGGAAAGGATTTATATTGATAAGTGTTCTCTCAATATGCATTCCCTCTGACTCAGACCTAGACAAGAAGAAAAATATCCTTACTTTTCAGTCCACAATCAGGCGGTTCCAGCAACTCAATGATTCTCTGTCTCCCACAGTTGTTCCAAGGCAGATAGCAGGAGACAGTCTCATGTCTGGATCATGGAGGGTGCTTTTTTACTCATGAAAATAAATTGTGTTTGAGACAGTAGCAAAAGCAAATTACTATTTAGAGCAAATTGGTATATCTGTAGTTAGGATTATGAGCATTATATACTTTATAAAGTAACCCTTCAGCTCCTTAATTTTTTTCTTTATCATTTTACTGTTAAAGCAATTTGTTCAGTTCTTTATTTGTATCATCTTAAATACAGTCTATGGGTCACCTATGACTTCATACTGTTACGTAGTTTTGTAAAAATTGGCACCTGGATTGTCTGAAAAGCTGGAGAAATTTTTCTGGCTGTTTGTGCAGAAGAAGGTCTGTTGAGAGGAGAAGCAGCAGTGCTGAGGTGACTGGGCATGGGGCAGGGCTGGTTTGCAGTCTTGCTAAGACTTGGCATCTGTTTTCCCCTCATTCCTGGGAAATGGCTTCTACGAGAACACACCAGAAGCTTGTATGTTTCTCTTCTCATTTTTGCCTTTTGTCCTTTTTGTTTACGTAATAAGCAATGTGTGTAAAATCAACCCTTTTCTTTCTGGGATCCTGGGTTTTCAGTTCCTGGCTACTTTGCCAGCCCTGAATATTATTTTGTCTCTCTAGTTCTGTGAGGTTGCCCAGAATTGTCAGGGTGCACTTGTGTGTTGTCCTTTGTCTGGTTTCTCAAGTCTTTTTATTTCTCCAGAGTAGGATTTAATGTTTCTTACTGCTATGGTAAATGCTTAAAGGAAGCAGGAGGATGCATTTAATTTATTGGTATACTTGTTTGACTTTGAGTTTTGTGAGTGCAGAAGTCCAAGAAAGCACTGGAACTGGAGATTTGGCTAGGAGCCACCATATGGGTTCTGGGAACTAAACCCTGGTCATTTGCAAGACCAGTAACAGCTCTTAATTGCTGAGCTGTCTTTCCTACTACAGAAAGGATTTAATTTAATTCTGGTAGGTTAGGCCTGGTGGCAAGAGTTTGCTCATATCTGGACTAGTAAGCAAGCTGGAATTCAGGTTGGACTGTAAACTTCAAGTTCTGCCTCTCAGCAACCCACTTCCTACAGTTGGGACCCACCTCTTAAAGGTTCCACAACTTCCTCAAACATATGGGGGAGGGGGCAAGTGTTCAAACACGAGTCTGTGAGAGAACATCACATATCCAAATTCCAACAACCAATAATCAGTAATTCCCAGAGTTCTCGGCTGCTTTGAATGCTCTGTGATATCATGAAACAGAAATGTGTGTATCCGTGTATGTGTGTATGTGTGTGTGTGTGTGTGTGTGTGTGTGTGTGTGTCCCCGTCCGTGTTTTAACATTTGCTGCCCTTGGCATCAATCTCCATATGCTCTTCAGTGTAACAAATGATTATTGCCATGTTGGCTAACATAATTGATTTTGGAGTTCTGCACTTGTAAATCTAGCACTGGAGATTTCATGACCTTTCAAATAACTCCCTGAAAGAGGTAAATACTTTTTATTTATCAAGTCATTATTCATTCTTGTTTTAAACAGAGCCAAAAGTGGTATGTGTCCTCTGACCAAAAAAAATAATGCTTTTGTAAAGCAGTATGAATTCTTCAGGGTTTTGGAATTCCAGGAATGTTTTACCTAAGTATTTACCTCCTAAGTACATACCTGCTGTATAAGTGAGATAAGCTAAAAAATACAGCAAGTCAATGACCCCAAGTCATAAGCAGTTATTGACATGAATAATGAAAACTGGACTTTGTGATGCTAGACCTGTCCTGTACATTAAATGACCTCAGTTAAACTCTGTGTACATTGTGGTATAAAGGTTCAGAAGTTGTACTCAAATTCTTGAGTGCGCAAATTCCTCCTGCAACATTAATGCTACTATTTATTATCAGTGAAAAGAAATTTATGCTGGTATGTGTTCAGAGACTCATATCCCAGCCTACTTGTTCAGCCTCCGTGAGAAGGAATAGCGGTCATTTGATTCTGGGTAGAGAACAGTGCTACACACATGGCTGGTGTAGTTGTTGGATTCTAAAAACATGTTCACACCCAGATAGGTGGCATAAAAACCGCATGGTCTCTATTTCATAGGATATAGCCACAGAGTCTTAGGATAACTCTTGGCATCAGAATTGAAATCTTAGTTTGCTTCCTCTTGTGTAGCCTGCATCTTCACTGCAGGGGTGCATTCATAATCTCTAGCTGTGTTCCCAGGCCGTCATGGAACATTCCTACTGTTCTTCAGTCTTCACTTTCTGGGCTTTGCAACATCACTGTTGTGCAACCAGAGGCAGAGAAACTGCAGCTGTTGGACCCTAATCCTGTCTGCTTCGACTTGTTGCCAGGGCGTACAGTAGTCTAAGAGCTCTAGAGACAGCCTTGCAGGCGTTACCAGAAGCTTCAGCAGTAAATCACAAGTTGTGGATGGTACTATTTCACCTTCTGTAAACTCAGCTAACACTTGTAGGTATGTCCAGCCTTAACATTGACCAAATACTCATCTCCAGGCAGACAGGTATAAAAAAGACTGCTTCCCTTAGTGAGAGAAATGAAAAACTGGGGTGGGGGGATGTCTTGCTGTTCTTTTAGCTGTGTGATCATGATTTTATTTAACTTTGGTTTTTACTGTGTATTAACTGTAGGGAAATAATTTGACTTTTAACTACGGGGCATGCTACAAAGAAAAAAGACAGTAACTAGGAAGAGTATGTGGGATTTTTGGGAGAAAGGGATGTTATATTTATGAAAGTATTGGGGTTATTTGTCATGTTAAATCAAACTGAGAAGATACAGCTCATTTAAACCTATTCCAATTACCTGCTTTAAGTGAATGGTATACAATACTTGAGTTTATAAACCTTTGCTGGGGTGATGTGGACTCCTAAAGGCAGAAGAGACCCAAAATACCACCTGGTGGTTCAGTTAGTTGATATTCTAATTCGCTAATGTCACATTGGTGGGAATAAGTAAATTATGTCCTCATTGATAGAAAGATTTATTTTCAGTTAGTATCATAGCTTACACTGTAACGAACCAAACTATTTCTTCCCAGTGTTGAAAATACTTATTTAGAACTGATGTCTTTCTAGCCAAATGTGGCAATTATCTTTCCTTGTGAGGTCTGAGGTCATCTCTGCATAATGTTCATTTTCTCTAACAGTTTTTAGTTTCTGACCATGAAGCCATTGCTCTGATTCTGATGAATACTAAGTAGAGTTTATGACATTTCTTAAAATGTGCTTTAATATATGATATTTTACTATAAATTCTCAGCTATATCAGAAGTTAAATTGCTAGGTAAGTATAAGCACATTTACTACACATTTTGAATCAATTACTAGCATTTGATATTTTAGTGAATTATGTGCTTATTGTTCAACAAAAGATCAAGAAAACATCAACATATCACTATTCATTAATCCTGCAGCTGATGGATCCAGAAACTCAAAAAGGTAAATAATTATTTTCTTCTTTTAATTTGGCCAATTCTGTGTAGAGAAACCATTAATGGAATCTAAAATCTTACTTTTTTAGTCTTCATTAATACCTTAAATGGAACTAGGGCTTATAATTGTATGTTATATCTTGCCTTGTGTTTACCAACCTAAAAATACCTCTAGTAATGTTCAGTTAATACTATTAAACACCAGTGGTTCTGATATATTAAGAATCATTTTGACTGACAATAATAAATTAATCTGTAGAAGACATGAAACGATTACTTAGAGTTTTTCTTTGATTTGCAAAAATTGACATTTTAAAACAGATTCTATACATCAAGCACATTGTTGTGATTATTTTTTAAAAGCTTGAGACAACAAAATAGTTCTATATACAAACTTAACATTTTAATGATATTTAGATGAAAGATAAATTTAGGCTACATAATATCTCTAGCATATATTTATTATCTTTTTGACTATTCATTTAAGGCAAAAATACACATCATAATTTGACTAGATGTAAGAATTTAAATTTGAGTATTTGAAACTGACATACCATTTTTACAGTTTTGCATATGACGTTTGGCTTTGCATAGGTTACTAAATATAATGATCTTCATTGAGATAAAAGTACTAATTCTTACATAAACTAGAAAAATTGCCATGTTTTGTGGAATGGTTTTAAACATAGATCAAATTATCTTTCATTTTTTTCTGTCCCTCTTATCTATACATACCATGTATATTTCAAATAACCATAGACCTGTTTCTTTCTTTGGCCACACCAGATGTAATAGGTGGCTCCTACCTAGGTGAGCATATCTGCAGGCAGACAGACTTGGGTGCAAGCCTAGAGCTGGCAGCCTACCTAGCTTAAATGCCAATGCTTTGCAAACCTAAAGGTGTAAGTTGTAATCTCCTAGAGTACCCAGCCCTTCAGATGTAATTTGAATGCAGATGTAATTTCTGTGTTTCATGGATAAAATTATGTCATTTCCATAGCCATTAGTAACAATTCTTGGTTTCAAATGTACACATGGTGATTTGGCAAATTACAACTGAAGTAGAAATAGTTCAAGTTGAATTTGAGACAGAGAGAGTATTAGAATATTTTACAATTGTAGCAGACACACCCCATATCTATATAGATAATTAAAAATGTAAAAGTATATTTAGATGCAGAGTGCTAAGGAGATAAAGTGTGTGCCACTGTAGCCAAGCCAGATGACGTTTCGTTGGCAAGGTTTATACCAAGTAGAGGAACACTGGGTTCCCAAGTACTGAAGGATGTTTATCTGTCCTGTCCTTTTATACTTAGCATCATTGACTTGGAAAGGATGGAGTAAGACCATAGTTCAGGCCTCATATTTCAGTACTTACAGGAAGATCTGAGAATTACAAGATGCCACTTACTTATGTACAGATTGAAACTAGGACTAGGATGAGAGCTAAAAATTCCTTCCTGTGTATGTCTAGTGCTACACAGTAATCTAGCTTCTCTAAAGCTTCATGTATCTTAATTACTCTAAATACAACTTGTTGCCTACTCCATGCCATAGTTCCCAGAACTGCTAGTATAGGCAGCAGAGTGTTGGAAGATGGCAGCTTCTGAGAATCTTCAGCTGTGGGGCAGACTCTGCCTCACCACCCAATGTTCTATGATCCCAGTGCACATTGGTCCCCAAATCTGTTGCTATGGATTTATTTGGTATAAATGCGTGTGGTGGGGATGAAGGAAAGAACAGAAATAGGGAAAGTTTTTCAGATCATACCATACATGCTCACATGTGAGAGTAGAAGGAGATAGAGGGTAGAAAGACCTGTCAACTGTGTCAACTGCAGTATAGATGAAATAAAGCCTCGAGTGGGCTGAAGAAGGACTCCTTGAGTAAAAGTTGACTGCTAGGGAAGGCAGTAAGAGTCTGGGTGAAGGCAGAAGCCATAACAGAGAATTCAACTGGGAAGCATGTGCTTTTGAAGTGGTGTATGTTACTCGTTGGGGATGGTAATTGGCATTGAATAATGACATCCAGACCTGAGTTTTAGAGACATCTGAAGTGGAATGGATTGGTAAATTTAAGTTCTTTTTGTTTGAAATGTGGGAAATTGGTTTATTTAACGTTTATTTATTTGGGTTGCTTTTGTAAACCTTCAGTATATGTTAATGGGTGATTCTCATGTTATTATTGTATGTTTCCAGCTAGTATAGCACTGCACCCAAGCCTGATTTCAACGTTAGTCCTCAGGCCAATCTTGTACAAGAATTCTCTGAGTGAAACGTCACTTACTTTAGGATGCTTCTCTTGATTTCATCCAACCCACCAGGGTACAACAGGGTACTTCAGAGATGCCTTTTTGTAATAACCACCAAATTTCATTCATGTTTATTTAGTATCTTTCCCTTTTTTGATCAGGGTGTCATTTCTCAGTGCAACAATTTCCATTCTCTCTTGTTTTCCACTTGCATCTTGAATAATCCCAATAAGAAGACTCTTTTCTTCTTAAAAAATATAAAATATAGTATTTTTTGACTATTTGTTTGAAACTAAGCAGACCAACAAACTGGGAATATTTGGGGAATCTTCTCAGGAGACAGTTTCAGAAGAAGAAAAAAACCCAAGATTTTGAGCTGCCAAACTATACAGCATCATATCTTTTATGCTAGTCTGTGAAAATTTATAAATCTAAAAACATCTTTAACAGCTTTTCAAAAAATCTGCATGTATTCCTCAAAATCACGTATCATTCTTTGAATAGAAGATTCAGTTGAATGACAGTCTCTTTCATTTAGTGAGGTGGTTTGTTCTTTAAGTTTTGCTGACAGGTTCTTATGACAGCCCTCAAATGGAAGCTGGAATTCACTTGCCATATCTGTTAAAGTCAGTTTTGTCTGTCTGTCTGTCTCTCTCTCTGTGTTTCTTTGCTGTGACCCTTTTGCATTTCATTATTCCAATTGACCTTAAAGATAGAAAGAGAAGTTAGACAGACCTTTGCTTCAGAAGGCTGCAGTCGAGCAACAGAGATGATTCACTGCTGAATTCTTCTTAAGAGAAGCATCATTGAAATGTGGCAGAATTTTGCTAATTTTCACTTCACTCTTTTGTTCTCAGACCAAGAACACCTGATAGATTTTAAATCCCTATCAGCAAATATTAGTAGCTGCAAATGGCATTGACTATTTTGTACGAAAAAGTTTTAAAATAGATAACCCTAGGATAACAACATAGTTGTAAAACAATTTCTTCATTTTTTTAAGGACTTTGCCATTCTGGCTAACCAGTGTGCCCTTGACTGTCTCTGCTTCTTGAGCACTGGGATTGCATGTGGGCAACCATGCTTGTGTTTGTGTGGTCCTCATGCTTTTGTAACATGTACTTACCCACTGTGCTATCTCCCTAGCCTGTATTTTAAATCTTCACATATGATGGATAGAGCTGTGCTCTTTTAGAGTCTTTAAGCAATCAATAGTGGTTATAGGTGTTTATTATAAACTCTCTTTGAAGGTCTTTATCTTGGAAGTTTAATTCAAATGTGTTGAAATTTTCTTTCCTTATGGAAGTAAAGTTGTGATTGCTATAAGAAAAAAATGAAACGATATACTCTGTTCAGAAAGACAAAGTAAAAGTCAGAGACACATTGACTATCACCCATTTGTTAGACAACAGCACTAAACATAGTCAACCTTTAAAATAACAATAACTGAATTTGGGTCCTCATTTTGGCATCAAGCTCCTTTACCTACGGAGCCATCATGTTGTCCCCATGAAGTATTTTTAAATAGTTTGCTAGTTTATTTCATCTGAAGTATTCAACAATACCTTGAACTGAGAGAAGGGCTGTATTTCTATCAGGTTTTTCTTTTTGTAGGGTTTAAAAATGTTATTTTTTATTTTCTGTAACCATGAAAAATAGTGGGTTCTTTTATAATATTTTCATGCCTGCACAGTATTCTGCTCATACCCTCCCACATCACCTTTCCTTGGCTCCTTTCTCTGCACTTCTTTCTTTTTGTATCCCCAAGCAGTCCCATATCTATATTTTCAAATGTAGATTCCACATAAAAATAAAAATATTTGCCTTTTTTTCATTCTTTCTTCTGTTCCTCTCCCACTAGTCCATCCTCCTTACACAAGTCACCCTTCTACTTTCTTATCTAATAATCTAGGAAAATCTTGATTAAATCTGAAATCTAGATTCATCATATGAGGAAAAAGCATGTAATACCTCGTGGGTCTGGCTTATTTGATTTAGCAGGATTGTAACCACTGATGTTTTGCTTGTTTGTTTTTTTCTTTTCCTTTCAGAGATCAGAGAAGGTGATAATGACAGGCAGGTGGTCGCAGAAATCATGGCAAGAAGTTTTATTCCAACTCTGATAACGACTGTTTCTTGGGAAGGCTTTCACTTTGCTGGTCATGAGATTCGGATTACTGAAGCCAAAGATTGTTATGGTGCTGTTGTCTGGCCATCGGTATAATTTTTTTTTTCTTGAAAAACTCTTCACCTCCCATCCCACTCTTTCCCTTACTTCTCTATCTACTGACAACAGAGTATGCCAGTGTATGTGTGTTTTTAATTTTTATTAAAATAAATTATGTCTTAGAAACATGCATGCATATTTTACACGTCAATGACAGCTCCCTCTCCCACCCCTCCTCCTTTGTCCCTCCCCCAGCTCCCCCCCAGGCCCTCACCCACTCCCCACATCATTTCCCAAGGAGGGTAAGGCCCTCCTTGGGGGGATCTCCAGAGTCTGTCATTTCATCCAGGGCAGGACCTAGGTCCCTCCCTATGAGTCCAGTCTGAGAGAGCATCCCTCGATGTGGAATGGACTCCCTAAGTTCATTTGCATGCCATAGTAAACACTGATCTACTACCCAAGGCCCCAGAGATCTCCTAGGCCTCCTTACTGACACTACCTACATTCATGGAGTCTGGATCAGTCCCCTGTTAGTCTCTCAGCCATCAGTCTGGGGTTTAAGAGCTCCCCCTTATCCAGTCAGCTGTCTTTGTGGGCTTAACCAGCAGGGTCCTGACACCTTTGCTCATCATTCCTCCATCTTTGTCACTGAGTTCCAGGAATTCAGTTCAGTGTTTAGTTGTGGGTATCTGTCTCTGCTTCCATTAGTCACTGGATGAAGGTTCTAGGATGCATATAAGGTAGTCATCAACCTTATTTTCAGGTAGGGGCTATTAATGTTGTTTCCCTGCTATTGCTTAGTTTGTCAGTTAGCGTTATCCTTGTAGATCTCAGGAAATCTCACTAGTATCAGCTCTCTCCTCAAACCTATAATGACTCCATCTATTATGGTGTGTCTCATCCTGCTCTCCTCTATTCTTAACTTCAACTCAATATTTCAGCTCCCCCATATCTTCTCCCCTGTTCTTATCCCCCTCTGTTTTTTCTGGATCCCTCTCCCATCCCCCGATGTTCCCAATCTGCTCAGGAGATCTTGCCTCATTCCACTTCTCTGGAGTATAATGCATATCTCTTGGGAACCTCCCTGTTTTCCCGACTCACTGGCATTGGGATTGTAGGCTGACACTCCCCTGATCCATGTAGTGGAGAGCTACCAGAGCATATGATTTCTTAAAAATTGGCTGTACCCAATTACTTCCCGTTTTATTCATTGTTACAGCCTACTTGGAAGAAGGAAACAGGTTGCATATTGCATGGGAATCAAGATTCACTAGACTCAGTACAGGTTAAGTGAAGTTTATTCAGGCAGAATGCACTTACACAAGAGGCAGGTGACCACCGTAGGTTTCAGCTCCAAGGATACACCCAGACCGGAAGCAAGAGAGGGAGCTGGGGTCAGGGATCCTATATCTAGTCCTTCCCTCCATTATATCCACACCTGTGACCACACGCAAATGGGTGTGATCAGTAATACAGTTGCAAGATTCTATTTTTTGATCTCAGACAACACTAAAATTTAGACATTATGCAATGGGAAATTGCTTCCAACATTTAAGTTTGTTTTTGACTATTGACATTGTAGGTTAAATAAAGACGTGGATGCCATCAGTTTTATGACTATGAGAGATGAAAAGAGTAGATGTTTTCATTTCCCATTTTATTGGATTTGTTTGAGTTAAGGATGCCTATTTGAGATTTACAAGCAGGATACTCTCAAAGGCCCCCATTCATTTACCAGTGATTTTACTACTCCCCATCCCAACCTCACACATTTCTTGGAATCATCTGATATTGTTAGAACTTTGAAGAAAGTCAAATTTAAATAACCACACTCTTTTCACTCATTTCTGTCTTTCTTTTCATCAAGGACCAAAGTGTTGACCCTGTCAGAGGTGTACCTCTGGTGATAATTTTCTGGAATGATGTACATGAGCATCACAAATTTACTCCTACCCAGATGTGCATACATGCAGATCATAATGTCTATGGCACATCTACCTAATAGGGTTTAATTTTACTATTAATACTTTAAAAACCCCTTTCTCCCAATTTCCGTAGGCCCTTGTTCTATGCTATTTCCTGGAAACGCATGCCAAGCAATATAACATGGTTGATAAAAATGTGATTGAAATTGGAGCTGGAACAGGCCTTGTCTCCATTGTGGCGAGTTTACTTGGTAAGTAGGTATTTTTTATTGAATGGAATTGGTCAGGAAACTAATAACCAAATATCATTAGTTATTTTTACTTTCTAGTGTATTATGATCTGGGCTTATGTGTAACTCTTTGTTTTTCTCTAGAGATTTATTTACTTATTTTATGTATCTGAGTGCTCTATCTGCATGTATGTCTTTATGCCAGAAGAACATTAGATCCCACTATCAATGGGTGTAAGCCACCATGTGGTTGTAGGGAATTAAACTCAGGTTCTCTGGAAAAAGCAGCCAGTATTCTTAACTGCTAAGCCATCTCTCCAGCTCCTCCTTAGTTGTTAAAAGCAGACTTTGTCAAGAAACTCTACTAATATTAACATCTCTTTGCTGGTTTCTTTCCAGAATTTTCTGTGTAAGTAGTTTTAAATCTTCCTGTGGAATGAGAGCTTACAAGCCTAGTTAGGGGGTGAAATTAGTCATACTGCTTGATTCCTTTGGGGGTTTTAGAGTCCTTTACTCTGATGAACATGCACCTGTTAAAATAGGGAAGGAGTATTAGAAATAACATGAAGCTTATACCTCAGCTTTGACTTTTAGGGGTTTGGCCTTGGATTTGTTTTTTCATTTCTGTTCTCATTTGGTCCTACACAAAAGGCTCAGGCATTTTGCTTTCTATGCCTTGATGATCATGTTTATTAGAGGGTTGGAGAAAAATAAAAGTACAAATCAACTTTCTTTTTTTGGGATTGGAAGAATCAGGTCATTTCGTAATACCATGATGCAGGTGTCTCCCTTCAGATGCCTTACACATTTCAACAGGTGACTGTACAATCTTCTGTTTTCTACACAGGATAAATCCTGTGCTTCAACCAACTCTTGATGGGACGGCTAATGGAATACCATATATCCAGACAAGGAATATTGGAATGTTTCACTTTGTTCACTTATGCCTCTCTTCATGTGTCTTTGCATTGGCGTCTATAGTAGCCACGGTCCTTTATATGTCATCCAGTATCATATTCCAATGGTGTTTATTAGTGGGTGATCTGCCCATAAGTCCTGGGTCACTTCTCTACCTAGATTTGCTTATCCAGATTTCACTGGTAAAATCCAGTAGCTTCTTTGTGGTTCTTGTCCTAGTTAGTTCGGTTACTATGATAAATGCCAGGACCGAAAACCACATGGGGAGGAAAGGGTTTATTTCATCTACAGTTCTTGGGTCACATTTTATCATTGAGGAAAGTAAAGATAGGAACTCCAGCCGGGAAACTGGAGTCAGGAACTGATGCAGAGGCCCTGGAGGAGTACTGCTTATTGGCTTGGTTGTAGCTTGCTCAATTGGCTTTCTTATACAACTAAGGATCACTTTCTCAATCTGCAGTGAGCTGGGCTCTCCTACATCAATCATTAATCCAAGAAGTGCCACAGACTTGGCCACAGGACAGTTTGATGGAAATATCTGTGTCAAGCTGATAGAGAACTAGCCGGCATGGTATTGGTAGTTTGTTACTAGTCTGTTTTTCATCAAGTTTCAAAGCATGCAGGGGCTTGGAACTCTTTGGAAAGTACCTGTTTAGCCTTCATCATTGACCTTGGGTCATTGCAATGAGATGTTCTTCTTCTTATGGTCATTTTCCTCCTAAATGGAGAACAATGATGAGCTAGACAAAAACCCAGGGGGTCAGCAGGATACAGAAATACTACATGATTCTGTTTTGTTCTTTTTGAAAAAGAGGGTTGAAAAGTATATTAGTGTCCATTCTGAAAAGCACTGTCCTTCTGTATGTGCTTCCCAGTTGTGAAGAATCTCAGAGTGCATGTTGGTTGAAACCTGACTGACTGACCTTATTCCAGGAGGATCACTTTTCCTACCATTCTTTTTTCATAGGTGCTCGAGTGACTGCTACAGACTTACCTGAATTACTTGGAAACTTGCAATATAATATTTCCAGAAACACTAAAATGAAATGCAAGCATTTGCCTCAGGTTAAAGAACTATCCTGGGGAGTAGCGTTGGACAGGAACTTTCCCAGGTCTTCCAGTAACTTTGACTACATCCTGGCAGCAGATGTTGTCTATGCCCATCCTTTCCTGGAGGAGCTTCTCATAACCTTTGACCATCTCTGCAGAGAAACTACCATTATCCTCTGGGCCATGAGATTCAGGCTGGAGAAAGAAAATAAATTTGTGGATAGATTTATGGAACTGTTTGACCTGGAGGAAATTTCTAGTTACCCTAGCCTGAATATTAAGTTGTACAAAGCTATGAAAAAAAATCGGAGGAGTGCATAGTGCATGTTGTATGTGAATTAGGGCAATGACATCTGAAGGTAGCTTGTAGTAGATCATCTCTCTCTCTCTCTCTAAGAAAAAAATTAACTCTAAACTTGCCTTATTATGGGCAAGGATTTTTACACACACACAGTAGTTGCATCTGTAGGATCAAGGTATTTTGTTCCCAAGTCTGTCTGCTCAGCATGCTAATTACATGGTAACAAACTTGAAGTAACACCATGCTGTCATCGTTGCAAAACTAATTTTCAATAATGATATCTGTAACTGAATGTTATTAATTTTATTTCTTTGTGAGAATGTATCTTAGATTGGCCCTGTACTAGAGATCTTACCTCAGCCTCCAGAGTGCCAGCACTCTAGGGATGTACCACACACCCACCCATGGTGTTAATCCTTTTAAATATAAGGTTAAATGATTATATCTTTAGAGATCAATAAACTGACTATATTGTGATTTGCAAATAAATCTAAAAAGACAGATATATGATGTAATAATGATCAGTGCTAGATGTCTGTGGTTCCCACCAGTGGCATCTTAGAGGGGGGTGGGTGTCATTTCTGCTTGGCAGTTTGGACCTCTTGCATAACAACTGAATTAATCAATCATGTGGAATATTTCCCTCTAACAGATAAAAACTATGAATGCAAATAGCATAAGAATATCCAAGATTATTGCTTGTTTTTGTAAGTCAAATAAAACTTATTTTTTACAGACATGGAAATAATTATAAGAACTTTGGGTTGGAAATACATAAAAAGGTATAGGCTACTACTCTCAATTAAGTAGACATGGTTTAAGTAGATATATCTAGATATTTGAAATCTCAGACTTTTTCATGTGGTTCTTAGAGATTAGAATAAGCTTTAAAGAAATAAAAGTCATCAGTGTGGAAAGAGTAAAGAATTAGGCCTTTATGCCATGTGACTGCCTGGACTGTGTTGTTGGCAACACGCTGCAGTGTCCTCAGCTAGGCTGTCACGTGGCCTTGGTGATAATTCTCCTCCAGGGTCATCTCTTCATGGCTGAACATTGTCATGGTCAAACACATCTGCGATTATCTCCTGGGTCCTGCACTGTAAGTTAGAATGCAGGTACACTGCAGTATACCTCTTGATGCATGCGTTTTCTTAGGACCACATCTCAACAGTTTTCTGTTTGCAAGGATATGTGTCCTTCTCGGGTTTACTTAGTGTTCAGCCTGCACAGGACAGTGATATCGTTATTCTCACTTCACAAATAAGAACAAAAGCCTAGGTTACATAGCTGTGGAGTGACATATACAGTCATACCCACATTTGTTTAAGCACTGAATCTGAATTTATAATTTCAATACTGTCTTTAGATATTAGAAACAAGTAATGTTCAAGCACATTAAACAACCAAGGTCAGTTCTTCAAAAGGAATAGATACTCAGAAAGAATAACAAATATATTTAAAAATGAGACCTATTCCTTTTAACACCGTCCCTAGATTTTCTACCCATAGAAGGAGACATTATAGAAGGCTGTGGTAGTGTGCACTTCTGGAAAGTGTACATTAGGCAGGGACCTCCAGGCAGAGGCATGCCTATCTACCTGAGACATCAAAGTGGTGTGGTAGAGGAGCAGATAGAGAGACCGATGAGGTCTGAATGAAGACACACCAGGAAGGAGATTATGGAGGTCCTGTGCTATGGGCTAGGATCTCCAGATACAGGCTCTGGGAGAGAACATGATGTGTACTCCTTAGGCTGTGCAGCCACTGACTGTGGTCACTGGTTAAGCTGTATGGTTGTGATGGACAGTTGAAGAAGAGAAAAAAAGCCAGTCTCAGCTGACCCAATCAGTGCTAGACTTGGAATAGCCTGTTTCAGGGTATTTCTGATTGGAGTAGGGCATTTGGGTCTTTACACGTTCCTGTATCTGTCGTGGGAAGACTGTTTTGAGGATGGTGATGGTTGTGATGTCTGCCTGCAACATTTGCAGCTGTGTGGTGATAAAGTCATTCTGAGGTTATCTAAGCACTTCGTTATCGTGATCACCACATCGTTTCAGGCTCCTTCCTGCTGAAATAGAGAGCCACTGGATGACTCTAAATAAAGGAGTGCAATAATGTTATGGCCTGTACAGACTTCTTGGCCTGGGTTCTGAGAAGGGATCTCAAAGTCCAGAGACCAGCTGGGAGCTGTGGCATACATTCAAGCAAAGGATAGCAAGAAATCTACAAGGGGGGTGGTGAGATCAGCTGCTCTAGCTGTACTCTGAAGCCAGAGGCAGCAGAGTGTTCTACTAGGTGAGCTGTGGAATGTGAGCAGGGAAGCCATGGCTGATTCTGAAATATCCCTGTGTGCTGCAGGCTGTGAACTTAACTTTCAGTTCAGAGAAGGCTTATGAAGGTCCTTCGAAGAGCAAGAGGGAATAAAATGACTGAGCCTTGAGGCTCACCAGCATTAGGGATCTGACAGACACTTTCAGATTTTTTTGGAGGCTATGTACCCTTTCTCAGTTGTATCTGCACATGTGGACCCTGAAAAAGTATGAGTTTAATGGCACCGTCTTCTAGAAACTGCCACTGGGCTTGCTAATTTCTAAAAGTTGCCTCAGAGGAATCTAAAGTCTGAATATCACAGGTCTGGCAGCAAATATCTTGGTGTAATAAATTGGGGAAAAATAACCCACTTTGACTCTTGCTAAAAAAGTATCTGAGTATCATTGTGAAGTAGTTTTGGAGTGGGGATGATACAATGTCCTCTCAAAGACTAGTGGGAACAAACCAAACATTTAGTTCCTTATTCTTTTTGAAACACATCCATACCATTGTCTTACTCTATAGCTTTCACTTGAGAATTCTAACACCACCCTCTTCTATCTTCTATGGTGCTTCTCACTCAATGTTCTATCTAGTCTTCCTGTTTTTTTTTTCCTCCAGCTTCTCCATGCTTTGCTAGGTTTAGTTTTACAGTAATTCAGTTTCAAATGATACAATTTGTATGGGCCTTTTCTATTTCACAATTCTTTTAAAAATGTGTAGGAGTACCCCACATCTGACAGAGGGCTGATCTCCAAAATTTACAAAGAACTCAAGAAGCAACTCTCCAAAACACCAAAGGATCCAATTAAAAAGTGGGGTACAGAACTAAATAGAGAATTCTCAATAGAGACACTTGAGAAAGTGCTCAACATCCTTAGCCATTAGGGAAATGCAAATCAAAACAACCCTAAGATATCATCTTACTCCTGTCAGAATGTTTAAAATCAAAACGCCAATGACAGCTTATGCTGGAGAGGATATGGAGAAAGGGGAACACTCGTCTATTGCTGGTGGGAGTGCAAACTTGTTCAGTCACTTTGGAAATCAGTATGGAGATTCCTCAGGAAAATGGGGATCAGTTTACCACACGACCCAGCAATTCCACTCTTAGGCATATACCCAAAAGATGCCCATTCATAGACAAGGATGTTTATTCCACTATGTTCATAGCAGCATTATTTATAATAGCTAGATGCTGGAAGCAACCTAGATGCCCCACAACTGAAGAGTGGGTGGAGAAAATGTGGTACATTTACACAATGGAGTACTACTCAGCGGAAAAAACAATGGAATCTTGAAATTTGCAGGCAAATGGATGGCACTAGAAGAAACCATCCTGAGTGAGGTAACCCAGTCACAAAAAAGACAAACATGGTATGTACTCACTCATATATGTATTTTAGACATGGATCAGGGGAGTGTCAGACTACAATCCCAGGACCAGGTGTGTGTGTGTGTGTGTGTGTGTGTGTGTTTGTACATACACATGTGTGGCCTCAGTTCTTTTTATGTTCTTTTCAAAACTTGGAAGTTGATCACATATGAGCTCCCTACCCAGGGTTGGTATCTAAGTTCGTACTGTGAAATTAAGTCTAGCATACTACCCACAAGCCTCAGGTCAACATTTACTTTATCTCTAAGTCCTACACAAAAGCAAAGGATGTTCTGTAGAATGGTGGTATTGGTGGAACAGGTTGTATTAGATGGTCTTCAGATTGATTCATTCTGGGGTCATATTAACTCCATCACGAAGGATTCCTGGACTACATTTTAGCATTTACTTGGATAGTGTGTGGCTGTGTAGTTTCAGATCACCAAGCACTTGCTATAGACTACTTATTCTATTAAACTCATCATTGGTCTCTGTCATAAACACTTTTAATTGAGTATACTCAAAGGTAAGGATTCCCACCTCACTGACCCAATCTTTTCAATTTCTGTATATCTAAGGCAGTTCTCTTTCTAAGAAAGCCAATCAAGCTTCACAATAAGGGTTCATTGAAAATGAACACAGATGTCTAGGATACAGATGTCCAGGGTGAATATGATGGGAGCAAAATTAGAAACATATTAGACACTGATTGCCTACCAATAATTACTAAAATATTGCTTGGGTAATTAAATTATATAAGTGACTAAGATTAAATGTGCCATTAAGACTTTGTATCAAGATGCTATATCACAAACACAAGATGAATACTTTTTAAAAATCATGTAGTTGTCAGCTCTTAGACCCTGTGGTTCAGGCCTTGGATTTTTTTCTTTCTTTTTTCCCCTTTCATTAAATTATGAGTCAGCTTCTTACCTTCATGCTTTTTATTTTATTTTTGGGGTTTGTTTTCTAATCTAGAGCTATGATTTATTTTGCGTTTCTTATCTCTGTGTTCCCTTTATTGGTAGAGTATACATTAAAATGGTAAAAGTTGTTTCTTTGTCACAAACCATCATCAATGCCACAAAGACAGGCCATATGAACGTATGAAATTCTCAGATTAAAATCTATGAGTAATGCTTCTACCCACCTTCTTTTCAGAGTAAAAATACACTTTGCAACTAGTAAATTATTAACATTTTTTCAACCAAAGATTCCCTTAGTATATCAGTGACTAATAGGCAGTTGATTTAAGGATTAGAAGGATGTCAAACATGATTTTATAGCTATACATTGGAAAGAAGAATTGAGGAAAAATTCTATACAATATCTTTGGGATGAAGAAGCAAAGACTAAAAACTTCTGTGAACAGGCTTCATTATTTAAATTAAGTAATTTGAGGATACTTAAAGGTGATTACACAAATGCCAAATAATAAATGTAACTATCCCTCACTCACTTTCTTTGTAGTTTGGTTTTTATTCCTCAGAAAACTGTCTCATGGTTGTCATTTATTCATTCCCTCATGTGAATGAATATTTACTCTTAAATCACTACTTATTAGCCAGGCATTGTGGCGCACACCTTTAATCCCAGCATGCAGGAGACAGAGGCAGGCAGATCTCTGTGAGTTCGAGGCCAGCCTGGTCTACAAGAGTGAGTTCCAGGACAGCCTCCAAAACAATACAGAGAAACCCTCTCTTGAAAAACCAAAAAAAAAAAAACACTACTTATTAAAAACTCACAATACGCCATTCTAAAGCTACAGACACATCAAGGTAGACAGAGGTGGTTCCCCTGGAGACTTTTAGATTGGTGCAAACGGGCTGAGGCAGAGGTGCCAGTGGCAGTGGCGAGGGAGAAGTGCAATCGAAGGGGCGGGCAGTGCCCTGATAGCAGCAAAATGGAATGAAACCCATGGCCAGGAAACAGTGAGGTGACAGCTGCAGCCTGTCACTGGGAAGGGAGCTGGAGGACATAAGGCAGACAGGACAGATTCCAGCACAGGAGCAGTGTGTGCTGTGCCGAAGAGGCACAGGAGAGTGACCTGGGAGAATTGTCACTCCTGCTAACTTGTGCTGAGTGATAACTGTCATCAGTGGAATACTCACTGCTTTGGGATCTGGGTGGAGACTACTCATACAGTATCTTTCCCCAGGACCCATAAAGGCATCTGTCCAGTTTACAATGCAAGGCACTGAGACCCAGCGGATACGGGCATCTTCCCCAGGTGAACACAGATGTGGTCACTAGGATGGCAACTCTGACCTCGACAGTCCTGAAGCCTAGGCTCTTTTTCTTGAGCTCTGCGAGAAAATCTGAATTCGAATTGTCTTCGTATTAATGCAGTATCAGTTTAATGAAGAGTATTGTGTTTGCTTGTCTCCTGAGAAATGGTTGGCATAAATGGGGTACTTTTGAGACATACCCGGAAAGCAAGTCCCCATTCATAACAGCATGTGTATGACACAGGTATATAGACTTAGCAAAGGGTCTAATTAGAAAATACATTTCTGTTTGCAAGGAATATTAGGCACATGTTGGGATAATCAATTCAAGGACATATGATGATCTTAATGCAGCCATTCAAAGAAACCAAAGCACTTTTGTATAAAGAAGCTCTGCGAACAAGCTGAAGCTAGGAAATGGTTGGGGAAAAGTGATGAGGACCAAGTGTACTGTGACCTCAGGTGGCTTTTCATCAGAGAAGGCTAGTGGGGCGGGGCTGAACTTTAAAACATCATCTGATATGTTAGTCACTAGGCTCATGGCATGATGTTGGTGTTTGTTGCCTGGTTACTAGGCAGGGGTGCTTACTGTATCAGCAGAGAAGAACAGAGCTGTGGGGGTGAGGTGAGGACAGCAGTTCTTGGAAACCACCTTCCAGAAAGCTTTTCCTGCCATTTAGGCACTCAAGGACAAGGACAGAGACACTCTGTGGAGCTGACAGGAACCTGTTGCAGTGAAATTGTTTATATTGAAATGGCTCCCAGTGTCTATTAGTCCGGGATTCTTCTGATGTCAGGCACTTGGCTTCTGGAAGATGAAATTGCTCAGTCAGCCTCACTTGCTGCCAGCTGATACAGCAGTGTGTTGCTCTGTGTGCTTCCATGATGTCAGAGAAACTGTCCTGTGAAATGCAGGTTTAGGGAATAGTGCCAATGTCCATGCAGAGCAGTGGCCAGGTACATAGCTACAGAATGTTCTAGAATTCAGAAAAGGTGATTTTTTAAAACAACTAATGGCTGCCTTAGACACCAAGATAAGGTGCAGGGAACCTAATATTTTGGACAATATTCTTTTTTTTTTTAATCATTTTTTATTTTAATTTTAAATAGCTTGTTTTACATGTCAATCCCAGTTCCCTCTCCCTCCCCTCCTCCCGCACTCCCCTTCCACCCTCCCTCCCACCCTATTGCCAAATCCTTCC